AGGGATGGAGGGTAGATGGGGGCCAGTTACAAGCCGGGGCTCATAACCTATTGTCGTGATACGACTACTGGGCTGCGCGAGCGCGAACTGGCGAGTGGCACGCGGGCACGATCTAATACACACGGTGTTAGTCTGAGTGCGAAGGGAAAGAGCACGCTGTATAGCTATGTACCTAATACACACGGTGTTAGCTAGACAGGGGTCCGGTGAGCATACTACATAATGCGCAAGGGCGACGAAGGGGACTTACTCTGAGTGCGAAGGGAAAGAGCACGCAGAGTGGGGATGCGAGAGGAGTCCTTATATACTAAAAGGAAGCAAAAATTGAAAGTCCGCTAGAATGGGGAAGCCTGCCATAAAGAGGTCTGTGCGTGGGAGCACTACATATGATTGTCCAATCACTATCTACGTATTAGCAGCGCCTAATCTAAGATGTCCACCTTAAGTCCATGCCGGGCAGAACGCCGAGCCAGAGCCACTAGGCGCTTCAACATGCCATGCAAGGGCGGAGGCGTTGACCCTGGCCGCAGACGAACAGCCTTCAAGAAAATCGGGAAGCACCCTTCTCTGCTGTACGGCGCCTCTGCATGCTGTAGCTGCAGGCCACCGACGTACATGTGGTCCAGTGTGTTAATTCTGCGCATACATGCGGACTTCACGCTAAATTCGAGCATAAAATATACTAAGAGCCAGACAGTCCGAGTCATAAGGACGAACGCTCCTCGCGTCAGGTTGTCAGTATTTGTCTCGTACTCAAATGGTTTGGAACTTGCCGTGGGTGGGGAACATGTGCATCTGCCGGCAGCGAGAGCTGATAGTTGGCTCAAATGGTAAGGCGCACACAGACAGAGGCTCACATAAGAGCGCCCAGCGTCGACCCATCCGTGCATGTTCGATTTTTGGGTTTGCCTTGCGCTCTGGCTAGGAGGCAGATACCTTTCGCTTCATACTCAATTTGAATTATAGTCCGAGATATCCTATGAAGGTCCGTGGTGGACAAAAATAAAAATCCCGTTCTCGCAGTGCCGAATCTTGTTCTGGCTGCGGGCGGTAAATCATTTCATTGTACTAAACCGAGTTTGTCCACGTGTTAGTGAACTTAAGTGCACCTGTATGCGCTGCTATACATGATAGCGCAAGTGAGTGCACATTTTTTCACCATTGTGTGCTCCCACAGGCTCGACTTGGATTTATGAGGGTCTTGTTTGCTCTGTGCATGACATCCGTGTGAATGTTCATGCACTTTTGTGCACTTTGGTGCGAGAGCATCTATCGCAGATTTTTCACATTTAGCTATAATGATTGCCAAAATGGGAAATTGGAAGATAAGCGCCGAACGAGATCGAGTTTCAGGCCATGCGAGATCGAGTTTTGATGCGGACAAAATGTGGTTTGAATCCATGTGGGCGCACTTTTGTGCACTTACCTGCGGCATCACGTACAACAGCGCACACAGGTGCACTCAGGTTCACTGATATATGGATAAATTCAGTGTGGTGTGGTGTAGTAAGATGCCGCCCACAGCCAGAACAAGATTCGGCACTACGAGAACGAGATTCGTATTTTTGTCCACCGCGGACCTTCATAATATCCGGTATAATCTAATCGTGTAACATAGCTAGCGCTTAATCTCCGGGGCAAGGACTCCTGCATCGTGCTCGCTACGTGCTTAACTACAGTAAGGGGGGACCATGGGGCCCCAGTCGCACTAGCTTCAACCTCTACCTAGTGGCTTTGTGGCACTATACCGAGGAAACATCAACGGTCCTGATTTAATGATTTGGCCTGTTTCTCATAAAAATAGAGAGAGCGAGAAAAGAAAATCACGTTTACCCTCCGATGGACGCCACCAAGCCTTCGCATCTCCCAACTCGGAAACTGGCTCCCACATCGAGGTCACGCGCACGCGATTTGCGTCATCCTGCTTTCATCCATGACCAGCGCATCAAGCACCGTCTATTCCAATGTCTTTAATCCCTCGGCTTTTCCACGAGTTCTTCAACATACGCTCAGAGGACACGCGCAGATAGCAGACTACAGTACAAAGCACCCGGCCGTACCCAGTTATTCGTTCCACGCGGCTAGCTGAATCCCATGACCTCCACGAGTGTGGGACACGGATGGGCAGAGGTGGAGTCGTGCGCATGTCGGTCTGCTCATCTTCCCCCCTGACCAACACGAACAGGATCTCTGCTCTCAGACACGATGGCTGCGACGTCGACACCTCTTCCCCCAGACACGGAAAATCAAACATATCTCACAGTTCACGCCCTTCTCGCTGGAGGGCTGTGGCTTCCGTACAGGGAAGTCTTCCAAGATAGCCTACATGAACCCCCCGAGGTTGGGTCGGACATCCCCTTTATTGCTTTTCTCATCACACACCCTACGCACGGGCGGGCGCTGTTCGATCTGGGTATGCGCAAGGCAAGTGGTGACCCTGTTGATACCTGCTTTCTGCCCCTCATTCACAGTGAGAGCAGCATGCCAAGGGATGGCCGCCTGCACTTAAGGAGACTTTGGATGAATTTAGGGTGTATGGCCGTTGTGAGGAGGACATAGTTGACGCGCTGAGGAAGGGCGGCGTTGATCCAGCGGAGATCACGAAAATCATCTATAGGTGCGTAGACACGTTTTCCCACTCTTGATTGTCTCTGAAATTGATGCATAGTCACCTCCATTGGGATCACGTTGGCGATCCACTTCCCTTCACGAACGCCGAGATCATCCTCGGCTCTGACGGCAAGGTGCTCCTCGACGACGCGTGGCCCTCTAATCCAAACAGTCCGTTCATGGCGCTCCCTGCGAACATGCACGCAGACTTCATCGACTTCGCGGAACCGAAGAAGTACAAGCGGGTCGCGCCGTGGGGGCCGTACGAGCGCGCAGTCGACCTGTTCGGCGACGGGTCGCTGTATCTCGTCGACTCGCCGGGACACGTCCCGGGACACCTGGCAGCGGCGACGCGCGTCGCGCCAGACAGCTTCGTCTTCCTTGCGGGCGATACATGCCATAACAGACTCTGTTACGCGCCCGGCGGGCGGCTCGTAAGCGAGCTGAACCACGCCGACATCGAGACGGCGCGAAAGACTGCGAAGCGGCTGGTAGAACTGGATGTGTGTTATCCGAACGCTGTCGTCGTCATCACGCATGATAGTTTGAGGAAGGAGGAGATGCCGTTCTTCCCTGACTCGGACTTGAGGGGCTGGGCAGAGAATGAGATCGAGAAGCGGAGGCGAAGGGCTTGAAGTCTTCTGCCACGTCTCTGTCCGCTAATGCGCTGATATCCGTGTACAGTATCGTCGTAATCTAGGTTGTTCTCATCATAATTCCGAGTCAAGATAAACAGGTGACGTGGCCGAAGCTAAGCGCTGCGGGCAGGATTAATAAAGGACAGCGTGCACCGTAAGAAACGTGCGTGGTGTGAAGAGGCACTCAGTTACTTGTAGGCTATTCTACACCATGGATTCGTTGCGGTAGCCATACAGCCCCTGCTTACACTGTGCGACCTCGGCGGGCAGTAAGTGGGCGCTAATTACGGTGACATGTACAGCTTCCTCTCGCACCCGTCCTCGACGCTCAGCACACTGGCTGGCCCGCGAATTCAGTAGATCACACTGTCCAGTGCAACTCCTCGTCTCGTCTATTGCGAACTCACGGACGCTTATATGTTAGAAAGGACCAGGGCTGCGGACACGGGCATCTAAATTACAAGGTGCGAAAGTACCAAAGACCGCATACTAACTTCTTGATATAAGTCTACTCTGCAAGGATGGACGAACGAAGGGAAGCAAAGCCACAAACTTGTTGAAGAGCTATATGAACATGGGTGGGACGCAATCGATCCGGTATCTACGTGGTATGAGACGGTCCGCGTGGTCCTCGAACGCCTTTCCCTCCTGTTTACACCATCATCAGAGCGGCGGTATTGACGCGGACAAGAGGTCGCTCACCTGAACCACTTGTCGTTCCATCATAAGCCCCGCAGAGCATGGCACCTATGGCTGATCCCGTTATCGACAATGTCCTGGATTTGAAGCTTTAGAGGTCGGATCGGCTGTCCGAGGCTTCCTTCAGACGCCCGGTCAACCAACTCTCAACGCGCATGGATAGATCGATTATACGAGACCTCATAGATCGTTTACTCTCTGAAACAACAAGCATTTTCACCAGTTGGTCTCAACAGGATGTAACACGAACTTGGCATTAGATAGCAATCAAAACTTATCGCGAGAAATACGAAGTTCTCAGCCACAGTAAAATGTGATGTTTCAAGGGACACGACGTACTGTGAGAGCATGCAACGAGCCGACGCCGAACACTCTCAAGGCTTGTTCATCTGACGCCTCTGACGCCTGACACGCTTAACCTTGGGCGTGGCCGGACTGGTGGTTGTAGATTCGGCCTCGTGGATGTAGGTCGCATCTTTATGCTCTGAATTAGGCGGGGTAAGAGCATCCTCTGCTGCTAGCTCAGTGACAATTTCTGTGATCGCTTTTGCCCGTGCTCTTGAATGTAATACAACAAGGTTCTGCCCTCGGTTCTGATTGCACAACCATGTCAAGGCACACAACTAGGCTCAAAGATTGGCTCAACACACCTGTTCACGCTGAAGGAACTGCTCGAACTCCTCTCTCAGCCTAGTACCATGAGTCGTTCCAGGTTTGGGGTCAAACCATGAGGGCTGATGATTTAGCCCAAGGTGCTTTGTCGCACAAGCTAGTGCATCCAGGAAGACAGTAGAAAACCCTTTCATTCCAGGGGTGAAAATGAGCTGGTTCCAGTAAACAACCTTGGGTATATCAGGCATTGGCGGCAGACCAGGTATGTCCAGGCCAGGATCTGCCTCGTGGTCTTCCTCTCCAGCCATTCCTCCACCTGCCTGTTTGTTGGTGCCCGGGCGAATGTAGTGGAGCAGAGAGAAACGGTCGAGCGCAATGATGAAGGCGTAGTAGCTAGGTTCGCCGTTGGGCAGCAAGTCAAACGTAAAGGCAGCTTGTACGTTTACTTGCTCAATGGCACGTGCTAGTGCTTCGTCGCCCCGAATGTCCGTGCCATTACTGTCGTCGTCGTTACTGTAACAGTCACCGTCATCGCTATCGTTGCGGTCGTCGTCGTCATCACTATCATTGCAGCCGTCGCCATCGCTGTTGTTGTTATCGTCGCTGTCGTCGTCGTCGCCGCCGCTGCTGCCGTGGTCGCTGTTATCGTCATCAGCCTGCCAGTGAGGTATATATGTCTTAACCTCCACCCAAAAGCCAAGTTTTATGTACAATAGGATCCTTCTTCGATGCAGCAGTGGAGTTGTACTTAGCGAAGGGCAATTGAGGGTGACATTCGAGTTCGCTACGCTTAGCGCGGTCGGTGGAGACTGCGGCGTATGCTTCAAAAATTCGAGCCACTGCGCCATAAGAAAAGGCTTCGATTTCAGAGAACGCTGCCGCAAGGCCGATGTCGTGCTTCAGCTTCCTGAAGTAGTCGGTGTCGACAGTTAAGATTGTCTGTGATGAACGTTGTAAGCCGATCAGATTGAGACGTTAGCACATCGTATCGGTACATACTCTGGTATCAGACCAGACGGATCGTTGAGCAGCTTTGGTGGCTCGAGTGCGCGTGCCAACCATGGCCGCAGAGTCTCAGAGCTGCACGTGGCTGCAGTACTCGACGAGCAGCTCAAAGTTAGGGCAAGGTCCTGGCTATATATACGAGATCTGCCATGATCTCTTATGCGGCTGTTTTGGGAACCCTATCTGATTTTTTGGGCTAAGACATTCCATGATCTGAACGCGGATACTTTTGAGCGGTTTGAGTCATAGTTTTGCCTGAGTTTATACAAAAAGGTACGATTTGCACCCAAATGGGTGTCTATGCCGCAAACAATTAGTAAAAACTTGGAGAATGTCGGAGGCGCTTCGCGGACAGCGTTTCCGCACAAAAGGTTAAATAAGGCAGATGATATAGGAATACAGTAATGGCTGAGTATTTTTTGAGGCTGTTTTCGCCGTTTCCCTACTTCTCCTTGGTAGTCGACGCTGTCCCAGTTTCCTATGGGCCAGCGACCCTCGTCTGGTGGGCCCTCAGCCGACGGCCAGGGAATGATGAAAAGAAAGCATTACTAGGATTATGAAAGACAGTAACAGAGAGTTCGAGATCGTGAGGCAACCGCAGAAGCCTCTAGTGGGCAACTGTCTACATCTCAGCTGTTATATATATTAGTTCTATTCAGGGATGATATAATACAGGCAAGACATACTTAGTGCGTAAACTGCGTGCGTTGAGCCAGGCTGAGCACTGGGATACTGATGCGGGCAGTTGACATCATCAGTCGCCTCGGCGCTTCTCTACTTGAACTTGAACTACCACCATGTCGACCTCTCCAGATAGCGAAGCTCACGATGATCCCCACCAATATTCGGACACAAAGCCAGACCTTGAGTCAGAGTATAATTTGAAGGCTCGGCGTTCTCCTATGTTCAGGGCGAGCAAAAAGGTTCATTTCTTACGTCTTATCATGTAACACGTCGTTTACGCATCTTTTCACAACCAGAATCATCGCAAGTGGTGCAAGATGTTTGAGCCTATGGAACAACTGCCTCTTACACTCCGATTTGATCGCGAGAACTTCAAAAAGCCGTGGTACAGCAGCCCCAGCTACAGAGTATGCTTTAGCTTCGGCATTACCCGTCAACAGCTGGTCGACTACGCTCACCGAGTGAAGCTTCTAAAGCTGGACTCGCCCGACTGGAAGAAATCGGCTGCAGCCTACAACGTGGCGTTGTACCTGAGCGTGATCGCCGAAGCCGAGCTGGACTCGCGCCTAATCTGGCACACGAGGAACAGATACTGTGTGAGCTTGTATAACAACTACACACAGTACTCTAAGCAGCTGGTGGAGGAGGACGAGAAGGATGTCCTGGATATCATACGGGAGGAACTGAATATTCCGGATGTGGCGCCAATGTGGTATTTCCAAGTGGATGAAGATGACTGATAGGTGGGCGAGAGCTCTGTGCGATTATGTATGTCGTCACTCTTCGTCACTTTATCTTCTTCGCTTCTTCGCCCACTGCTATCTGAGCCCTGTGAAAGTCAACAGCCTGGAGTCCACCAGAAGACCCTGCGCCGAGAACCCTCAGAGGATCAAGCGGGCAATAAGAGGGCGTACCCAGACGAGGAACCCCACCACTGCTTTCCCAGCTAGATGCTCCCAGCGAACTGCAGCTCTCGCAGGATGAGCGCAACGAACAGCTTGACGACGCGTAGCGCCTGTCGGTCGTTCTGCCTCGCGCCCATGTCGCCGCAATGCGCTGGATTTGGACTCGGGTCCACTCCCTCCCCTGGGCCTATGTTATACGTGATGACTAGCATTGTCCACGATGTGTCTGCGGGGCCGCACCGCGCATTATGGCTGTCAGTTCGTCGAAGTTCCTGTCTTCTCATTTTCTCTCTTCACCCATCCTCGTTCAGAACTGTCTGGCCTGCAAAGGCAATCAGTCGTGCGTATTAATCCCATCATGCTACGAAGCTTATGCTCATCCGCCTTTGCAGACGTCTGCGGGGGCTCAATGTCGAACGACACGCGACACAGCCTAGCGCAGATCCCGCTGCGGTGGATGGTGCGCCAGTGCCTCCTGGCGAACACCGGCATCCGGTTCCACGCCGACCCCCTGCGCGGGATCGAGCTCAACCCTGCGTTGCTGTTCAGAACCGCCCCGCGCCGTTGTACCACACGTCGGGCGCGCCCGTGCCCGACGGCACGGCTGAGGGAAGAGGAAGACCTTGCAGACGCGCTGAGCTTGGCGTACGACCAGCTGTCGCTCGCTCGCGGCCGGTGGGTGCTCAAGCTGCTGCAAATACGCCACCACATGCAGCACACGGCGGACGGGCAGTGGGAGACGAAGGTATACACGAACATGGGCCGCACGCGCGTTATCCCGAGGCGGGAGACGCATCCGGTGCACGCGCACCGGAGCGTGAAGATGCGCATCGAGGGGGAGAAGCCAGTGGGTCGTGCGTATGCACCAAAGGCAAAATTTGACGTCGAGCCAACGTGTATGACGTAGGTTATCTTATCCCCAGCTGCAGAACCGTTAAATTCGAGTTTTTCTCGACGAGCTCGTAGGCCTCTGTGCTGCGTTTCGCTGTTATCGTTTACCAAGGAGCTCTCTTTTACTGTAGGTTTGGAACAATGAACTCGTCTGTAGCACTAGGACTACGTACGGTATCAGTGCCTGGGACGGTACGAGCCAGAAAACAGGTGCCTCGCACGACGTGTGCTTGTCGTGTGCTTGTTTGTGATGGGCGGGCATTGTGGACACTGACGAAGTCATTCTATGCAAGACCCGCCACACTGGGTGGTAAGCGTTTCTCTCGTAAGATTGGTCGAAAACTAGTTGAACAAGGCTCTGGTTCTCACCTGAGAAAAATTGGAGATAAACCTTAACTTTCCATCAATTTTACTATGTTTTAGATGCTTTTGGCCGGGTTTGCACCAGCTTTTTTGCTCAATTTGTCCCGGCGTACAACTGGGGAAAAACTGGGCCTTGTTTAGCCACTTTTGCTCGGGTTTCCTAAAGAAAAAAATCCGCGCTTACCACCCTGTGCTATCGACGAAGTGCTCCATGAAAGCTTCAGTGGTGTACTACGATCACCGCGTTTTATGGAAAATTGTCTGAGGGCGGTTTTCATGCGATTCATAGTGTAGCCGGGCCCGAGTTTGTGGTGTCCCTATTTTTGTCCATCACCGACCTTCATAGCAGACATCAAATACCCTTGACTGGCTATCTATATTGAAGCCACCACTGCCAGACATGGTCGGGGGGGGAGAGCATCCACTCAGACCTGTAGGTGAGATCGAACGAGCATGCTCAGCCCAGGACGACTTTCCCGAGAGAGCGGCGGTGAGTTGACGAGGCCTCACTCAATGAGATTGAAGGTTTGGGCGCATACCGTTCTCATTGGCTGATGTCGGCAATGAGGAAATTCCTCATCACTTCGCGCAATATCAGCGGCAGTCATTGAAGCAGACGGGAACAACGCCTCGTTCTCACCCTCCTATCTCTCCCGCCATCCCGCTTATAGCAGAGTCAGCGATGGATATCGAAAACGACAACACAGTGGATGTGCGGCTTCTTTCTTTCTTTCTCTTTGACATGATTCACCTTATGTGTTCAGGTTCGCGATACTGCTCCATCCTGCGGATGCATGCCCGGAGGAATAGGCGAAGTGGTGGTCAAAGAATCCACGCCAGGGATTGATGGAGCGACGATCGAAGAGCCGAGTCGCGATGCAGAGCCTGTGAGCATGGTGGGTGACACGATTCAACTTGTAGAGCGTGCCGATGTAAACAAACATCTCAATAGACCAAGGTCTACCCAAACCCTCTCGAATCAAAGTCGCCTGCTGCTGGCGAATCTGAAGTGCCGCTCCCCTCGGACGATGCCCTAGTATCAGCAGGCTCAGAAGTGCGTAAGTACGTGGCAGATGTCTTTCACTTATTAATAGATGAATATTTAGAGAAATAATCCGCCTCGCGAAGAGCCCAAGCGTCAAGATTCGTCGGTATGCTATTGGCGCTATTCAGATGAATCTAAGACTAAAGAACTTGAATACGCATAGCAACAAGAAACCAAATCGGCATGGACCTTCCTGCTCGATTCCGCCCAAGAATATGACCAGGACAAGATAGGGAAGTGGAGGGGGGAAATGGATAACCTCCTCGTTTTTGTGAGCTTGCGCATGCGTACTTCAGTTCGAGCATGCTGACTGGAGCTTAGGCCGGCTTGTTCTCTGCCGTCGTGACCGGGTTCACCGTCGAGTCAATGTCCTGGCTGCAGGAAGATCCCACCGACACTACCAACAGGCTGCTCGTGCAAATGTCCGCCCAGATGGCTTCATTTTCCGTGTCCCCAGGCTACATCAACTCTACCGCCGCGCCTGCATCGTCCCAGATTCTTAGTTCATCCACCTTCCAACCTGCTGGCATTGACGTGACGATCAACATGCTGTGGTTTCTGAGTCTCACTCTCAGCCTCCTTGCAGCCTTCTTTGCCATCGCCGTTCAGCAATGGCTTCGCGCTCTCCCTCTCCCACATCATTTACCTGTGATGGAAAGTATCCAGCTCTGGGAATGTCGCACTGAAGACCTCATCCGATGGCAGCTGCCGAACGTCATCATACTCCTACCCGTCACCTTGCAACTCTCCGTTGTCCTGTTTCTGGCGGGTCTGTACCACCTCCTCCGAACGCTTAGTCATCCGATGACGACTGCGTATGCAGTAGTCGCTGGAGTGCCTTTTTGTCTCTACGCCCTCTCGCTCCCCCTGCCGCTTATTAGGCCTCACTGCCCATACAAGTCGCCGCTTGTCCCCTCTGTTGTATTTTTCCTGCGATGGTGCACGCTGTTCCTTCTTCTTCTTGCCATTTTTCTGGTCCTCCTTCCTTCGATCATCATTCAGATCGTGGTTCTAGCATGCAGGGGTCTGGCAGACAGCAATATCCACTTGATTCGTATCTATCAAACAGCTGTCTGGGCAGTGGATATCCTCTTCCGGCATTTCTACGATGTTCTGGAATCTGATCGCGACTTCTGGACAAAGAGAGAGGTCAGACAGTTGGTGAAGAAACAGGACACAGGCGCCGTATTCATACAACGACGTGCGCTAGCACGCGCTCCTGCAGCTGTTGTACGCAGCGAGCTTAACCGTCTCAAGCCTTGTCTCCTCTCACTCCCTGTCTTTCATCGAACTAGGGCCTTGCTCCAATGGCTGTCCTTCTATTTTGAAACCAGACAGACCAACCTTGAGCTCGCTGACGACAGGTCACCGATCGGCGTGAATATCCTGGCCAGAGTCAACCGCGCTTTTGCTGAGACATATACACAGCTTCTGCTCGACGTATTGCCGGACGAGTGGCATTCCCAAGACTGGGTGCGGTTTGATCAGGATGTGGCCCGTATCCTCATCCTACTGACGTGGATATACAAGGCCGACTTCGCTGGTTTTAACCTCCGACACATCTTGTCACCTCTACTGATCCAAGTCTGCGAATCACAGAAGCTAGAAGTCATTCAAAAATTCACCGATTATGATCAAGTTAGACATCCTACAGTGTGTCTCTTTGTGGCCACTATTCAAGATCACTATGTTTTCAGTACTACCGGTATGTTCTCATATTATTGATACAGAGACGGGTATTCATTGACACTTGTTAATGTCAGAAATCGAACAGATGATCTCGCTGGCAACCCGGCGCATCCCACAGCTGGTGGAAATGAATCAGCGGCTCGACGACGACTACATTATACACACTGTGGACATGATACTCGGAGCTGTTGCCGCGCCTCTGCACGTGCTTTCACGCGATGGAGATACCACATACGACAAACCAGAAGGCCTTCATCATCTCCTGGAAGAATTCGATCACTTCCTCGTTGCCCAGCGCCAAGGTATTCAATATATGGCCAAGCTATCGTTGGAGCAACCGGAGCAAGTTCTGATGATCACTCGCGGGGCAATGAAGTCCGTTGTGGACTCTCTTCTGAAGCTGGCACAGCGCAGCTGGCTACCTGTCGAAGTTTCCGGACCACTTGTTCACAACCTCGTTCAGACTTGCAAGGATCAGCGCGCACTCGAGGACACCATGCCTTCCTTAGATCGTTTGTCGGAACTAGTCTCTACACCCGCCACTGCGGCCTCAGCCCCTTCGATGCTCAATCCAGACATTACTACCGACGAACCCAAACTCGAGACGTCTAGTGTCGCCCTTCCTACTCTCCTGTCAGACGATCAGTCTGGTCCACAAACGGCGGCAGGTGGGGGGCATCTCGAGGCTGAGCGTTTACTGGAGCAGAGCGCGGCTTCAATACCCATGGTGCGTCTCATACATTTGTCTAGCGTATCCACAGCTTACACAAGAGCTAACCGCGTGGCACAGCAAACGCGTCATTCTTCACGGCTATCATTGACGGAAGGATTAGAGGCCGGAGAACCGACGCAGACCGTAACGTCACAGCTGGGGGTAGCTCCGCCTCACCCTTTAGAGTCAGCGGGCTGAGAAGATTTTATGTTTCGTGATTGCTACATGTCAGATAGTACTGCGTATAGACCAAGCCGCAGTTATGAACGTAAGGCTTTTCGGGCTCTTACCCCATTGAACGGGCCGCGGAGAGCATGTGGAACCAAAATATTTTCTGCAAGGCCGCTCTTCCATCATGGTTCGGACTGGCATCGTATTGATGTACGAAGCCCACAAAGCGCAGCTCCATCGATATGGTAGCTTCCAAAAGCTTGGCTACGAGACGAGATTGTATTGACTATCGTACTGGAGAGACTGGATGCAAACATGGGTTATTGCTACTGATGAGAAGCGCGAGAGTGATGAGTACTATACGACGAGAGGTACTGAAAGTTGAACTTCTATACAACAGATGATTGCAGTGCACATAACAAACATGGGGACAAAACAAGAGGTATTCGGAACCTAAGACCGAGCCAAGAAAGGGAGCATGCGTGGCACGAAAGAATAAAAAACTAAAGTACCGTGAAAATGATCATAATTGCGTCGAAATGAAGTGTCATGGGGGCAGATGAACGTGCCAAAAATATGGGCATGAACGGAACGTGAAGTCATACATACGAAAAGGTAAGTGCAAGGTCGATGGTATGGGCAATGTGTATAGGGAGCAGGGATTAAGCGTGATGTGTTGTATGCGCTGATAACGTGGGGTAATGCAAGGACGGTGGTATGCGGGGCGAAGACGCGATGGGGAGCCCAAAGAAAGACAGTAATCAAGCAATGCAGGTCGTCAACAGCTGCAAGAAGTCGTGGGGAACCAAGATGTCCGCAAAAATGTGGGTGCAGCCGGGCCAGAATCCAATGGCAAGGGCACGATTACAGGGCGCTAGGCCAAAGGCGGAAACGAAGAGCTGTTGTACATCCCAAGATTATTCCAAGATGAACTTATACACCCTAATCTTGAACCCGGCACAGATAAATAATATTTTGATCCTCCGGGCGTGACGGCACGGAAGGTATGGTAGACTGGCGCCTATACGCCAAGGTCCATGGCTTCGTCGTCTTCTTCGCCGCCCCAGAGAGGATTATGGCCGAGTATGTCCTCTAGCCACCCTTCTGAAGCACCTGCCAAGGCTGATGCGTGAAAGACAGGGCCGAGCTCCTTGCGAAGCTCGTCCATAGAGAGCCTTGCGCGAACGATTACCGGGTGTGAGCAGACCATACCGGCGTCCACTCTCAGGTCTGGGTCGCTACGCATCATGCCCTTCAACAACTCGATCAGCTCTGTGGAGATGCTGGCGAAGTCGATCTGAGAGAAATCATCGTGTCGAATGCGATGCCAAGCGTCGCCCCTAGATTCGAGCAGGCGGTCAGTTACAGGCTAAGCCAAATACTTCGTGGTACTCACTGATCAGGCACGACAATGTTGGTTGCCGTCTCCAGCATGGTCATACCAATACTGAAGCGAGGATGGTCAGCGAATGTTATGACTTATGGAAGTAACCATACCTGAAAATGTCGGCTGCCTTGCCGTATCTACCCTGAAGAACTTCGGGTGCAAGATACAACTTGTCGCCCTCGCGCTCAAACGACTCGCGCTTAGTACTGGAATCCTTACGAACAGGGCGTGGCCAAACGGAGGCCATGCCAAAGTCGCCGATCTTTAGCCGACCTTCATCGGTGATGAAGATGTTTGCCGGCTTCAGGTCGAGATGGATAGCACCCGCGTTATGGATGAAGTCCAGGCCCTGTGAGCTATGGTCAGCATCGCATCATACGGGTGTGGATAAGATACGTACGCTGCTCAGCTCGGAAAAAATCTTCCACACCCTGGATTCGTCCAGTTTGGGGAAGTGGCGGCCGTACTCCCAGAGGAAGTGTGCAAAGTTACCAAGGGCGCACAGCTCTGTTTGAATATATAGCGTCTCTTCTTCCTCCCAGCTATCGATATAGCTCAGGACGTTTGGGTGGCGATCACCATATCCCGCAGAGCATGCTGCTCGCGAGAGGTGCTTCAGGATGTCAACTTCTTCACGAAGGCGTTGACTGAGAATATAGACGTTACAAATGGTCCAAGACGGTAAAAGAAATTTGCGTACCGATGCTTGACACCTTCGAATCTCTTCGACTTCTTAACAGCAAACATGACAGAGGAACTCTCCTTGTATCGCGCCTTCATTACCCGCCCGAACTCCCCACGACCAAGTTCATCGATCTCAGCAAATTCGCGTTCGAACTTGCCCGGTCGCTCCTCGCTGCTTGGTATTGACAGCCGGCCGCGAATGGCCGAGCCGGGGAAAACTGTCGGTCGAGGAGGTCTTGGGACTGTGTGTGACAGGGGGCGTTGTGGCGATTGATCGGGAAGAGTTGGGAAGTGTCGTGCGACAGCATCGACTGTTGGTGAGTTGGTCGCCGTCGAAGTTTCGGAGACTGCGCTAGACGTTGATTCTTGGCTACATGGAAGAGGAGCCTCCGCCGTCTTAGACAGCGGCGAGTGCTGTGCGACCGCGGGTAGCTGCCAGTCTGAGTATGAACATGTAAGCGCCTCCGTCATCGCAGCAGAATAGCATTGCAACTGACCTTTGGCGGGGAGTCGCGTCGGAGTGGCGTTCCGTGAGGTGTCACTCCCACTGGAAAAAGCGCCACTGCTGCTCCTTCGCATCAACCACCGCGCTCTCGACTTCGGGTCGACGGTCTTCGGGAGCTGAGGAACTGGCGGCCGTCCAACACCTAGATGTTTTCCGTCTTTCCTCGTCGTCGGACTGGTCTCCTCGTCTGTGTCAACAAGGCTGAAGGCATCCTTGCGTTGGCGAGTCGTCATGAGTCCCGGGAAGGCCGCAGGGAGACTCTTCCGTGGCTTTCCCTTCCCATCCTTGCCGCCGCTGCTATCGTAAGGGTCATTGAACTCGGGAAAGCCGATCCTGTTTGCGACAGCACTCTGCCACGGACGCTCGACGAGGTGCGACGTCTTGACCTTCTTCACTGGGGTTCCTGGCACGCGCTGCGGTTCGCCTGGTATTGGTTCAGTCGACTTGGGCCCTGCAGCAAGCATACGCAAAATGAACGCGTCAGCACCATCATTGGCGTCCGACGCGTCGTATTCGAATGAGTCATCGTTGACGATGCCTACACCAGGCCAGCCGGACCCTGGGCCAGGAGCGATACCGGGGGTGACCAGGGCTTCACCATCGCTCTCCGACTGAATCGAACTCAGCGAACCAGATGCACGAGGGCCCGGCATGGTCAGGAGCAGGCCGCCACTAGTGCTCAGACTCGACGACTGGAATTCGTCCTCACTGTCATCAACAACGATCCCCGAGTCACGAGGACGGAACTTCTTCTGCAGTTTCTCAAGAGATGAGGTGCGCGTTCTTTTGGTGGGACTACCATGCTCCTCGGCGAAGGCGAAGAGCGACGACGGACGGCCAGGGCTACTGAAGAACAGCTCTTCTTCATCCATGTCATCGCGCGATGGAGACGAGTTGCCAGCGAAGCTGTGGCGGGCCCGCGGCTTGCCACCAAGACCCGGCGGCGCGTCGATACTCATAGCATCGCTGCCCTTCTTCTGCCGGGTTTCTGGCTGGGGAATGGACGGGCCAAAAAATAGCGATGCCGAGCTTATACTGCTTAGTCGGTCCAAAGGGGTGTGTTTCGGCGGTAAACGGGTACGTGCGGCAGAGCTCGAAGGGCGACGAGTGCGTAGCTTAGGCGACCCTGGTTCGATAGAGCTTGTTGAGGATGCAGAGTTGCAGCGACTCCGCAAGGACGAGAGGGATGGAAACGCAATTGTTTCCGGCGCTCTTCCCGCATCTAGAATGGGAGTCGGGAAGCCCTTGTTCTTGGATATGTGAGTAGATGCCTTATTATCCTAATTGAAAGCATACCTCGTTGCTTCTTGGAGCAGGCGTGGCAGCCAGAAGCTCAGCAGACATGTGCCGTTGCCGAGCGCGACGCTTGTTGACATGCCCACCGGGTGACATCGCCTCAATAACTTCGTCTTCATTTCCCTTGCCAATCAAGAGGGCCAGTCCTGGCGACTTCTTGGTCTTCGGCTTCACTGTGCTCGGTGGAGCAGTGGGCTGCTTCTTTCCACTTTCACGTTCCCTCTTGGTCCCCGCCGTAGAGTCATACCCGCTCTCGTCCCCGGACCGATCACGGTCTTGGATCTTAAGGCGGCGCATAGAATCAGACTGACGCTTGAGGTGTGCATCGGAGTCCGTCTTGGCGACGGGAGTCGTCGTAGCGAAGCTCGGCGCAGGCAGCGGCGCAAGGCGCTCGAAGCCAAATGGCTCGCCGTCATTGAGGTCCGAGGCGGAGCTGGTAACACGCAAGGGAGTGAGCAGACATCGGCGGTCGGGAGTGGAAAACATGACGGGAGTCGGTGTGCGCTTGGTACTATTTGCTGTTGCAGGAACAACTGTGAACGGCGAATTTGTGGGGGCGGCAGAGAACACAGGGCGAGAGGGCGTTTCGAAGACGTTCGACGTCTGCTTCACGGGCGTTCGGAGCGGCATAGGCGAAGACGACGGCGGAAAGAGCGAGCGTGTGTTGGATGGAGAATGTGGGGCAAGAAAGAGCGCGTCGTCGTCGTCTGTATCGAATGAACTGGCGGGCGGCCGCACTGGGCTGGTGTCCTTGTCCACAACGAGCCTATAAGGCTGCATAGGCGACGAGAACACGTCGTCTTCGTCCATTGAATCGACTGGCATGGAGCGCTGCTTCAGCGGCGAAGTGTTCAACATTGGGGACTGGTGTTTTGAAGGCCTCACAGAAAACTTTGGCGGCGTCTGGTACTCCGTCACGGGTCGACGAGCAGGGGAGCCGTTCTGGTCGCGTCGTCGGGATCTCAGCGTGACGTATTCGTCGGAAGAGAGCATGGCAGTAAGATATAAAAGAGAGTAGAGGTAGCGCTGCGGGAGTTTGGGGGGTTAAACACGGAGGTCCAGAGAGATAATTAAGGCAATGGATGGGGTCGGAGGGTATTCAAGTTGTTCTCGTTGCCGGCAAATTTCAGCCCAGTGTGAGGTCTTGTGGGGTTCGATGTCTAGTGCGTTGTGGAGTACCCAGTCGAGTGTGCCGTCAAGCGCAGCAAACACGGGACACGGAGGGAAAAAATGGGGGGCAGGAGATGGTGGTCGGGAAGGCGGGGCTCTCATTCAACAAACACGTCACGTGAGCGCCTCTCGGTGATTTCCGATAGGGCGCTTGGTGGTAAATTTGGCCGTCGAGTTGCCCACAGCAAGACATGACAATGGTATTGTACTACTTGGAGTGTTCTCACGCTCCGAGATACTGACTCTGTTTGCTGATGTGTTGAATGGACTCAGCGAAATGGCATCACCGCCGCTATGGGTTTAGTTCATAGTGAGATCGATCGACAAAATGCCTCCGTTTGATGTCTCCTTGCTGGTTGTGATCCGCCATCCTCCCAATATTGATACTTCCAAATACCACTAGAGGTAACCCAAATGTATAGAAACTAAGTTAGCTGAATGAGTATGCAAATGATACCAGCTGAAGCGCGTGGCTTGCGAAGAACATAGCCATTAGTATCTGTAACTCATTATTATTTTAATACTTGAGCTTGCGTGATCGTCCGGCAAAGCGATGACTTGGTGGCGTTAGACGCCATCAAAGCTTCCGCCAAGCTCACACCGTTCAAACTTATCTTCTGCGGTTATCACCAGTTGACCAAACTTACAGGTCACAGCAGCAGTCAAGCACATTTAAGTGGTACTGACGGGTCCATATCATGGCATGGTGCAATTTTGGTAATCTTCAGCGCAGAGCACGGCGGCACGGTGCACCTAGCATCTGATACCAGAACGGTGCCTTACCATCTTTCTTCTAGGGAGGAGGACTACCTTTGGCTTCTACAGATTTTCTTACAGAAATTTACAATATGAAATTCAGGAGACAGCTGTCAACTCCCTCTCAACGCTCACCGCCGTATTCTGGCGTACATTTAGACGGCGCTATCGAGCTTCGCCACTCACATGACACACGGGGGTGATCAAGGACGCATCTCCGCCACGGTAATGAACACTGAACCGCATTGTTCTCTTCCATCCGCACTGGTGGCCTGAGAAACCGCGATTCTGGATCTGGAAAGTGATGCAACAGAACTTCTGAGCCTAGTGATGCCTGGGTGTTCCGAACTCCCCCTTGAGGGGCTAGGCAAGAACGAGAGGAGGAAGATCCGCAAGTTGAACGCAAGGATAGCGCCCCATCGCAAAGTCTAGGGCCTGGTACTGAAGTCGGGGGCTTGAAGCTTGCTTGCCTGAGGCTTTGGGGCGCCCAGGAGTTCCCCAAAATCGGAGCGAGATGGCACCGGACGAGACTCAAAGCTCAAAGAATTGAGCAAACGTCTGCGCGACGCTGTCTTCATGCTTTTTGCTTTTTCTGCATATGCGCACTTTTATCATATCTATTCGTAGGTTTTGCGCTTAATTATATACTGCCTATTTTCCACGATTTATGACAACCGTTAATTTACTATTATAAGCGCCGCGTTCCGGACCGCGGTGAATTGTTTCGTCATTCGCGCTCGTTTATTTTGATAGTCAAATATAAGACTTGTACACCATCCTCCTGAACCTCTAGAGGTCTCTGCGGAGCCTCAGCCTGCGAATGCATGGCCACAGGCGACAAGGATATCCCTCCTATTTACGAATCCCAGCCTCCAAAATGGCTCCCGAAGGCCCACGGCTCCGCTGACCTCGGTACGTCTCCCAGTTGCGTCAGGCTAGAGGTCTTCTCACTGGGACTTCAGGCTATGTCTCTTTCTTTCCACCAAGGCCCGATCAAGAGGAGGACATCCTGACTGTATCGAATGTGAAGGATGGATTTCAGCAGCCTCCGGTCGTTCCGGTGTGTGTACATTCGTCCCGGCGGACTCGCTTGGCTCAACGGATTACAGGCGGAGACGTACACGGCCAGAGACACTGTCAAGCCGAGATTATCGACTGAGAATGCCCTTTCAGAGCTGGAAGACCTCATGGCACAAATCTTCGCTCGTAAGGCAGAAAATGTCCCCCCCATCCCGTGAGTAGCACCCGTCAGTGCGTATAAGCTACACAGAATACTAAGGTCTTCGCAGCCCTTCATCGTTCAAGCTGCCTTCTCGAGTGACCATGAACGATGCGAAGCGAGAAGCATGGTTCACGGATCTCGCCAATCCGAACGTTCCTTTGCACAAGCTCAGCAAGAGTGTTCCCCACGGCGCGAAAGGACACGACCTCCTGGACTTACTACAGCAGAACAACGTTGCAATTCCTCGCGCAGTATGGTTTCTGAGGGTTTTTGGCGGTAACGAAACGGTACGTCTTGCCTGCAGGAATTCTGCGCGTGGAAGTTCATAAAGTTCGCAAGGCAGGTCTGAGGAACAGACCACAATACATCCCTACGCAATACAGCGTTGACTGGGCGAATGTTGTGTGCGGGTACCTGAAGAAACAGCTCACGGAGATAGCTCTACCGATGGCTCCTCGTCCAGGCCTGAACGTTAAGCAGTCGTTCAAGGGAGTTCTTTCGGATCAGGCATCTCGCGACCGATGGGTGTCGCGCTTTACATACAGGTACGTTACCTCCGTGTTCGTACAAATCACATGCGCTGACACCCCACATACTTAGCCTGAGCCTACTTCGCGTTTTCTATGCCGAAGGCATGGTCGACCATAGGACCTTTCTGGCTTGGGTCGTGCAACAATGCGGCACATGCAATCTTGCCCAGCTTGGGTTCGTAATCCGACTGGCTGACGAATATCTTGACGGGATGCTCGTGTGTCATGCTCTGGTGCGGCCTTTGGTAGAGGCTTGCACCGTTCGACTATCCGAGGTGACTATATGTATTGTCAGTTCTATCACGACCCCGTTGCTCATGTTATTCCTACTTCAGATTCGCTCCGCTACCGTTAGAGATCACTTAGACAACGTAGAGCACACACTCAAGGCCGTACTACTGGTATGTCCATTCGCTGAGTGATCTGTCGACGCTGATATTAACTTTTTGTAGAGATGTTTACTTGGTCTCAGAGACGGCTTCGTGAATCCTCGTCTCTGGGCGCAACATTCCCTGCTCTTCGAAGAAGTCCTGAGAGAGCACATCAGTCGCACGTCATCTGAAAGCAGGAACTCGCGCGGAACACCAGCCCTCAATGACAGTTTTCTTGCCGCATACGAGGACGTCAAGAGGCGCAATGACGCGATGCTTTTTAGGAATATTCCTCCGCGTGTCCTCGGGTCTCTGTCTTCAGCATTATCTGACATCAAGGTGGAAATTCCCATAACACTCGTTTCCCGCAGCTTCTAATGTGCGTTGCAGCTTCTGAATTCGCTATCATGCACATCCAGCATGGAATCTTGCCCTTTCTTTGATGGGATCCTAGATCCTTCCCCTGCCTTTGTCCGCAAGCTCGACATCTTGCTGACGTGGAGCGTGACCCCGTTGCAATACGGTGACCATCGACCTCACGCTGCGGCATCCCTTCTACGGTTATGGAGAGACAGAGCGGAAGAGCGTGCTGCAAGGCGAGAGCGAGAGTCTCCAGCAGACGATGTACAAGATCATCTCTTCGACTGGCTGGACACGAGCGAAGTTGCAGGCGAAGATAATAGCCTTGCCAGCGTGGCTCTGTTGTTCGACCAGTTCGTCAAGAACGGCCTCTTCGATTATGGACAGTACATCCAGCACCTCATCGCTCGTGGCGAACAGGGCTTGTCCTTCACTGACGTAAGTCTGCTCGTGCATCCTGTCCTGTCCTTCCCTTGACTGAGACTTATTCAATCCATCTCAGACAACCCCGTCCAGGCATAGGAGATTTCTACAGTGGATACCTCTACACAGCTCCTCCTCCCCTCTCATCAGCCAACGAAAGGTTGCACTCTACGGGCTCCGGGTACGAGAAACCCCGGAGGACCGGAAAGAACGCGAGATCCGCAGGCAAATCAGGGCAGTATTGCCGGAGCTCTTCGGCGGTGCGCAGTTTGTCGTTCGTGATCATATCGGAAGACTCAATTGTTCATTAGGCGAAGTACCAGACCAGGCTGTTGCCTCAGTAGACATTGCTGCCCAAGTCCCTGGCATTTTCACCGCGACCAGGTTCGAGCAAGTTCGACTGTTTCGTGGTTGGCTCCTGCCGGTATTGAAGAAGGCTGTTTCTGCGTTCGTAGCGTTTGGCCTGTCAGCTCTTTCGCATGTTGACTTGATATTAGGCACACTAAGGGCACGGAATATCCGCCTGCGCTGAGGGCATACTGCACAGCCGTGACAGTAATGGCTCGCAGTCGACATTATGGGATCATACTCGAGGTGCGACTCTTTTTGACGGGTCCTCTCATTTTCACTGACTCGTCACAGCTCACTCTGTTCGCTCTGGAACATGCAATGTCCAACGAGTTTCTTTTAGCCATATTGCAGACCCTGCGACAACACGTCGAGGTATGGGGATGTATGAACAAGATGAAGGATATCGAGGAGGCTTTGTACGCGACGCACAACTTCTGGAAGACAAGAGGGGTACAGAGCCGAGACCTGCTCACGTTACTCTTCGCGATCGACAACGGGCAGCATCTCGACCAAGTCACGCGGGCTCAGCTCATAGCCGACCATGAGCAGTTTATACGAGTGCGTATACGACCAGCAGCGCTTTCAGCTCCTGGCTGACATAATATGGACAGGCGTTTCATCCCGTTGGGGAGCGGCCCGTAGTTGTACCCGCCGTTCTCCCCGAGATCCTTCTCCTCGTTACAGACCCTAACCCCGAGACGCCGTCCATCCTCGCGAACAGCTTGTGGTACAAATACCGCAGCGCTCCCGACTGGGCATGGAAAGTATGGGACAACACGGTCGCCAGCCTCCGCCAGATACCGTCCATGATCGAGGATCCTGCGGGCCGTCGCTCTTGCGCCTTGCGCTACTCAACCTTCTTGATCCACGTCGACAGGCATCTAGCCACCGGACTCGACGAGCATGTATTGGGCTGGCTGCGCGGCTCCGGCAAAAATGAGGTCGCAGCGCTTAGCACAGAAACGTGGGATCTCTTCGTGGTCGTGCTGCTCCATCTTGCCTCCAGTAACGCTCTTGCTGTCACGTCGCTACTGGAAGGTCTCGTATACCCCGCATGGCAGACTGCGTCTACTCTATCGTCTCCGCAGCAGGGCGCGTCGATGGAAATTATCTTGCCTGTCGTCAACGACCTATGTACCCGTTTACTCCTCATCGACGGCACCGACAGCGAGGTCCCGCCCCTTGACTTCCTCCAGTACCATGGTTTGCAAACCGGACGACGTGACGTGTACCGCGGACCCTACTTTGCAGCTCTCGTGAAGATAATCCCCACCCTAGTTCTGCTTGAACATAATATCAACATACCGGAGCACCTGCGCCAGGGCTGCGGTGTACTGCGGGTCGCTTTGTGCAGCTCGAGCGTCTTCAGGATGGGCACGTTTCGCGAGCTCGACACTGTGCACGATGCGTTCCAGGCTGTACTCGCGAATCCTGAGGTACCGGAGGAGAAGCATGAGCCATTGATTGCTGCGCTCAAGCTCATATTTAACGAGGGCCAACAAGGTGGATTTTGCATCGCCTACAAATTGACGCCAGCCTAATCACTCTGTGCAGAGGTTGCCGATCCGTACCCAGGCTGGGGAACGCTATCAAGTTTTTTGAGTCCATGGAAGCTCGCTGCCACGTCAATTGAGTTGCGGTTCACGATGCGACAGTTCAATGAAGCATTGCAACGCCCGGCCTACAAAGATCGAGCGGAGCGGAGCCTCAGCAAGCTCGCTATCACGCTGTTCGGCCAAGGCATGGACTCCGAACAGGCTGATTTTGTTGCTGAAATGATAAGAGGCGTCAACCCGGTCGTAGTCGGAAAGGTGTGCCGTATCGTATCCAGACACAGGGTGTATTTCTGACTTGGCCATCGTCGCGAAGTTCGTTAACGCGGGTCTACAGCGAATAGCCGAGATCTTGAAGGAAGGGACCCCGTTACAGATCACGGAAGACCTACATCGTAACGTTGGGAAAGCTGGCAAAGTCCTGCGTCTGCTGACGAATCTGGTTGAACCCATGCGAGCTCCCGCCAGCACCACTTCGCTGCCTCAGGTCGACAGTCCGGCGCCAAGGGATCTTATCTCCGTTGTACAAGGTCTGCTGCAAGGAATTGCAGACCGTCTTTCTTCGAGCGACATCCCAGAGTCTTCGGTGATCAGCGATCACGACTCTGTGCGTCGAATGATTGCCGCCACCATCTTTCTTGCGCGGGTCGTGCAGTTTGTGTTAGGTTTTCCTGGCGCATGGATGCAGTGGGCGAAAGACCACTGCGAAAATTTGTCTCAGATACTGAGTCGGTTAATATTGGTGAGCGTGACGGCACTCATTTTACTCGTATTGGCTAACGAGGTATAGGTTTTTGGCTCTGGTACTACTCTGGATGTCATTGCATTCCCTTTGCTTCTAGATACTCTCTATTATTTGTTGGATGGTACGAGACATCGTTGCTGTCATCTCTAAAACTTCTTACATCTTGGTTTGCCAGAGATACCCGTAGATCCGAAAGCCACCACCATAGATCCTTTCCGCTGCTACCCCGTATACGAGCTACGAAGCCTCCCTCTCGACATGCCCTTCGAATATCGCTCCAGAATACGTGCCCTGATACCCTACGTTGAGCCCAATCTCGCCGTTGCCGACCTTGCCTATGTCTCAAGGGATCCTTCTGGCTCGATATCATCATCGGAGGTGTCATTAGTGCACAACAAACCATGGGAATGGACAGAATATCTGGGTGATGTCTCCGGGGCAGACACTGCTAAGGAGAACGTCGAGACGCGCGCCCTCCAACCGTCGCACTATTCTACAGACCAGCAGCCTGTGATCCGCAACTCCTCGTCTTTGTCCCTGGACCTGTTCGCCGCCCGGGTGATTGGAACCAGCAGCGCGCCCGCTGAAGACGCTAGAGTCGAGAGCGAGTTGCGCATGTTGCAGGACGATTTCCTGGCGGAAAGTGTATTCAGGAGGGACTTCAGGGAAACGCGCGTTGATCCTTCGGTTATCGGCGCTAAGGTCAGCCCTGCCTTCAACGTTGAAGATGGCGATGCAGGCAATGCACTCGCCCCCTCCGGCTCCGACCGTCGTTCGAGCTCGCGCGCGGGGTCACCGTCCGGCTCCGTTCGCTCCCGAGCGTCGATTCAACCTTCCACAGCGTCAGGCTCTCGGCAAACCAGCCCAGCTACGACACGCGGCTCGCAGCAGCGTAGCCATTCTGGGCTCAGCAAACTTGCAGGAACCAGCATGGTCGAACCGATCGACGTCGACATGCTCGACCTGACCGGCGCTGCGAGCAGAAATACGGCAGGCACCAAGCGGAAAACTGCTGAAGTAGACGACGATGACGAGGTGGAGATTGTCGAGCGCTCGGCTGTTGCGTCTCAGTCAAAGAGAGTGAAAGGGAAGCCCAAGTCGAAGAATCGATGACCACGATGGAATGGCCCCTCAACTCATCACGAATGTCCATCGTTCCCACCGAGAGGTCCGCCGCCTCACCCGAACCTCTTAAGATCTGAATGTGTGCCATAGAAGGATCTTCTTGAGTGAAAGTTATAAGTGTCCAAATGTACCATCAGCATTAGTCCGGGGTACGTCGAAACTTGAGACTCTCTTCTAATAAACTGGTGGATCGCAGAGACCGTGTGTGACGTCTATGATTCATCATTTCAATCAAGTATTGTATACGTGTGCGAGAGCGCACAAATTGAGCATGCCATACGCGGTGCGTGAGATGCGGCAAAACGGCGAGGCAGAAAGGCGCACGAATCTAGACGCCTTAAGCGCCCCGCCGCAAATCTGACGCGACCTGTCCCGCGCGGATTTGCTGATCTGAGGCTGGCTTCACTTCGGCCATCTCTGTTCGCTACACCCATGCTACACTGCTGAAGGCTGCCTTTGCTCGCAAAACATGAGCTATAAATCGCTCCCGACGAACGAGAAGACGGGCATCCCGCCCCCTGTGCAAGCGCCCACGCTCACACGCACCGGGAGTTTGACAGGAAATAGGTATCGTCGCCTAGCGACGTTTGCGAGGCACTTTGCGCTGCTCTCGCTGGTATTCTTTACCCTGAGTCACTGGGCTGCTCGACTTAGGGCTGAGGTCGACGCTGAAGTGAATGCCTGGCTTCCGAAGCTGTTCGCTCCCAACTATCATAATCAATACAATGGCAAGAAACACTCAGTTCCGCACGATAAGGCTGCCGAAAAACTCTTCTTGTGAGCACTTACTGGCAGCGCCACTTCCGTCGGTAGAAATGTAGACTAACCGGGGACCCAGGACCGTCCCTAATCCCGCCAGTGCGATCCGGGCCTCCCGCCAATACGCCACCAAGCCCCATATGGCAGGCACGCCCGGCGACTTCGATACCGCCAAGCTTTGGCTCGGTCTGCTGCAAGCCGAGCTCGGCGCCGTCGCGCCCGCGAGCGAGCCCATCTACTCTGCCGGCTCGGATGAGTCGCGGAACGCTACTCTGTCCATCCCGCACCTGAATGCCCCCACGGCGTGGATCGACGTGTACTATCCGGTGATGAACACCCCGATTAACCTCAGTTTGTCGATTTTGGGAGAAGATGGGCTGCCCGTGTGGACTGCCCCGTTAGAAGAGGTCGCGGACGAGACAGATCCCGACGCGGGAAAGTACGCCGAGGCTGTGCCGACGTTCCATGGCCTCAGCGCTTCGGGGGAAGTGTCAGGCAAACTGATCTATGCAAACTATGGACGACAGGAGGATTACAAGGCTCTTGTTGAGAAAGGTGGGAATCATCGCCGCGTACTTGTCTTGTTGCAGGAATGCTGACAAGCAGCAGGAGTGAATTTCACTGGCTCGATCGTCCTTGTCCGTTATGGCGGCACCGGCATTGTTCGTGGTCTTAAAGTCAAGGGCGCGCAAGAACTCGGCGCCGCAGGCGTGCTCATTTTTTCCGACCCGTCCGACGATGGTGTCGTCACCGAGGACAATGGCTATCTCCCCTACCCGCAGGGCCCTGCACGCAACCCGACGTCTGTCCAGCGCGGCTCAGTGCTGTTCCTATCGCTTTATCCTGGCGACCCTACTACGCCTGGTCGCCCCTCGTATGAGAATAGCACTCGCACCGAGGCGGAGAGTATACCCAAGATCCCGAGTTTACCGCTCTCGTGGGCGAATGCGCAAGTGTTGCTCAACGAAACTTTGGAGGGTGGACTAAACCGGACTGTATCGCTCGTTAACCATGTGGAACACAAGGTCACTCCGATCTGGAACACAATGGGTGTCATCCCCGGGTACATCAAGGACGAGGTCGTCCTCGTTGGCAACCACCGTGACGGCAAGTCTCTAGCTACTTTTCGAGCAGTTTCCCGGCTGACGTTGGTGTAGCATGGGTCATGGGTGCGGCTGATCCCTCGTCTGGCACAGTGTCTACACACGAGTTTATACGGGGGCTTGGTGCCCTTCTCAAGGAGGGATGGAAGCCGCTGAGGACTCTCGTTATCGGGAGTTGGGACGCTGAAGAGGTATGCGCATTGTTTGATGTATTGACAAATATTTCTCAACATGCTCTGTCAGTTTGGTTTAATGGGTAGCACCGAGTGGGGAGAGGACTTCGCGGATTTTATCGGCGACCACGTCGTCACGTACGTTAACCTCGGTAAGTATTGGTCTGCAAAATGACATCTCCAATAAAGCTCATGACTACCTGCCTTGCAGACTCCTCTGTCTCTGGTTCCCGCTTCAGCGCCAGTGCCTCCCCTTCGCTGGCTCACCTCGTCCGTGGTGCTGCAGAGGAGATCCCACACCCTACAAAGCCCGGAAAATCGATCTGGGACGCCAGAAATGATGTTGGTGTCTTCGAGGGTCCTGTCAAAGAGGAAGTTCGCGAGACACACGAAGCTGAGGTGCAACAAGCGGACGCCCTCGGCGTCAATCCTCTGGGCTCCGGCAGCGACTACACCGTGTTTCTGCAGCGCATCGGAGTCGCGAGCATGGACGTGAGCTTTGAAAATACAGTTAACGATCCGCCTTACCACTACCACTCTATCTATGACTCCGAGCGGTGGCAGGAGCTCTATGGAGACCCGGGCTTCTTCCGCCATGTGGCCGCCGCGAAACTGCTCGGACTCCAGACCCTTCGTCTCCTGGACTCTGTCGTCCTCCCCATCAACACAACCCATTATTCCTTTGAGCTGGAGAAGTACCTGGAGCAGGTTGAGGCTATCGCCAGCACGGCTTCCCTTGACGCCGACTTCTCACCTCTTCGACACTCGCTGCACTCCCTCCAGAAAGCGAGTATCGCTCTCGATAGGGAGAAGTATGATGCGGAGAAGGAGCTGAAGAAGGTTGTTCGGAAGCTGGTCAGGCACAAGATCATCCGCCGTAAAATGCGCACAGTGCTCTGCAAGACGAAGAAGATCTTCGGCAAGGAGTGTCATGGCGGGCACAAGAAGCACTCCGGTCAGGAGGCCGAGCCTGTCGTCGACTCCCCGTCTTTCGCAGCTGAGGAGGGCCGTGCTGTCCAGTCTCACGTCGGACGTGCACCCGTTTGGGTAAAGGAGCTTCGCGAGGGACATCAGTGCCAGACGAAGGACAAAGATCATCGCAAGAGTCACCTACACAAGAGGCTGGAGAGGGCAATCAAGCGTGTGCGCAAGGCCAACCAGAAGCTCGCTATGTTCGAGCGCGGCTTCATCTCCGAGGAGGGCATCAAGGACCGTGAGTGGTACAGACACCTCGGTGTCGCCCCTGGCAAGTGGCTTGGTACGCCTATTTCGTACATCCTTTAATGAGCGATGAGATGACGACTGCGCTTACAGGTTACGGTGCGACTACTCTGCCTGCTCTCACAGAATCCTTTACCATTGACCATAACGCCACTCTCGCCGAGCACGAGATCGACAGGCTGACGAAGCTCGTCGACAAGCTCGCAGACAAGCTCGCGTCTTAATTCGGATGTTTATAGCTATGAACAGTGCAGCGTGGCTATCAAGCCTAATGTATACTACAATGTATGCGTTCTCATGAGTGTGGACAAATGTACGTTCTGAGCACATCAAGAACATCAACAATATGCCGTTCCAATATACATAGAATAAGAATGAAATTTCTCAATCTACGGTGCGTAGCATGAAGTGAGTAATATCCGATAAGCAACTCCAGAGGGTTACGGAATATGTGGACTCTCTGCCTCAGCAGATAGTAGCGGCATCGAGGAACGAGACAAAAACGCCGGTTGAGTTATCTCCCTTGCAGCTCGGCGAGTCGATGTTCGATGTCTTGTCACTCGTGAATAGAACGCTTAGGTTGAAAGAACGAGTAGGGAGTTGCGGCCAATTGCAGAATCATGGCGAGGGTCGGACAAAGCAATTCCGATACACGATCTGGTCAGAATTCGTGTAAAAGCACGGTCCGGACACGGATATTGAAAAGTGCACCCAGAGGCAGGGCCGTTCCTGTCTCGTATACACAGGTCCCAAGCTCCTACGACAGGCTGACGCAGTGCATCGCCGGAGCCATACTCGACTTGTGAGGCGGAACGGGCGCCACAGAGCAGACAAGCGACGATGCCCAAAGTTTTCCTGATATGCGACTACAAGCGGTGGGTTAGCCGGGAAAGTACGTTTGGCCGGGCAAATGGCAAAAGGTCCCCTCCCGATCGTGTGGCTTGACGCGCAGAGCCCGCGCTCAAGAGCAGCGATTATCGCCCTGATTGGGGGAAGCAGTGCTTTCCTGACTGGACCTCGACGGCTTGATGCCTGCTCCGTCAGCTGTTTACCGGCAGGACGAGTAGTGTGCAACGTACCGGAAGGGCGCGCAGGCCCCCAGCCCTGCCAAACCGCTTCCAGACGCCCTAAAGCGTGACATTATTTGCCACGTGGAGTGGTCGGTTTTGCATGAGGCCTACCTTATAGCCAGTTGGCGCAGTGGGCTCTGACCTTGGGTTAGCTGCTCCTCTCTGCCATGCAGTCCTTCCTCCGAGTCGTGTCAGCAAGCTTGCTTTACACCCACAGATCTGTTTATTATAATAAGGTGATTATTATTGTCCATCCTTGCTGCTGTGTCTGCTGCAATGAATGTATCTTCTTGCTCACCACTCGTGTGCTCAATCAGGCAAGTGCCCACGGAACCTCGGTCTCTCGTCTGCTCCGCTCCAAAGTAAACAAAGTTGCGAGGCGAACATTTGCACAGGCGGTCTAATGTTTTGTTGGTAACTGTGATGTCTTACCATACAACCACCTTGTTCAATGTCCTAACTTGAAGATGGAGCTGATGGATGCAACTCCGAGTGCGGCCGGCGCTCCGCTGGCAAAAAGTGTCAGCAAGTTTATCTTATCTTATCTGATAACCCGTCCATCCGCGACCGCGCTGCGACCTCCACGCCTATCCTTTTGTCCACTTCCGCGCCGATACTCGCGCTTTCGGCCTCGCATCTGAGCAGGCAATGCTGCCGTACCCAGCATGGCACGGTGAGTCAGGCCCTCTATATTGTCCATTCATTTAAAACAACACATAAGTAGGAACACGTCCATTCTCTGCGGTTCTCTATATTCATCCCACTCGACAGTGATCCTGCGCCAAAGGCAATACCGTCCGAACCCCCTTCGCATCCCCACCTATCCTCGCATCTACACTCAGTCCGCGCCTTCGGCTTCTCACCTACCACTCCTCCCCCTACCGTCTTTGAACTCTTCTCAAAAGACCGGTTGAATCATATTTTTTTGGGACGCCGAAACGCGCCAAAGGAAGCCGAGGGACTCTGACGATCTGGGGAACCGTAACTTTACTGATTCTATGCACCTCTTGCGAGATATGCAGGATAGAAACATGCTAGCACGTTAATTGAACATACTACTCAGTGGACAGCGCGTTTCACATACACAAATTATCAGACTAGTAGAAGTGGGTAATATTCGGAACCGTCAATGCCAAGCATAAATACAAGACGACTAGACACTCAGGTGATCACAACCCCACCTCATGCGCCAAATCGATCCCTGACTTTGGCAGGGTCCTTGCATGTCTCGCGGCAGTAGTCGTTGCGCTTGATGCACTCCTCGACGCCCGAGACGACACGCCTCTCGCCCTGCGCACGCGCCCTCTTGACGAGGTCTGCCGTGCGGGGCAGGCGCACTCGCTCCAGCTCTGAAAAGATCGTCTTCAGCGTCTCTGTTGACGGTGACTCCGCCGAGGGGTTGTGCTGCTCGAGAAGGTCGATCAACAGGCCGACGTCCTCGTACGACTGGTTCGCGCCCTGACCGAGGTGCTGTACAGAGGTCGTTACGGTGGACTCGACGCTTGAGAGCTTCAAATGCTTACAGGGCTGGTAGGGTGGGCAGCATCTCCGACGAGGACTACCCGTCCTTGGGACCAGGTCTTCAACTCGGGGCGATCATAGATACCGAACTGTCGACAGTGGTAAGCCATCGAACAGATTTTAGAAGTCGCCGTACTGACCCGGACGATGTTCAGGCTGTTCTTGACCAACTCGCCAGCGCCGAAGGGCCACTCGGTAAACGGCGAGTTCTTCTTGAAGTCCTCGGCCGCTGCGGGATCAATCGACTTCCACCCTTCCTTGACCTCTGGCTCGCGCATGAAAACACTGGTACGCTTATTCAGTAATAGGCGTGAGCAGAGAGGAAGGAATATAATACTCACAGCCAGAGCATCAGCGAGTCGCTCACAGGGATAACAATCATATGCGCGCCGTTACCATACAAGTCCGCCAGCGCATGCTTCCCCCTCCAGAATTCGGGAATGGGAGACACACCACCCCACTACAAAGAGAAACCAATGAGAAACTTTCACAGAGACAAGAAAGCACAAGTCAGTACCGAGGCAAGACCGGTGTAGTCTGCAGGTGTCTCCCCGAAGAGACAGCTGCGAGTGCTGCTATGCAAGCCGTCGCACCCAATCACAAAGCTGAAAGTCTCCTTGACGCCATTGGCAAACGTGACAGTGACGCTATCCTCCTCCTGTTCGAGCTTTTTCAGCTTGTGTCCATACTTGACATGAATGCCGAGTTTCTGCGCGTGCTCGACGAGTCGTTTGTGCAGGACCGGGCGTAGCACGGCAATGGACCCAAGCCCGTGAGTCTCACGCTGCCGGCGCCTGTTCTCACTGATCCCGAGCAGACCAGGGTCCTCGGGCAAGACCGAGTAGAAGTGGAACTCATCCAACTGGAAGCCGTCGATGTGCTCGACTAGACCTGGGATTCTGGCGAGCACTGCCTGTCCGTTGTACTGTATTCTGTGTCGCGTTAATGTCTTGTAACAGGAGAAACGAAAAGAAATGCGCACCCGAGACCGAGGCCCGCTTCGGAGATGGCGTCGAGGCGTTCGTAGACGACAGGGTCGTATCCCTTCTGCTTCAGGAGCATGGCTGCCACAGGACCGGAGACGCCTGCGCCGATGACACCTACTCGAGTGGGAGGCATGTTGGACGAGTGCGCACTTGCGAAGAGACTGAAAAAGTGTACGTTCGGGAGACTTGAGTTGTGAGTGCGAACAAGCTCGCATCCCGTGGCCTATATGTCCTCTCCTTATCTTGCCTGGAAGACTGCGCACGCGGGATACCCATGTGCCAGGGGCCATGCTGGCAAGATGCGTAGGCGGGCGCTGCGTTGATTGGCATATCCTGACATGTTCACAGTTCGAGATGTGAGGAAGTTCTTGTGGCCGGCGGAGAGCTATATAGTATGCTTGCATCAGCAGCCGCAAACGTGCTCCAAGGATACATCGGGACCCCCGATGTCCGGACGGACACCTCGCAACCTTCAATCCTGCTATGGCTGTCGAAGATCTCGTGATGCCGCGGGTAATTATACCATCCGCTCGGGAGGCGAGAAGGACATACGTGGCTGCGAACAACTCTGGTTTGTAACCTATGCCGCATGCTCACGGCGAGGATACCAAGCATCCCAAAGACGTTGCGAGCATCTGAACCTTTATACATCCCAGCCGGCTCGAGGTCCAGTTCAGAGGTTTAATCTGAGCCGTTAGTCAGTTTATCGTAGTCACACGACAGGACTTAACGGCCCGGAGTCTGACGCCTGGCCGTGAACTTGAACATATCGGCTGACCGATTGAGGTTGGTCTGACACAGCCCTCAATGTCAAGTTCAAACCAAATGTACGGCAATAGCGATCTCCGGACCGCTGTGAGCATTCTCGTTCAAGACAAGGTCCACCAGACCCCAGAAGTCAGCCAAAGGCATGGTCCAGGTTAGGAAGACTGCATTCCAACAATCTTGGCCTAGGATTGTCTGAGAAGGTTTCCTGGTTCGTCGCCTGAAATCAGCGCCATGCCATCAACGGTTTCTTTTAGAGGCGCGGGTCGAAGAGTTGACTGGTCAAGACTGGCAAAGTAGATTGAGGCTAGGGCGACGATGCACAATGGTGCGCAGTTGGGAATGTTTGGCCCTACGAGTAGATATCGTCTACTGTTTGCTCAAACGAGTTACAAGGTCAGAATGTTGACGCGTCCAGGACCGGGCTTCCGCTCAATGAGTGGCACCAAGGCCGGCTCGGAGTCAGAAGGCTGGAATTTTATGTCGAACTGGGCTCAACAGGGTAGTAGATAGTGCTTGCAGGGCCCCACAGCTCTCGGTTCTGGCCTGTGCGTTAGTAGTTGACTTGCGGAGATCTCAGCAGAAAGTGACTAATGAATCAGTTTAGAGACGAGTGTTGTGTAAAGGACGAGTATAAGGCACATTTAACTATCTATTTCAACACCTCTGCTCTTGGCTTGAACCCATATTCAGAACACATAGAGCTTGGCTCACGGGTGGCGTTAGACGATCGTTCGATTCGTCGCCTTAGCGTCCATCCTAACTGCAGTCGCTGCATGCAATGCCCCAAGCAAAGTACTATTGGCATCAGGTCATCGTGGCGCACAGCACGTGTATGCTGTGACAATTTCGATACGATATCGAGCAGTCCGTCTGATGCGTCACAAGGGCGAATCACCGTGCAAGGATCGCAGTGAAAGTGGCGTTTACAAACTGCTCTTACCGAATAATGGCATGAGGGAAAGCTGGAGGGGCTGCGCGATCTCCGTCGGGGCGTCATAGTCAATAGAGAACACTGACACGGAAGACTGGCACCCAGAACTGATGATCGTCTCGCCTGTGCGGCAATGAGCCTCTACACAGTCGACAAACATCGAGCAAGTGCTCACCAGGGAGGATAGGCACGCCGGTGAAGTTGGGGTTGACACCAGAGGTGACACTAGGCGAGCGGTGGGTCAGAAAGCGTTCGGACCGCTACACACAAGACGAGCTCACATCTCCGTTTCAAGAGGGAAGCCGTCTGGGCCGATGGCAAGCGTCGGCACCAGTGCGCCGCCAGCTAAGCGCGTGAGTATGAACGGCGGCTGCCAAATACATCAGCACCTATTCACTCAACCCAAACTGGAGATGCTTACATCCGTACAATTGCTGTTGGGCCCGAACTCAGGGAGGTTTATACTACGGGGGACAAGTTGGTGACAAAGGAAGGCCAAGATTCGATCCGCCGTGCTCACCCAATGCCGACACTAAGCGGCAAGGCGCGTTGTCCGGGTTGCGTCACGTTCGCGAGCGCGTTGACGAAGTTCGTCGTCAGGCGCGCCGCAATATTCGCTGGGTCGCTCGTGTCGTTCGTGAGGGTCGTGAACGAGCGGTGCGTGCTGTTTCCCGCTGAGAACGCGATTGCGGGTATCTATCCGATAGCGTCAGCACAGGTACCGCTTGTCCATGAAGCGCCAAGAGCTTACGCCGCGGTAGACCGAGGTGTACGTCGCTCCCATCGTGCCGCTAAGCGTGAAGAGGAAAGGTCCAGCGTTCCCGCCCTCATTCGGGCCTGCCACGACGAGATCAATGGCTGAGTCGTTGCCGAGGATCATAGGGCGAATAACATCGAGGCCCCAGACCGCCTGTATGGTCAGGCGGGTTGAGCAAGCGTACACACTACGAACACATGGTACTTGCTGATGCGCCGGGAGTGCCGTTGAAGTACCCTGGTCCAAGGCGCTCAGAACCCGGGCGAACAAACGCGCAAGAATGTACTCACAGAGATGGTCATCGTTCACGTCGTGACCGAAATATGATGCGCCAACGGGGATGGAACCAAACTCGCCGCCCGGCGCCGTGATATTAGTAGTCGGGGTGATGAAGCGCCCACCTTGTCCAGAGTTCTGGACGGCAGGTCTGAACGAGAAGCCGATGAGCAGGGAGATAACAGAGGTTATGGAGGCGCTGCAGCTCACACGACCAAGAGAACGGTGTGTCCGGCAGCCTTGAGAGCGCTGTATGTCGCTCTGCCGGGGTCGTCAACTAAACGCTACATTCAAATGTAGTAAAGCCGCAAACCTAATGTTGGCAGAGGCCCAACTATCGTCGTTGGTCAGGAGGATATTGAAACCTAATGCGACCGAAGCCACATTGATGCCGACGAAGAACAGTGCGCAGAGGCGACTAAATGAGCTAAGCATGGCGGCTGCAAATAACGAGCCCTGTGCTTCAAGGTCGTGTCCCTGTGAAAATAAATATGTTCATGCGCCACCTTTATAGCCTGGCGAGCGGCCAAAAACGATCACCGCGCTAATTCCAGCGGCGTGCATAAATGATGCAGGAATGCCGCTAGGCTCGCAACCTTCCCACGCTGTGTAGTCATCTCTACCGCGCTGAATGCACAGTGCCTGGCGGTGACGTTACCGGCACCATAATTCCACTCAAACGGACAGAGATGCATGATCAGCGCGAATGAGAATAAGCACGTTCATCGCGTCGTGAGAGGCGGTGCGTATATCGGGTACCATTCGTATGAACGTGTGATGCTTCCTAGCGGTACGGTCGACCACGAGTTTACGCACTTACTCAAGGGGAAGTAGAGGTCGCACCAGAGCAAGTGCATAGCACGGTCCAGCTTGTATGAACCTGTCTGTTTGACAATCTTGAGATAGAACTTTCAATAGGAGAAGAGGATACAGGATTCGTTGATGAATTTACAGTACACGCTGTCAGGCTATTAGCTTCATTAAATAGGTAGTGCTCGAAAACTGACCGATGGTGCATATCTGCACTGGGGAGAAGCACGCCTGTGCGCGGCTAGCCCAATGTTAAGTACTAAATATACATCGGCAGAATGTTTGACACTTACTTCCTTGTCCACTCCCGAGCAGTAGCCTGAGAATTGACATAGTCCGTCTTAATAAATCCGGGAGCGCGGTAGGCATCCGCGATACCAATAATAAACACATTATGAGAGAAGCTGCGTACCGCAGCACCATCAGGTTCAAATGGCGGGTGGCGAAGAAATTGCTCCAGGTAACGAATCTGATTGCGTCACAAATGTGCCTTTCTTCGTTGATACCAGGATGGTAGGCGACGTACGGACCACGACGCGGATCGCAATCATGATGACAGCGCTCCCGCCATTACATTACCGCAGACTCATCGATAGGGCTTCGAATGGGAAGTTATCCGGCAAAGTCAGTGTGAATTGGAATGTACCACCGCCGTATACGCTGTCCTTCTGTATACCAGGTTAAGAGACGTCAACAACCCATGAGCTCCGTGCGATATTGCGAGACAATCGCACCGATGCCTTGACGTTGAATTATGGGGTCCATCCACTGGGCCTCACGGTGTGAGTGATCGACGATATGGCTTATGATCTGTGCAGCCCGAAACCGTGACATTCCTACTTGGAGAGACGGTGCAAAGGTGGTGTGGCGAGGCACATCAGTTTTACGTTGTCCGACGCATTCTCCGACCGGCGAAGTCCGGGTGCGCTAGAATGACTGGGACGAGACTGGGTCCTGGCCTACGTAGACTATCTACGGACGTCTCCTTTGAACAGTCTGAGCCACTCGGTATGCATGAGTCTTTAGGATACAGCTTTTTAAATTGTTTGAGAGAATATCGCTTATATACATGCACATTGCGAGGTAGGATCTCTACGAGAGTATCAGTGAGTTGTGCGCATACGGCTCTGATACGCAACCTGGAAGCACCGTTTCCCAACGCCGCCCAATATGCTTCCAGAGTTTCTGTGACGCGCGCTATATGTACGCTATATGTTTTCCTCAGAGCCGTAGAACCAGAGGATCACTCGCAGTGCACATCTGCAAACTGGTAGAAGCAATCTAAATTAAAAAGTCGCCATTCCGAGGACCTGTGATAGAAGCACTAATTCTGACATAGCCGCCCCCTGTTGCAAAAGCCACCAAGCTGTACCTCATGCTAAACCAAAACGAGCCCTTATCTTGGCGGGATCTTTGCACATATCGCGGTAGAAGTTATTGCGCTTGATGCACTCCTCCACACCCGTCACGACACGCGCATCACCCTGCGCACGCGCCTTCTTGACAAGGTCCGCCGTGCGTGGCAGGCGCACTCGCTCCAGCTCCGCAAAGACCGTCTTCAGCGTTTCCGTCGATGGTGACTCCGCCGAGGGGTTGTGCTGCTCGAGAAGGTCGATCAACAGGCCGACGTCCTCGTACGACTGGTTCGCGCCCTGACCGAGGTGCTGTACAGAGCTCATCACGATGGATTTAATACCTGAGGGCTTGGACAGCTTACCGGACTAGTAGGGTGGGCGGCGTCTCCGACGAGGACCACCCGTCCTTGGAACCAGGTCTTCAGCTCAGGACGGTCATAAATCCCATACTATTGATAGCAATAAGCTAATGAGCGCAAGTGACGAGATATCATACCGACCCTGACAATCTTCAAGCTGTTCTGTATCGCCTCACCGGCGCCGAAGGGCCACTCGCTAAACGGCGAGTTCTTCTTGAAGTCCTCGGCCACTGCAGGATCAATCGACCTCCACTCTTCCTTTGCCTCCGGCTCGCGCACGGACGCACTGGAAGATTTATTCGTCAATAGGTGCGAGCAGAGATAAAAATGTGACACTTACGCCCAGATCATCAACGAGTCGCTCATGGGGACAACAATCATGTGTGCGCCATTATCATACAAGTCGGCCAGTGCATGCTTTCCCTTCCAGAATTCGGGAATGGGAGACAAACCACCCCACTACAATGAAAGCACAATGAGCAACTCTGACAGAGGCAGAAAAGACAAGCAGATACCGAAGCCAGGCCTGTATAGTCTGCAGGCGATTCCCCGAAGAGACAGCTGCGAGTCTTGCTGTGCAGGCCATCACACCCAATCACGAAGCTGAATGTCTCCTGGACGCCGTTGGCAAAGGTGACGGTGACGCTGTCCTCTGTCTGCTCGAGCTTCTCGAGCTTGTGTCCATACTTGATAGGAATACCAAGCTTCTGTGCGAACTCGGCAAGCCGTTTGTGCAGGATCGGGCGCTGCATGGTAATGGTCCCAAGCCCCTGGGTCTCGCGCAGCTGGCGCGGGTGTTCGCTTATCCCGAGCAGACCAGGATCCTCGGGCAGGACTGAATAGAAGTGGAACTCATCCGCTCGGTGGCCGTCGATGTGCTCGAGCAGCCCTGGAATTCGGACTAGCACAGCCTGGCCGTTCTGCTGGATCCTGCGAGACGTCAGGGAGGTTGTCGCGCAGGGGAAGGTAGAGGGACGATGCGCACCCTAGACCGAGACCTGCGTCGGAAGGAGCGTCAAGGCGTTCGTAGAGGATGGGGTCGTATCCCTTCTGCTTGAGGAACATGGCCATGACGGGTCCGGAGACGCCTGCACCGATAACACCTACCCGGGTGGGAGACATGTCAGGCGAATGTGCTGTCGCGAAGCGGAAGGAATGTAATGCTAGGTGGCTTGGGATGTGAATGCAGAGAACGCTTGCACCCTAAGGTCTATATATCCTCCTCTCGTCATGCGTAAGGGACTGAGCACGCGTAATGCTCATTGCAAGAGACTGCGCCGAGGCCCGACGGGAACCGTCGGCAGCCGTTTTACTTTTTGATGCTTTGATGAGCCCCGACGTCTTCGCGGTTCGCTTGCATGATGGACAATCTTCTTCTTTTCAGAATCCGAAAGAGCCATATGACATTCCGCATCAATAGCCATAAACGTGCCCCAAGGGCACATCAGGAGCTGCGACGTCCCAGCTGGCCATCCTCGACCCTACCGCAGCTACCGAGCATCATCTGAATTGCTGCTGCGGTTAATCAGATCGTCTGTTCAGGGAGGCGAGAAGAGCATATACAATCGCGAACGACTCTCACATATACCGTATCTGCCATAATGACGATGGAGTTGAGCATGACTCGAGCTCACCTTCACACACATCACATCCAAGACAGGTCCGGCCAAGGCCATCTTTTGTCAAGCATGCGCCCTATCGCTAAACGTAAACATCGGGAGAAGAAGCACCAGTCATGAATGTTTGAATGTGCAAAGTTGATCGCGTAGTCAAAGAAAACGCGCAGTGTGCGCAGACTCCCGCAAGACGCCGCCCGTAGCCTCTCCGCAGCGCGGGAATGCTGCGCCACAAGACCACTTTCCCTCAAATTTGGCAGACAGTCACAAAGATCCCCAGCAATTTTTATATTGTTGGGCACAGCAAATGGTTTGAACGTGGAGATTTAATCTGAGAGGATATATCGTACTCGTACACTCAATAGCTACGTAAGTCACAGCACAGCTTACACACCAAACCGCGCCTTCAGCTTAGCAGGATCGGCGCACATATCGCGATAGAAATCGTTGCGCTTGATGCATTCTTCGGCACCCGTGACAACTCGCATCTCACCCTGTATGCGCGCTTTCTTCACGAGGTGTGCAGTGAGCGACAGGCGCGCCCGCTCGAACTCTGCAAAGATTGTCTTCAGTGTGTCGGTCGATGGCGACGCCGCCGAGGGGTTGTGTTTCTCGAGGAGATCAATCAGCAGACCAAGATCCTCGTATGACTGGTTCGCGCCTTGGCCGAGGTGCTGTGCAGAGGTCGTCATGGTGCCCTGGATAGTCGACCGGAAGTGCTTACGGGATTGGTCGGATGAGCGGCGTCTCCGACGAGGACTACTCGTCCTTGAAACCAGGTCTTCAGCTCAGGACGGTCATAGATGCCGTACTGTCGACAGCAATCAGCCAATCAACATTTATGGTAAAGTGGGAATGTACCAACCCGGACGATCTTCAAGCTGTTCCTGACCAGTTCGCCAGCGCCGAAAGGCCACTCACTGAACGGCGAGTTCTTCTTGAAGTCCTCGGCCACTGCGGGATCGATCGATTTCCACTCTTCTTTGGCCTCCGGTTCGCGCATGTTGACACTACGAACGGCTGATCGTAAACAAGTTTGAGCAAAGAGGAACGTGATACTTATGCCCAGATCATCGTTGAGTCGCTCATGGGGACAATAATCATGTGTGCACCGTTACCATACAAATCGGCTAGCGCATGCTTTCCTTTCCAAAGTTCTGGTGCGGGAGATAGACCGCCCCACTGTAACAAGCCAATTAGTAGCTCTGACAGAGGCAGGAATATACGAGTAAATACCGATGCCAGACCCGTGTAGTCTGCAGGCGTCTCCCCAAAAGGCAGCTGCGCGTGTTACTGTGGAGGCCGTCGCACCCAATTACAAAGCTGAAAGTCTCTTGGACGCCATCAGCAAACGTAACAGTGACGCTACCCTCCGCCTGCTCGAGCGTTTCCAGCTTGTGTCCAAACTTGACAGAAACACCAAGTTTCTGCGCGTACTCGACGAGTCGTCGATGCAGGACCGGACGTTCGACGCTGACAGATCCGAACCCGTAAGTCTCGCGCTGCCGGCGTGGATGTTCACTGATTCCGAGCAGACCAGGGTCCTCGGGCAGGACCGAGTAGAAGTGGAACTCGTCCGCCTGGAAGCCGTTGATGTGCTCGAGGAGCCCAGGGATCCTGGAGAGTACTCTCTGGCCGTTGTACTGAATTCTGTGGTGCATCAGCTATTGTTAGCAAGAGAGATGACAAGATAGTGCATACCCGAGACCGAGGCCTGCATCAACGGGAGCATCGAGACGTTCGTATAGGACGGGGTCGTATCCCTTCTGCTTGAGGAACATGGCTGCGGCAGGACCAGAGACACCTGCGCCGATGACGCCTACGCGAGTGAGGGACATACTGAACGAGTGTATTATCGTAGGGTGACTGGAAGGGTTGGAATGCTGGAAGGCTTGTCACAATGTGAATGCAGACATGTAACGCCCGCTCTCCATGGCCATATATCCTCCTCTCTTAGCATGCGTGGAGGACTATGAACGCATGTGGCAACGCCATGCCGACGATACGTGTAGATGGCCGCTCCACGGCTTGACGCGCCCCAAGGTGTTCGCAGCATTTTGGATGAGAGTGTAAACGATTTGTCACGCGTTTGACGCGATCAGTACGCCGGCAGTTTCAAAGTCCGCCCGGCATGACGCCGGATCTGGTTTGAGAGAATAGTTCAGGTATCTACGCACATTGAGACAGAATCTCGACAAGAGTATCTGTGAGGTGTGTGCAAACGTAATTAATAGCACCTAGGTGCACCAATTCTCAACGTTGTTCAGTATATATTTCTGAAATTCTTGCGCAACGGTACGTGTTATATCTGTGCTATATCCCCCAGTGCACATTCTCAACCTGGAAGACAATTGCAATTTGGTAGACGCGACAATATTCTTCTCTGCAGAGAGCTACACAGCTTTTCGCACCAGTAATCACGAATGTGCCCCAAGGATACATCAGGATCCGTGACCTCCTGGTGGAGCACCTCGTAATCTTCGACCCCACTTGAGTTGCCAGGTGCCATCCGAGGTACCGTGGTCAGTCAAGTTATCTGCTCAGGCTGACCCGGGGCCGTCGAGCTCAATACCCGCGCCGCCAACAACAGTAAGGGTCACCTCTCATTCGAGCTGTCCAATTAGTGCATGTCGCCTCAATGTGGCTACATTGACGACGTCATGTTTGAGGCTAATCGAGCACAGGCGAAAAGCTAGGACCTCTGGACAATAAAGTGTGGGGAGCCAATGCACAACCCAACGATAAGCACCATCGTTGGAACAGCGCTGCCACCTGTTAAGCCATCGGCAGCCGTGCCGAGCTGTCTCGAAGTGCTCATTTCGGTAGGCCAGACGTCTCGCAATGGGGCTACAACTAGAAAAATCGAATGTTGGTCTATCGATTTGCAGTTAGCTGCAAAGGAGACATGCATTCAACGCGCTAGACGCAGGCAAGATGCTGCCAAGTAATCTTGAAGCGAGGGAAAACTGCGTCACAAGATGGCTTCCCTTGAAAGCGATCGTAGACATAACCAGCGACTTTCGTATTCCTGACTTTACCTTTGAACATAAAAATACAAACGAAGAGGAAATAATCGCCGCGCTAACGCGACATCGTACTCGTACAAACGACTAAAACATAGAGACAGTCGCAGTCGCAGCTTACACCCCAAACCGCACCTTCAGCTTATCGGAGTCGGCGCACAAGTCGCGATAGAAGTTGTTGCGCTTGATGCACTCCTCGACACCCGTGACGACACGCATCTCGCCCTGCGCGCGCGCCCTCTTGACGAGATCTGCAGTGAGCGGCAAGCGAGTTCGCGCGAGCTCCCCAAAGACGGTCGCCAGCGTATCGGTCGACGGAGACTCCGCCGAGGGGTTGTATTTCTCGAGGAGGTCAACCAGGAGACCGACGTCTTCGTAGGCCTGGTTCGCGCCCTGACCGAGGTGCTACGGAGGATCGTCAGCTCGACTTGTTCTGCGAGGAAACGAAAGGTGCCTACAGGGCTGGTGGGGTGGGCGGCGTCGCCGACAAGCATAACTCGTCCCTTGAACCATGTCTCTAGCTGAGGGCGGTCGTATATGCCGTACTATCTAGAGTCATTAGTCAACTGTCACAGGGAGCAAAGCAAAGCACCTACTCTAATGATCTTCACACTGTCCTTGACCAAGTCCCCGGCCCCGAAAGGCCATTCGCTGAACTTTGATGTTCTCTTAAATTCCTCGGCTGTCGCGTCATCGATCGACCGCCAGTCTTCCTTGGCTTCCGGCTCACTTTGAGAAATACTATACCAAGAACACATTCATGTGAGCGAGAATATATCACAGCAGGGACAGTGAAGTACTTACGCCCAGACCATCTCTGAGTCGTTCAACTGAACAACAATCATATGTGAACCATTTCCGTAGTAGTCCGCGGGCGCACGCTTTCCCTTCCAGAACTCAGGAGTCGGAGACAAACCACCCCACTGAGAATTACAGGCAATAAGCATCTTGAGACGCGATAGACAGCATGTATACATACCTGGGATATGCCGGTATAATCAGCAGGCGTCTCCCCGAAAAGACAACCACGGGTGTTGCTGTGCAAGCCGTCGCATCCAACCACGAAACTAAACGTCTCCTTCACGCCGTTGCCGAACGTAACAGTGACGCTGTCCTCCGCTTGCTCCAGCGATTCGAGCTTGTGTCCAAAATGCACGGGCACGCCGAATTTCTGCGCGTACTCGACGAGCTGCCGGTGCATGGTCGGGCGGTGCACGCCCATGGTCCCGTACCCGGTCAGCTCGCGCTGCCGGCGTGGGTGGTCACTGATCCCGAGCAGGGCGGTGTCCTCTGGTAGGACTGAGTAGAAATGATGCTCGTCCGCCTGGAAGCTGTCGACGTGCTCGAGCAGACCTGGGATCCTCGCGAGCACCTTCTGGCCGTTCTGCTGGATGCTACGAATCGTCAGCATTCCCGTGAAGGAATAGGAGGAGTAGGTTTCAACTTACCCTATGCCAAGCCCTGCGTCGGATGGGGCGTCGAGGCGTTCGTACAAGATGGGGTCGTATCCCTTCTGCTTGAGGAACATGGCCATGACGGGTCCGGAGATGCCCGCACCGATGACACCTACGCGAGCTGGAGCCATGTTTGAGTAGTGTACCCGCCGCAAGGGTGAAAGATGGATATGTTGAGAATTACAAGCTGCGAGTGCAGAGCGCGCCCACATTTCATACGAGTTTAAATACCTTCCTACCCCCAACATGCCAAAACTACGCGCGCGCCACACACCTACGGGCTGCATCAATACGCGTAGACAACCCTGTGCTATTTATTGACGTGTTCGCAGTACCATTACGACTATCGCGTCGCATCAAGCGAGATCGATTGCACTTGCAGTAATGATTGTGAGTATCGTTCCGCAGGAACTCTGGCTTTGGCAGGGCACACCGCAACGATTACTGGTGCCGATAGCCGTCAAAGAGACTAGCGACTGGTCATGGGCTGTCCGCTCGGAAGCAAGGAGGACATACGTATCAGGCCGGTCACCCCCTTCATGCACTACGTGATGGCGGTAGTGATGGGTTAGCGCATGCTGTGGGAATGAAACCAATGCATTAGTTGCCGAGGACGGTGTGTACCGAGGTGTGCAGTGCGGGAAAGCTGCGCCACAGGAGATCCTCCGAATCAAGAAATTGTGGAAATAGCCAACGACTAGTAGACTCCCAGTCCTCTCGGCCATCCTGCGCTTTGATAGTGTCCACCCTGTATGAGGACAAGGGTTCCTCAGACCTAGGCCCGCAGCGCGACGTCGGCCCGAAGCTTAGCAGGTTGGGCATGAGTATGTTCAATTCCCGAGTGGCAAATGACAACCTCCTTTGTCATCACTCCGGACCCTCGACAGCAGCATAGTCTCCAAGTATGCACCCAGCAACGAGAAATCGCCACGTATTCTTGGTTCGTTCCCCGACTAGGTTGCCGCCCGCCTGCCCGCCATTGTTCTTGCTAGGGCTAGCAATTACCTAGTCTGGGGATGAACCAGCTAGTGCAAACCCGAAGGCTTCGGTATGTCCCACGTTCGATCCCTGGGGTGCGGCCATGCCGAAGCCACCAGATGATCGAGCAGCAACATATCAATAAAGCAGAGCGAACGGCACGACTACGGCCTCACAAACGTGCGTAACTAGGAGATATCATAGCGGGCGCGGCATATGAGAGGGGACCGCCCGGGAAATATCAAACCTAGCACCAGTTTGCAAATAGATGGGAGCGTACCTGGAGCCATAGGTCTCGATCAACTCGAGTACTGGCGACATCAAGCGTTGTCTGAGCCCCAATTGTGTCCACGAGATAAGCGAGATACGAAGAGCCCGCCATAAAAGGCCGTAATTGATGACCACAGGATACGAGGTCGGATATGATGGGCAAAGTCCGGAACTGACAACGATCGGGTATTGAACGGCAGGAGGTTTTAAAATGCACAAGCAACGTTTGGACATTGCAGATATAGATTGAGGTATCCCGGACGGTGACACGAAGGTTAACAACTACACGACCGATACTCGCGAGCCCGCCATACGGTCCGCAACCTGAAATACGGTCAATATGTATAAGGGAGTATAGAACTGGACACACATCTCGGATGTACGGCAGCTGGAGGAGACTGCCGACGAATGGTAGTTGACGTAGGAATGTCAGGATTACTGGGAAGAAGTCTCTGTATGATCACAAGACCTGAATTAGCTATCCAAGCGCAGTAGGGCAAGATCACACGTACCCAAAGAGGTTCAAAAATCCGAATGTCTCCACTATCACGCCAACGAATGGCCACTTGAGGAATACAAGCAAGATACCCCCAATGAAGCAGACAGTACCGCGCATCTTCTGTTTCCTGGCGAAGAAGTAGAACGTCTTCTGGGGGCCGATGATAAGGGTCAAGCCTGACAAGAACAGAAGCTGGGCGTTCATGAGCCTATATTCTATTCCACAGAGCATAGAATACATACATTTCCGAGAGCCAACAATGCACCATCGAAGAACAGCACAACACCCAGGAGCATGAACAGACCTCCGAAGGTCGTCAGCGCCACGCCAATCTCTGCAGCGTAGCGGGTGAACACTTGTCGAGAGACCTAATTAGCCAGACAGACATACTCTGCGCATCCGTAAGCCACATCTTGTCAAGAGAGAGCGGAATGTTAACGGCAGCGTTACTGCTGTGATAGTGTCTAGGTCGTGTCTTGGCTACACGTCGCGCATAACATGCTCCGTACGTGTCAAGCGCTTGTAGTAAATGCAATACAGAGACTACTTAAATATCAATTGTATGTTTAGCCCGGTGGCTTAGGAGTATGAGTTTGTTTTGGGGCGTTTAATTAACAAACGGAGTTCGAATCCTGGCTAGGCCTTTCTTTCGTCTCATTTTTACTGTGCCGCTGCCCCTTGCGCTTGGCCTTACACAGTACACAGGGAATTAGGGCTACGGGTAAAGCTTAATTATTGTGGTGTCATGAAAGACAGCTCACAAGCCTCACATTGTTCCATGTGAATATAGTCATATTGCAGTACATCGGGGGAAAATAAGGGATACGGTTGCTACTGTACATCATATGCATATAATTATGCATCTCATGATTCTCATCTCGGGGGCGGCTGCAGCGACGCAGCCATCTTCTCCATCATCGCGTCAGGGTCCGACCAGTCCTTGCGGTACACATCGTTACGGGCCTTGCACGCCTCGACACCCTGCACAACCCTTGTCTCGCCCTGTGCGCGAGCTCCCTGCACCATCGCCGACGAGCGCGGGATGCGGACAGCCTCGAGTTCGGAGAAGATAGTCCCGAGGGCCTCCGTGGACGGAGGCTGCGCGGACGGGTTGTGCTTCTCGAGCAGCTCGATCAGGAGGTCGACGTCCTCGAAGGCTTGGTTCGCGCCTTGGCCCAAGTGCTACGGCGGGGATGAAGACCATGGTGTGGAGGGCATGAGAGGGAGACTTACGGGGCTTGTTGGGTGGGCGGCGTCACCAATGAGCAGCACGCGGCCCTTGTGCCAGGTCTTCAGTTCCGGACGGTCGTAAAGGCCGTACTACGCGTCTGCATTAGCGACACTGCTCACACACTCGCGTGCTTTCATCCTGACCTTAGTAATGTTGATCCCAGTCTGCACGAGCTCCTTGGCACCGAAAGCTGTATCCTTGAGCGGCGTTGACTTCCGGAACTCCTCCGCCGCGACCTCATCCATCGCACGCCAAGTTTCCTTTGCCTCAGCTTCCCGTTGAGTGATGCTAGATTTGGGTTTATCAATACCCGACGAGGTGCAATCTATCGCAGAGCAACGTACGCCCATGAAATGGTGTTGTCGGACACTTGGTACGCGATCATGTGTATCCCATTGCCAAAGATGTTCATGAAAGCGGATCTGTGTCGGAGCTGATCGGGAATGGGAGAGATGCCTCCCCACTGCGTGTAGACTATCAGCATTGATAAAAATATGACACTGTCCCACACACTTGCGTAAGCCCGGTAAAGTTCGCCGGAGACTCTCCGAACAGGCAAACCCGCGTGTTGCTGTGCAGACCATCACAGCCGACAACGAAGCTCGCAGTGTCTTCGGCGCCGTTGGCGAACCTGACCTTGACAGAGTTCTCGCCCTGCTCGAGCGATACGAGCTTGTGGCCCCACTTAGTTAGAACACCGGAGTACTCTGCGTGGTCAATCAATGCCTGGAGCACCACGGGACGACGGATGCCAAAAAAAGTTGGCCCGAACTTGGAGCGAAGGCGCTTCGGAACGTCGTTTTCAGCGATGACGCCGCTGTCCTCAGAGAGATCAGAGTAGAAAAGCATGTTGTCAATGCTCCAGCCGTGCAGACGTCCGATGAGCCCCGGGGACTTTCCGATAACGCGGAGGCCGTTGGCTTGGAGGCTACAAGCAATCAGAGGACGACCCATAAAGATGGCGCATCGTAAACGCACCAAAGACTCAGGCCCGCATTGGAAACAGACTCCGTGCGCTCATAGAGAACAGGGTCGTAGCCCTTCTGCTTGAGGAAGACGGCGAGTAGAGGGCCGGCGATGCCTGCGCCGACGATGATGACTTTGGTGGGAGCCATGGAGAATACAGTACACAAAAGGGATCTTACCTTTGCAGATCAGGAGCCCTTTATATAGGAGATCCGCGTCGCCCAGACGGGAAACGCCGCGTGATACCGCCATGAGGACTGGACGCTGGCTGGATGTCAAAGACTTCGCGGTGACAGGCATCTCGTTGGCGAATTCGTCGCCTACACCGTCTTCTCAATCACATTGCGCCTCGTGCGAGTCATGATGACGCGCTTTCGGAGCCGACAGCTCAGGAAAGCGAAGGTGAAGGAAAGCAAGTCATAGGAAGGGACGAGGAATTCACTTTTGCATATAGTTGCAACTACAGCCGGACATCCTGACGCCTGAACTCCGAGCTAGTCGGGGAACTATGGTATGGGCTCCTGTACAGGTTTGGCGGAACATCGGAACGGTGACGCTCGCGGTGAGACAGAGACCAAACAGCAGCGTACTGTGTAGAACGTACTAAGGCCAAGCGAGGAAAGTGAGGAGTAGCAGCCTACACGAATAAGAATAGGAAACCACCGTGCTTGGTCACAGCTGTTCGCAAACCATAGACGCCCTTGTAAATCGAGTACGGCCGCCGTGAGCGCCTGTTGGCGCCACAAAGGTCCAGCGCTTCAGCCCCGTCATTGTCCGACCGGAAATTCTTTAAATTTCCTTTGCCAGCCGCCGGGCCGTCTTAAACATCTATCGAATCTCTACTACCACTTGCACACCTCGATGGCTTGTTTTCAGACTACAAATTACTGCTGGTAGAAGCTCTCTCGCCTGCAGAGCTCGCGAAAGTGAGCAATGCACTCCTCTGAGTCGATGCCTCGGATGACTCGGGTGTCATCCTAGGCAAGCTTTCTTGACCAATTCGGTGGTACATGGAAGACGGGCTCCCTTGGTCTCGTTGAAGATAGTGTCGAGCGCATTAATATTTATAGACAGATCGCTCGCTGCCGACGCGCTATGCTCCTCCAGCGACTCCGAGAGAAAGCAATATCCTCAAAAATCTGGTTCCCACTCTGTCCAATACACTATAAGACTTCGTAAATACCGAGACCGAGGAGGCTCACGACGGGGTTAAAATCGGGCTTGCGGGATGTGCTTCGTCACCGATCAAGATGACCCAACCGTGATGCCGAGTCTTCAGTTCAGGTCAATCGTACGCCTCCGCGAACTGCGAGGGGGCTGTTTGCAGAACTGAAACTTTTGGTAGACGATGCTGATGTGTGTTTTGGTGGATGCTTCCTCAGCTGTTGTCTCGTAGACAGGCTCGTAAGTCTCTGCCTCTGATTCACGCTAGTTGAAGTTCGATGCGACGGAGACCGGCAGAGCCAATGAGGAAGACAAGGCACGAGCAGGCTATTGCGTCCTTTCATTGGAATGACAGCCACAGTCGTGCAATTTCCGCTGTCATGTTTCCACCTCGGGAGTCGAGAACAGCCCACCGACCTCATAGGCTTGGCATCGCTGAGGGATATAGTTGACATACCTGACAATTGCCTGTGTACTTAGTTGCTAAGCAGCCTCAGACTGCTCCCAAACATCAGCTGCGAGTGTTGCTATGCATGTTATCATGTCCGATGACAACGCTGAGTAGCGGTCCGTGATCTTAGGACTGCGCCGTCACATTATAATCGCTTTGGTGCAAGTCAACAAGTTTGTGGCCACATTTGACTTGTACGTCAGCTAAGTTCTCCAAAAGTTCTACAAGCCTCGTTTGCAAGCAGACCGGGCCCGCATATACTCTCACTGACATTTGCAAACCTTGGAGTAGAAAAGCCGTTTGGATGTAACCGTCCCTATGCCATCATCCGTCTTGTCGTTTGCCAAACTTGCAGGGGGAGTACAAGAATATGAAACAGAGCCCAGCGACTCTTTACCTGGGTTGTTTGAGTGCTGTTCGAGTAATTTCCCCCGCCGTTTACTGCGATCTGAGTGGATCGCTTGATAATAACGACGGCGGAACCGCATCAGACATTAGTTTTCGACGTCAAAACTTCCGCACAATTTGTTAGAGATAAGGAAAGAGGAGCAAGTTAATGAGTGTAAATACGACGCCGTCATCGCGTCATTGGTGCCAGTCAGTCCTAACGACCGTTTGACTGGAAGCGGCCCAATTCCGTAGCCACGCTCCGGTTAAATAGCATCAAGAAAATTGCGTCCCATGTCCTGCAGGGTCAATTTGCATTTAAACCATAGCAGTATCCTTGAGTGCAGAAATAAGAACCGAGTCTTTGACTGTGGATGGCGGAAATGAGAAACAATGAAGTATTTAGCGTAAAGACGGGTACGCACCGCGTTTCAAGATGGCCGACATTGTTTTGGTGTCCTACAGATAACAATTGTGAGATAAGGATCACGGTCATTCAGGACAATGACATACGATGGCGCAAGTCTTATGTATGTGCAGAGCCCGAGGTTTTGGAGAGTAGTGCTTGTGTACGGCGGAAAGCTTCCGCTTGAAGTCTGTCATAGCAATGTGAAGACTACAGAACAAGGCAAAGAACGATGCACGGAATACATACACAGGGCAATGCTCTCAGCATCGTTGGGCTCATCTTTGTACAAACTGACATGATCCGAGAATTTAATTCCTGAGCCGGCTCGTCAGGTTCAGGACGTAGACTGGCACCAGGTAGACTCACCAGACTTGAGCTTCCGGTGTAGAAGGTCCATCTTGTTGAGAAATAGAATGAATGTGGCGTCAGCAAGAAGCTTGTTCTCGCACAAGGTGTTCCAGAGGCTAACAGAATCCAACTGTGGCAAAAGGAAAGTATCAGTATGACTCTTGAGACTATACCGCCCTGTACTCACCAAACTATTGATACTAGGATCCTCCTTGAGTGGTACGTCGAAGTTTGATACCGGGCAGAGAAATATCATCGCATTTACTGAGGAGTCGTCTTTAGATCTATTGGGAGCTCAGACAAGACAGGGCTTACCATCGTCAAAGAAGGGAGCCCAAGCGGCTACGAGACCATCAGACGAGCTCGACACACCGACATCGAAAGAGACGTACTCCGTTGACCGCGGCAACCTTCGACGTCGTAAAATACCCATTCGCTTCCTGAATCTCCTATGCATTGTGTCATCGGCCGGGCGTCCTACAACAACTATAAGGACGTACCTGTTTCTAAAGCCAGGCGATGCTCTTCCACCCCAATAGTCTGCAGTCGCGCACGAAGGATATCTTCAGTCGGCGGGACGTAACGCATCGAGGTGACGCGGGAGGCATTGTTCAAAAAACTGCTCGGCTTCAGCAAGCGCATCGCGCACGGATTTATGCAGGCGACGTACTAAATATAATGATCTTCCAGGTCAATGTTGTGCTTGCGCAAGCCAGCTTGCACGGCGTCGTCGGCCCACAGCGCGATGATGTCGTCGCGGCAGGCATCTATAATCTGTCTCATGTCTTGGAGCTCGTCCTGGCCGGTTAACGACGTCTGCCGGCCTATCCGCGCGAGAGCCTTCCAGCCCGAGCGAACCCTCACTGTAAGGTCGGGTTGGCGAGACGAGGACGCTGACGAAGAGCTCCTTTGAGCCCGGGTGCCTCTCGACGAGGATCCTGACGGACCATCCACACACAGTCGCCGGTGCAGGATCAGCTCGACTTGGCGCAGAGGGGAGAGTCGCATGCGCAGGTGTCGCAGAGTGTCAGTGCTGCCATGCCGGCCGCCGCTGCTGACGGTCGACATGCTCGAGGCGCCGCCAGTGCCGGAGCCGGAGCTCTGGCCCGAGGTCTGCGTCGAGGTGTTCAGGCTCTCGAGGATGTAATTCACCGCGCGGACGAGGTTTAGGTGAATAACGGCGCGCCAGGCCTCCGCTTCCGCGTGGAAGGCCTTGGGTGCAAAGTGAAGCTGGAAGTTCTTCAGGAGCGTCGACTTGCCGGCCTCGGATTGTCCTGCGGAGCGTTCAGAATTTCGATCGCGCTTCCATGTCAAGCTACGGATCTCACCCAGCAAGAGAAGCTTCGCTTGAGGCCTGTGCTTCTTTAGCTCCTGCCTCTCGAGCTCAATGAGGCGATCAATCTCGTCACTTGGTTCCATTCTTTCAGCAGCACGCTTTAGGAGGACGTCTGAAGCACTCACTTGATCCTCCTGGCCTCGCGTTCTTCCTCAAGCTTCTCTTCCAACGAACCGGGATCCGCTTCCGTGGCAGGGCGAGGCGGCCATTCGTTGACTTTTTCCCCGGACCGACGCATAGAAGGTACGACGGAGAATGAGGCGGGCGCGGGAGACGATGAAGCGGAAGGATACGAGACTTGGTGTCATAATATCGAGGACACGAAAAATGTCGTAAAACAAACATATATCCCCCAACAGCTACGGTGACCTAATAAGCGAGACCAGATCGATCGGCGTCGGCACCTTACCCTATCTGGTAGCCGTCGGCCCTGGAGTAGACGTCTGGCGGCCTACTCGTGCCTTTCCTCTAGACGGTGTTCTATTACATGCAAACCGTTCTACCAGTCACTGAGCTCGAACAATAAGATGATAAATCATGCCAGCGGCAGAGGACGAGCTGAAGGTTGGACTACACCTCGGGCTCTGTCCCGAGCCGCCCGACCGTCGCGGACGAGCAGCCACCAGTCGCAGTTACTACAGCTCCATCTTAAGTAGACCCTCAGCCTAGGCTTCAGGACTGCGCACGACACGAGGGGGTTGGGATCACTAGGCTGCCCTTCGCCAGGCACCGACATGACGACGAGAACTGCCGACGTCTACATCATCAGCGCAGCGCAGCGACAAGGGACTGCAAGTCCCCTAAGCGAAATGGCTTGACAACTCTCGGCAGTTGTGGGGTTGGGTACTATTGTACTGGCAGTTACCAGGGCCATCTGTCAGAAGGAGGTGGTCGTGCGGGGATCGCGCCGTTTCGCAAGCAGTCGCGCATGACAGACAGCAGAGCTAGCAGAACGCGGCGCACAGGGAGCCCGGAGCTAGATATAATGGCCAACGTGGGGAGGGCTGTGAGAGAAGGCAGCGTAGGATGTCGCGGGTAGCCAAGGTCACCGGTCAATCTGCGCGTGCAGCGGCAGGCGAGACAGTACTGTACGTACGTGGCACGTCCGCGTTGCACCCAGCAAACTTACGCATGCGGAGAAAAGCAGCACATGGGTTCCGTAGCTAGCAAATCATTGTGCAGCGAACGCCGACGCCACAAAGCCGTTGGCCCGCCTTTGCATATGCACTATCCCCACCAATAGATAGTATGGCACGATAGTAACGGGCACCTAGTGGGGCGGCACAACGCAGTGCCAGAAACGTTCTTGCGCGGGAGAGATCCGGGGATTCCGAGAGAGACGTACGTGATAGGCGATGCCGCGAGGCCTATTCTTGTTGGCGTATCATGAGCTGAATCCAGGCGTGGCGAGAAGAGCTGGTCAGACGCATGGCAGAGGAAAGCACGAAGAGCACTGCGTCCGTAACCGCCGCCGCCAAGAAGGTCTCAACGAACCTTCATATTGAAACTTTGCTGGTCTAGTACGCTCATGAAGTTCATGAGCGTGCTAGTCCAGCAAATTTTTGATAGAGTTGCGGCGTCGCAAGGCCTATCGCACTGGCACGCCCAGAGAACCCAGTCCCAATTATCCGACGATAAGCCTCTTCCGTCAGGAGAAGTAGAAGTCGAATCGCCGAATTTGAAGTTTCCAACCAAAGAGAGTTAAGGACGAGCATTCGCAGAGCGCGGCTAGGTGGGAGTTACGCAGGGTCTACAAGGTTTACGTAGCCTCCAGCGCGCTATCGGGCCGTGCCAGAAGCAGGCTACCGCCGAACACAAGGCAAGAGTCGCAAGACCAATCATGAACGAAGGTGTTGTCCACAAGTGCTAGTGAGACGGAACTGTAAGAATGCTGGTGTTTGTTTTAGAAGTTGTGCTCAGAAGAGGGGATGTGGTGAGGTGGACAAGCACAGGTGGACATTCTGGGGACTTGAATTGGGATGTCACAGCTGCTGCTTCGGCTTGTGGTGAATCCGCGCCAGATGGAAAGACCCATGACTGCGGACAAACGTCAAACGGCGGCTTCGAACATCTCCCCGTCTTCCAACTTTGTGTGCACGTCGAACATGTCTGACTACCGATCAACTTCCCGTCTTCGACCTTGTGCGTACGTCGAGCATCTCCGGCCTGTCAGACGTACCGCATGCTTTCTGTCTCGCTTTGACCTTCGGGACTGTCGATACGCGCGGCTGCGGCTGACAATCAGCGACGGTGTCAACAAGAGGTATTTGTACAGAGTTCAGATTGGACTATCGCGAGAGCAAACAATGCTGTGTTAGAAGTACATGGGGATGAAGAAGAGACTATGGAAGAGACGGCAGAGCGAGAAGCAAGAGGCTCTAGTCCAATATTCAACAACAACAGCGACGACGTGCAGCCGACACCTGGCCAAGAAGATCTGCGATAGCTGATCGCAGCGCTATCGACGCCAAGACGGTAGAACGCACCAGTCTATACACATAATCGGCCACCGCCCCACCCGCTCTCACCTCACACCCGTCCTACCGCGCCTGCTTCGCGCGCACGACGCGCTCGTACGACTCCGCCAGCGGATTCCGGTACGCGAGCAGCGTCAGGTGCGCGAGGTTGTACGGCGGCGGCAGGAGCGGGTGCACGTGCTCGGCGTGCGCGCCGTGGTGGTGCTGGTGGCGGTGCTGGTCGGCGGGCGGGAAGTGCACCGCGACGTGCTGGAGCGGGGTCTTGGGCGGCGACGGCGTCGCGCGCATGCCGAGGTTGAGGCTCGACAGCGCCGCGAACGTCGACGCGGACGACAGCGTGCGCTGGCGGTCGTGCTGCGTCGCGGTGCGGCCGAGGTGGGCGTGGCTCGCCGAGCCCTGCAGCGGCAGCACCGCCGGCGGCCCCGGCGGAAGCGAGCCCCCGGAGCTCCGCGAGGTAAGCGACGTCCTGCGCAGCCGCCGGGACGCCTCCGAGTCCGTGGGCGACGGCTGCGAGAGGACGGGCGAGGCAGTGCCCGTGTGCATGCTCAGCGTGGGCGAAACCGCACGGTAGCTCGTCGGCGACGACGTGGGTATCTCGGCGGGGATCTGCTCGGAGGACGTGAGCGGCGCGAGAGGCGCTGGTTTCGCCGGGCCCGCATGGGCGCCATAGCCGATGGAATGAGCGCGGATGAGCGGGTGCGGCCGCAAGTGGTGCTGGGACGAGCTGGAGATCGAATGCGTGGATGGTGGGCGGGTCATCGAGCGTGTGCACGTGCTCGGCGAGCGACGTGGTGGCGAGTGGGTCTCAGAGCGGGCTTTCGTGACAGGCGGGATCGATTGTGGTGGAGGAGGTGATGCCGCGTGAACGGTAGAGGCAGGTTCTGGCGAAAAAGCGGGCGAAGTAGGTGGCTGTGGCGCAAATCCAAGTGCAACAGCAGGCGCAAAGTTAGACTGTGCGGGTGGTTGAGCGGGGAATGGCGGGGCGGGCGCATAGTCGCGCGATGTTGGTGGCGGGCCTGGCACGAGACCATCGGCCAGCTTGACGGTGTCTATGCGTGGCAGGGTCTGGAAATCTGCGCGGGGGGTAGGGTGATCGTCCTTCACAAATCCGTTGGGAATCGCATTTGGTGGCAGTTTAGGCTTTGGCTGCTTCTCTATTGGTGTGACCACCTCCTCGTCGACATCATCAGAGTCGTCTCTCGGTGTAGCAGCTCCGCTCTCGCTCGACACCCACCCATCCTCGTCGCCTTCTTCCGAGGGGCTCGATATCGTGAAACCTGCCTTCTGCTTCGTATCTGACACGTTGTTCTTCAAGGGTGTCGGGGCACGCCTGGCAGTCTGGTTGACGTTTACATGTTCTCGCGAGTGCACCCGGATGCCACTGTTCGTTCTTGGGAGATTTTTGGCAGGTCCCTACGAGGAAAAGTTCAGGACATGGACGGCCTTTGCGGCGGATAAACACACCTCGTGGTGCGGATGCCCGTTCTTCTTGGGTTTGTCTGGGTATCTTGGAGGCTGCTCCTTCTGTGTCAAGCGCAGCTCGCTGAGGCCGACTCTGGAGCCGCCGCCCGAGGAGGTCCTGGAGTGGGTGCGGACGAGGCCGCCTGCAGCGCGGTGGGCCTTGGGAGGCATCGTTGTTTGCTGAGTGCGGTGGCCGTTGGCGTTCGCGAGATTAGCCATCGGATTATTCGGAGCCTGGCTGTCTTGAATCGATGATCTCCGCGAGTGGTAGATTGATCTCCGTGCAACGCAGCGTCGAGGGCGAAATGAAAGGACCTGGGATTATTTTCGGGACAGTGCAGCCTCGCAGGTGCAGCATGCAGATCGGAGAGGACGGCCAAAGGGTGTGTGGTGTCTGCTTTCGGTGGACCGGCACTGCCAGCTATTAGAGTTGCCACACCCACGTGGCACTGCCGCTTTCGGGCGGCCGAAGTTTGCATTCTTTTGCACTCAGACTGCTTGCCCAACCCGCCCATTTATTCCTCATTTATTCCCCTCCGCCGTAGAGCTCGTTCAGGATGGAGAGGGTGCAGTTTCAGCAGGAGCAGGTGCGTATGAGAAAAAACTTGTAAACATTGCGCGTCGTTGACGTTCTTTTCCGTAGATGCTCGCCGAGCTGAAGGACCTTGTTCAGAAAGGTCTCTTCACCCAAGTGCGTCCAGAACTGCTGCAAACATGTTCAAATTTTGACACACAAACGTAGAAAGAAGTCAAGCAGATCATGAAGAAACGCACGGCTTTCGAGACCGCGCTCGTCCGGAGAGTTGCCAAAAAGAATGACTATCTGCGCTACGCAGCGTACGAAATGGGCCTGGAGGCCCTGCGCAAAAAGCGTGTAGAACGCCTAAGTGCGTGTGACAGACATCTTCACCTCCAGGATACCTGATCATGTTCTCGTCGCAGAGCTGCCCCGCCAAGGCACGTCCGTCTCGGATTACACCCTCGTACGAAGACAGTTCCACATCTTCGAGCGTGCACTCAACAAGTTCAAATCGGACGTAGGGTTGTGGATACAGTATATCCAGGTGGCAAAGAAGGAGGGTGCACGGTCACTCGTAGGGCGTATATGCGCTCGGTACGTCTACTCAGCCTGTGCTTCCCCCGAGGCCTTCCGTGAACACCCCACAGAGCTCTGCAGTTGCATCCAAATGTCCCCTCACTCTATATTCTCGCAGCGCAACACGAACTTGCCCACCTGTCACCGTCTGCTGCCCGCATCCTTCTCCAGCGAGGCATCCGTCTAAACGCAGAAAGCGTCGAGATGTGGAGAGAATATGTCAAGTTCGAGCTCGGTTTCGTGGAGAGCATGCGGAGGCGATGGGATGTGCTGGGGATTGACGTGAACGGCAAAGGTAAGGCAAAGGCGCAAGAGGACGTAGAGGAGAGTATGAACGAGCGCAAAGTCGACCAGATGCAGACGGACGCGGATGGTGAAGGCGACGAAGCTGAGCAGGCGCGAAAGGAGATCATGCAGGGCGCAATCGTGAAGTCCGTGATCTCGAACGCTGTAAAAGGTGTGCATGTATGCGGTGACTCTGGTTCGGGTATGGCTGACCACAATAGTACCTGTTAGCGTTGCCCAAAGCGGCTCTATTTGTGTCGGTGCATGAACTCCTATCAAATTATCCCACCACACCGGCACTTTGTAGCTCGTTGTTGGACCACCTCCATACTCTCTTGCGGCAAACGCTTCCCACAGACCCAGTCGCAGTCAGGCTCACTGCAACCCGTGGACTGACCGCTGGTCTAGGCGGTGCGGCTCTTGTGGATGCGCTGAAGCACGCCAACGAGAAGATGATCGCTGCCATACACGAAGTATGCAATGACAACTCTGGGAAGGATGCCGAGGGCATGGCAAGGTCGTATGCGGAGTTCATTGAGGAGTGGGTAAAGAAAGAAGACCTGGATGATAGTCTCGTGAGCAACGCTTCTCCGTCGTTTGATATAGCCACTTAGCCATTTTTATTATTCAGAAAGCATACCTGCTGACATCCCTACACATGCTAGTGCAGCGCCTCCTCAAGTCTTCTGCCCGCGATGCTCCTGCGCCGCTGCTCGCGACCGCGACTTCTCTTCTCACGGCGCATTCCTCTCTCCACTCCCTCCTGCCCTTCGCCAAAAATATCACTCAGTTGTCCGCGAAATACACTGCGACCTTTTCGGGCAAGACCTGCGCGCCTGTCTGGCTTGCTCGCCTGGAAGCCGAGAAGGCGTTCGCGGGAGATGCGGCGCAGGTGCAGAAGACGGCGAAGGAGGCGCGCGCACTCGTGCAAGATCGCGGCGTCGTAGACGTATGGCTGTGGGGCGTGCACGCCGACGACGTGCGTGACGAGGCTTCTGCCCTCGAGGTCCTCAAAACGCTCGAGGTGCGCCATCCCGCTCACAAACGTGTATAAACATCCCCTGCTCACACGCGCCGCCCGGCCACAGGAGCGGCTCAGCGAGAGCATGCGCATGCGCGACGCACCCTCCTTCCGCGCCGTGCACGACAGCCTCCTCGTGCGCTGCGCCGCCGCTCTCAGCGCGCTGCCCGCGTCCGCGGCGCGCCTCGCGCACTTCCGGCGGCTCGCCGCGGCGCACCTCCTCGGTGCCGACGCGCTCCGCGCGTTCTTCGACGGCGAGGCCTCGCGCGCCGACGGCAGCGTGTCCGAGGAGCTCCTCCGGGAGGTCCACTTCGCGTGGGGCCGGCGCGACCCGGCGGAGGCGGCGCTCGCGTGGGCGCGCTGGCTCCTGGGCGCGGGCAGAGGCCGCGAGGCCGCGGACGCTGTGCGGCGGGCGGGCGCGGAGGTGGACGGGGCACGCAGGCTCGCGCTCGAAGACGGCTGGAGGCGTGTCTGCGAGGGGTCGACGAGGCATGGGGAGGAGGATGAGGGCGGGGATGCGATGGAGCAGGACTAACGGTGGCTGTTCGGCCGCCTCGTCGGCCGTGGTCTACGTCTCAGGCTCGCTGCAGGAGTTGTATCCGTCTGTCATGCTGTTCAATAGATTTCCACACGCTCGTCGGTCGCCGTCTTGACCTTCTTGGGATGCAAGTTCAGGTGGATGCCTATCAGCCCCCGAGAACATGTGCCCCGTTTGGTCTACTTGGCGTGCATTGCCCTGAGCCGGCTTCGCATGGTACAGGCACAGACATAGTGATAGTGTGCAACGTTGTCGAGGTCGAGCGTGCCCCTGGCCCTCGCCTCGGCTTTCCCTCTTTCCGCTTATTCTTTTCGTTTGACATAGACGACAGCTATCTCGGCGCGAGTCGCGCTCAGTTCGCAGTGCCTCAACCTGTGATCGTTCGGCACCCGGGGTCACGACCGTTATCAGCTCTCTAGTGGCAACGCCGGTTGGCGTGACCTGTGCTCATGACCTGCGTGAGCGGCGAGCGCGCATTCATGTCCGGATGGTGCGCTTATTACTATGTCGGCGTGCTACTCGCCGCCTTTGGCGCGAGATAGCGTCACGACGATCTTTTTATGGGTGGCGCACCGTCTCGTACGACATCGCCTCAGACGCATTGCGCACGAAGTCCGGCTCCAACTTCTGCATTCTGCACCATGTGCGCCCTCCGAGGGGCAGCACCGTGTCGCACGCGTGAGCACATCCGTGTGACATGCACACTCGCGGCTTCTCCTCGAATCCTGACGCCGTCCTGGCCGCCCCGAAGGTCGCACGCGCACCTTTCTCGGTGCTTTGCAGAGTCTATCAACGCTTCGAGCAGGTCCGCGCCCTGCGCTTTCGCGTGCCGCGAAGCGTGAGGTTATGTCCGAGGTACATCCCGGCGCCCCCCGCGCGCGCGCCGATCCGCCCCAACGTCGCAAGGTTTTTCTTGCATCGACGCCCCGATAAGTATCCGTGCGTTGGATGTGCAAAAGGTATTGGCACTTGGAGCGGCGAGCGCGTCGGTGTCGGCGTGCGGCCGCTAGGGCAATCAGAGGGCGGTCGTGGCGGTCAGGAACCTCCAGGTCCAGGAACAGGTACCAAGAGCAGCCTTGTTCTGCGAGCGTGGCTTCCAGGAGGTGAACCATATTATTCTGGGCTTGGAGACACGTTGCACGCCCTGAGTAACGCTGCTGTAAACAGGACAAAGCCATAGTACGTCGTGTGTGGAGGAAGGTATGTCATATTAACCGAGCAGTACCTGGAATAATTCATGAATGCGCGCATCTGAGGGCACACTGACAGGCCAAGCATTGTCCTCGAGCCTGGAGCGTCGGCTGTGGCATGTCCCCGCTCTGTTCCTCTGCAAGAGCAAGCGACGGCGCGGACATCCTAGACAGGGCAACAACAGTTAAATGATTGCTTCAGCAGCTCGCTTTCAGCTGTGTACACCCCTCGGATCCCAGCAAAACGTCCAACACCCAGGTTAGCGATGGCGACAGGCAATTGCTACGTGATTGTAACCCCAGACCCCGCCGTTTCGCCTCACGGGCTCGAAGTAAATCTTGCACTCTGCTCATAGATATGATATGACTCATTCCTAACACTCATAGGACAACAATGGTCACTTTTTCTTCCTCAAGTTCGGTGATGGACCGATAGCCGGTAACAGACGTTACAGCTCGCACAACCCCACATACCAGTGAGTCCTCCTGTTGTGAGGGTACATGACCAAACTTGACCGTAACTCGCTCGTGCGCAAACAAACCGGCAACCAGCTCTGTTTGGCAGGACAGGCCTACCGAGACATCGAGCACACCAACAACGGACAGTACGTCGGTACCTTCCTCAAGCGGTGGGTGCTCGTCGAGCTGGGGTTCAACAACAGGAACGCGGCGACGAACGGAGGTAGGCACCCTTCCAACCCTGCAGCGGACCAAAGATGGTGTTCACCACCCAACGCAGAGACCGAGTGGTTCTGCATCCGCGCAGGCCCCAACGGGGCAGCGAACAGCATCCAGCACCTCTCGACAGACCTCCAGAACCTGCTGACTGGGTTCCCGCAGCTCCCGCTCGCGCCGCATCCCATCGTCCAGAACGCGCCGAACAACATCGCTGAGCAGAGCGCGCTGCTGTTGCGGAACCTCCTGTGGAAGTACAAGCCGTAGCTTCCGCCGCGGTAAAAGTCTACACCCAAGTGGGTGAGAAGCCGGGGCGCGTGTGCTTAATGCCACCACGACCACCTGAAATAGGTGCACTGTCAAACCATGTCGTGTGCAGGGCCTGCAATGGTATCGTTCGACGCCGAGTGGCGAGCGAGCCCTTGGGCTGCCGACCGCGCCCAAAGCGGCCGTGATGAAGAAAAGAGCCTTGTGCAGCCCAATGACAGTTCTGCCGCCTGACAGCGTCCATGTGCAGCAGCACTGGGAAGCCGCTCGAGGTCGGAGACTTGGTAGGTCCAGGCAGACGTTGCATATGGGAGACACGCACGTACTGTATGAGTGCACCGCCGGCTGGGTGGAACCTTGGCCGCGCTGCGTGGTATGTACGCATGTGTCGGTGTGCCTGACTGAGACAGTAAGAAAGGGCAGAGACTTGCTCCGGCCAATGGCGCCGCGCGCATGCGGGGTACCGTGGAACGTTGCACCGGCGAAGACGCAGGCGAGCCTCGGCTGCCGCGCCAGAGCTGTGAAAGGTCAAGACCTTTCGAGACGGTGCACGTAGGACGCGTCCCTGGCCGGTCGCGCGGCTGGTGTGCGGCCGCGCCGGAGCTGGCATGCGCATCAGCGCGACGATTCGACAGGATTGCCGAAACACGACTGCGCAGCTCTGCAGACGCGCGGGCAGCACCGCGTGGGGTGATTGACGTGATTGCGGCGGCGAGATCCTAGACAGTCCTAGACATACAGGGGCGAGAGAAAAGAAGACGTTTCTGAGACAGCTGCTTGTTGTCACCATGAGGGTCGAGGAGATGCCGTAGGAACAGCACGGCGCTGCTTCTCTGCGCAGCGTGCGAAGCCTGAACACGATTCCTTTTGGGCACAGTGCCTCTTGGCGCGCGGACCCGGCAAACAGGGTGTGCTGTGTGTGCGGCGACCGGTAACTTTGATAAACCGTCTGTATTCCCAGGATCTTACACTGTTATGAGTGGCTTGACGAGCAGCATAGATTATCAGTTGCAGGTAAGGGTGGAACACGGCGAGACACCACAGCAGGCCGCCTTAACCGCGGGCGCGAGGGTCAGCCGCAGAGCTAAACAGACGTGATTCAAGTTCCGGGGACGGCGGCGATGGTCGCGAGAAGATTTGGCGAGCCGCGGACGGTGCCATGGAACGTGTATCCAGCACGCATCTGCTATGCAATCACAGGGGTACATTATGAACGTATGAGGTTTCCACCCATCGCGAATGCGGTCAGCGCAGTAGTCTATTATGCTCGAGAGGGGGAAGTGCATTTCATTGCACATTGTGCCTAGAGCATTTGGGCCGTTCATTCATGAGCTCCGTCTTACCCGTGGCGGTGATGCGTGAGCAGCTCTACAACATTCACGCACCTGTGCGAACTCTGCGTTGCCCCTGGGCAGCTCCACGCTGCCGAGAGTGTGCAATGCGGTGCATGGATCGATCACGTTAGGGGTCGGTATATGATATTTGCCCCCGGAAGCTGCTGTGCCCGCCGGCTTGCCTGCGATGGGCAAACGATCGACGTTCTCGCCGCCACCTTATCAGGTTCCGCTCAGTCTAAAGCAAACATAGCAGCAACGGAATTATGCAATGCATTTGTAGGGGCTGGGCTGCGGTAGAGCTCGGTGCCGCTGACTGCTGCGGAGTCCGGACAAAGCTAATCTTGAACGACGCAGTGGTCGACGATGGCTATGCGCCATGTTCTTCGGCGCCGACCTTGGTCTGTCAAAGGTGCTGAGTCGTAGGAGTAGGAGGGTGAGTCTGAGACTCTGAGTACACTCTCGACTGTGCGATATTATTTTGCGGCTACTGATATCGGAGATTTCGGAGTGTAAAACAACGAACCTCCACATGTCCAGTGACGAGCACTACATGCATCCAGAATAGGCTGGACTTAGCAACGCCGAGGACCTGTCGAAGGGAATCCCAAGTCTACTACGAGCTGTAGGCTGTGGTTATTGCAATTAAGTTTACAAGGCGTATCGCGCAACTAGGCGACTGGGCCCGAAGACCCCGTATACCGGGTAGAAGTTGTGGTCCTAGCGCCGTTGTAGAACTCGCTGTTACGAGGCTCGCCCTTATAATCATCGTCGTGGAGGGCCCGATGTGCTTCTAGTGGGCTTATACGATTATCCCAGGTGCGTCTGTATCTCGAGGCTGATAACGCGACGAAATATCAACTGATACCGGCGGAGGACTCGTGATAGGCATCAGCTACTGTGGTACTCGGACCCTGTCGCTGGCTGATATCTTGTCAGAGAAGAACTAAGTGTGACAATGCAAGTTACTAACTGATGATAAGCACACTATTAGATGGTACCAGGCAATGGAGGCGGCGGATAACGGTTTGTGGTACACGGGGTCCCCATGGGCTTTGTAACTCAGACGATCACTAACAGTAGCCCCTAGTTCATGGTTAGTAGCGAGAGCTTACGAAGGATTGATCCACAGCGAGAGCCGTGACAACCGAAAATCTGGACGAACGTGGCGCATGTGTCGGGACGCGTCTGAAGGTATTCGCGTTATCCAGGCGCCGCGCATGCGTGTAATAGAAAATCTGTGACGCAGCCATCCGGTCACGGCGGGTCAGCGGGAGCCGATCCGATTTAATGCACATCTCAAAGTACTTTCATGTGGAGGATTTTGTCCAAACTGGTGGGGTGTCCTGCGAAGGAGCTACGGAAAGCGGGTGGCAGAGAGGCTGAGCGTGGGTGTTTGGGGACGGAAGCACTGAGTGCGTGGGAGCGGCGGCAGTTGAGAAGCACTGGAAGAAGGGGATCTTCTTCATGGGAAACAGCTGGGACTCGGACAGCGCTTTAGTGACGGCGCACAGTTATGACGAGTCCGAACGTAAAAATACATAGTGTACAGCATGGGTGTGGATTGGGCGGTACGAGGCAAAAGGGTGGTGCAATCAAACACGCCTGGAAGGAGGTGCGAGAAGACGGCGGACGTGTGCGGTAGCGCCTTGTTGCATGTGGACCGTCGAGGCACATGTGTTCAGAGTCCCCCGTAGCGATGGGCCCCGGGAGACAGCCGTGGGCTTGGCCGTACTTTTATCTCGAGCGCAGACGGTATTTCGATCCTCTTTTACTTTCGGACTACGTCGCGCCCGACGTCGCATTCAGCAGAAGCCCAGGGGCGTCGGCGAACAAGAGAAAGGTAAGTTGCGATCGCATCCGAGGGAGCATATGGACCATGGCTGATGAGTCCAATCTAACCGTGTGGGTGTCATGCTGTTAGCTGCCTGCGCTTATCCCTTTACCGCCCCCAATTCAACCTCCGCTCCTCACCAGCTTTGTCTTTCCCCGTCATCTGCCTCCCTCCCACAGGGCCCTGCCCTCGTCCACGACAGCGACAGCGACGACGACGTCCCCCAGGTGACACTCACAGTCGTGTTGCAGAGCCGCCAGGCATTTGAACGAAGCAAAGTCAGTCGACGACCACCCGCAACCCCCACCGGTCGCCTTCCGCCTCTCCCCCTCTGGTTCGAGTCAGGTCACCCTACCACATCAACCTTCCACTCCGTTTTCTCAGTCTCCTGCACGAGCACACACCGTCGCATGCATATCCTCGCTTAATCTCGCATAACATTCCCCACTCGCTCACTTCTCGTCTTGTACGACGCCCCCGCATCGCCTCTCGTATCCCGGAGATCAGAGCATCCGTACTCCGCTTTCCGTTTTTCCTACTACCTCTTGTGCATCTTCCGAGTGTGTGCCTTCGTTCTCGACCTTCATAGCTCCCAAAGCCCGCCATGTTGCAGTACTCGGTCCAGCTCCCGCCGCTCTCGCTCTCATCCTCCAAACCAAAGGCTCGCAAGGCCATGCCCGTCTCCGCACCCCAGCCGCCATCGACCGATGTATCGCATGACTCGAACCCCGCAGCGGTCAAGCGCACTGGCACTGCACGCACACGCCCTTCGCTCAGCTCGGGCCCGGCCTACGGTCACTCCATCCCTCTGGCTATCTCCACGGCCTTCCCTCCGCCTCCACTGACGTCCTCGCATGCCGGCGGCCGGTCATCATCCGCGACCCCATCGCCATCAGTGCCGTCTTCGTCCCTGTCATCGCCCTCGCTTCCGCCCACGCCCAGCCTGGGCTCTGCCTTTCCGTTCTCTCAGCAGGTCTACAGCGCCCCGTCTCCCCGGCTGGCGCCGGCGCAGCTGTCCAAGGTGTCGACGCGGTCGCCGCTCGTCCAGAGCACTGCGCTTCCGTCCGCGCCTGTCCCTATGCCCGGTGCTCGCCCTCCGCGGTCGCCGAAAGCTGCGCCCCTGCCGTACTCCGGACTGTCGTCTCCGGCGCTGCCGTCACCCAAGCTGCCACAGTCGACGTTCAGTGCGACGAACTCGTACTACGGACGGACAGCGTCGGCGGCGTCGAGCACCGGGTCGTCCTTCTCGTCCTGTGCGATAGACGTTTTGGCGCCGGGCGACATTCTCGGCGATGGGCTCGAGCTGCAGGGCGAGATGGTCAGGAGGGTGCCGATCGGCGAGAGCAAGGAAGAGGAGGAGCCTGCGAATGTGTTCAGGGTCGTGCGTAAGCTGGGGGCGGGGAGCTATGCGGTTGTGTATCTTGTGCAGGAGGTGTTGGGGATGGGAGATTGTGAGGAAGACGACAGGGATTGCGAAAGCGACGGTGCGGACCTCGATATGAGTGTGGATGGCCATGACCGAGATGTAGCTTGTGTTCGAAAGGAAGTGAAAAGTCGCAAGAATGGTAGGGAGTACGCTGTCAAGCTATTGAGCAAGGCAAATCTTGATGAGGAGGCATTGAGTGCTCAGATGTTAGAGGTGCGTTCAGGCCGTGGCTGACGTTCCCATTGGTCCTAATTGTCGATTCTCCCCGCAGGCTACGATCCACCAGTCTCTTCCACCGCATCCGAATATCGTTACTCTGCATCGCACGCTCGAGACGCCGTCGTACCTCCTGTTACTTCTCGAGTTCGTTCCGGGCGAGGATTTGTTCTACTTCCTCGAGCAAGCGCGAGACCACTACGACCCGTCGTTCCCGGGCTCTCCGGCTGAGACGCTTTCGCCTTCAACGCCTATCAGTGCGCTGCCGTCGACTTCGCTATCGGGATCCGACTGTTCGATGTCGTCGGAGTCGACCGCTCGCACGCCGCCGACGCCATCACTGTTGGCAACGATGTCTCCGACCAAGCTCCTCTCGCGGACGCGGCTAAAGCTTATCGCGAGCATGTTCAAGCAGATGTGCGACGCCGTGGCGGCGTGCCATGAGCGCGGCATCTTCCATCGAGACATCAAGCCCGAGAACTTCATTGTCACGGATGGCGTTCTCGAGGTCCGTACCTCGGGACCTGGTGGGAAGGAGGAGGTTAGGAAGGAGCGGAGGGTTGTTGTGAAGCTGACGGACTTCGGCCTGAGCACCACAGACATGCATTCTGCAGATATGGACTGTGGGAGCGCCCCTTACATGAGTTATGGTGAGCGTCTTGTCGACTTGCATTTGATGTGGGAGATGTGTCTCACGCACACATTACAGAATGCCGGAATAATATACACCCTAATTATATGCCCCGTGCGGCCGACGTCTGGTCACTCGGTATAGTTCTCATTAACATGTGAGTTTGATGTCTTTTTGACCGGGTATATGCGTGCGACACGGCGCATATATTTCTCATGTTGGCATAATGAACGCATCTGACGCTCTCTGTAGGTTGTACCACTACAACCCGTGGACGGACACTACGGACGGTGTCTGCCCTTCGTTCAGCCTCTTCCAGCAGAGCCCTGTGTCGTTCTTCACCACTCGATTCACTGGCATGACCCAACCCGTCGCGGAGTTCCTTGCTACGAAGGTCTTCTGCATCCTGTTGGACCACAGAGACGACTCTCCTCGCGCTAGTGCCAGGGATTTTGGTCAGTGGATCCAGAGCTTGCCCGATTTGCTTGCGCCCCCTCTCCGTCCTGGGAGCGGTCATAATCACAGCCGGTCGCCGAGTTTCTCGGTCAACCTTGCAGAGGTGCCCGGACACCGACTTGCGTCGATCCCGCATTCGCGTCGCCCAAGCCTTCGATCTGCAGCTGGCTCAAGGACACCGAGCGTGCTCTCACCTGTGCATCGTGCAAGCTTGGTGGCAGCGGCCATCAGTCGGCAACCCAGCCTCCAAGCTTTCCAAGAGTCCGAGCACGAGCACAACGGTGCGACTAAGAATGTCGGCGTTGGTCTAGGTATGCTTCCACCTTTGCCCGATCACGAGGTCGAGGAAGATGCGAACGAGCAAGAGGACCAACACGAAGAGTCGAATTCCCGTAGCGCGTCAACTCAGAAGAGGCGCAAGCGTGGTGCTCGCAAGGGCAAGAAGGATACAGCTATGACTGGGCAGACTACCCCCGCACAGTCCGCTGATGACACCCTCACGACGCTTGCCAGTGCCAGCCAGGCGTTGGCTCGAGAGATCAGTAAGACCTCCAAGCGTGTGAGCGGCTCCGGCATCTCCTCCCCACTGGGTACCAGTACAACGCACGTCTCTACCGAGGTTCAACCGCAACCAGTACCGGCGCCCTCTCCGGCACCGACTCCCACGATTGTCAAGAAGCCATCAAAGTGGAAGCTCGGCTTTGGCAAGAGTTCGAGCAGCAGCGGATCGAGCGCGTCTACTCCTGCCAACCCTAAGGAGGAGCCGGACCCGAAGATGTCCACCACAGCGAGCAAAGCTACGAGCCTCATCATGGGCCTGAACGCGCCGTCGTCATCTTCGCGATCAAAGGCAGATGCACATCAGGCTGCTGCGTCCGCGTCGTCCGCATCAATCGCCTCGCATGCCACTTCCCGATATGCCCCTGTCTCAGCGAATACGAGTGTCGTTTCGCTAGACGATCCCACCTGGCACCGTGACCGCCGCTACCGAGGCGTTACAGATGTTGCAGGTGAGAGGGACATCGGCATGTGGGGGGCATCGACCGTGAGTGCCTTTGCAAATAGCGGACCACAACCAACCAGTAACGGCCCTTCACCTTACCTGGCACCTCAGCAACGCGGCCCGTCACCTGCCTCCGCGAGTCAGCTTTCTTTCGTCTCCGCTTCTACCGCGTCGACCAATTGGCGAAGCTCAATCTCCAGCAGCGGCAGCGCAGCGACATCCACATCGGCTTTTACCCGCTACAGCAACGGCAGCGTCAGGAGCGTCTCAACGGCCGCAACATCCGTGTCGAACACCAGCTGGCGTAGTGCCGGTGGTGCCAGCAATGCTTCCAGTCGCAGGGATCCTCGGTTGCCGCCGAACGTCAAGAGTAAGTATCTATCTTGTATCCGTATATTTCGCTCCTAATAATGGCGTAGTGGTTACAGGCGAGCCTTGGGAATTGTCTGAGCTTCCGCGGCAGATGTATCCTGACCCGGAGAAAGTGCAATTTAGCGCCCCTCCCACACGCAAGCGTGCCCAGAAGCCCAAGAACTCGAATCTCGACACCATCTCCGAGCGACCTGGTCCGTACTCGACCCCGCAGCTCCCACAGCACCCACCCGCGACCCAGCCGCCCGTGCGTACGGACGCGTCGACTAGCACGACCGACCTTAGTCACACCGCTGGTTCTGGCGACGCTGACACCCAGGAGTCGCACGGCAGTGCTTCATCTCCACGGAAGGTGCAAAAGGGCCAGATTAACGCGCTCGCGAAGATGTTGTCCGCACTTCGGCGGTAGGCACGCTCCCTTCTCAGGTCCAGGCTCGTAGCTGTCTGGCGCACGCGGCTCGAGAGTAGTGAGTCCTAGCACGGCTTGCATACCTACTTGGTGCTCGATTCCGGTATTCCCTGTCAATATCGTTCATTTTTCCGTAATCTGCTCTATGGCGAATCCCCCCAACTCGATGCCCTACTCGCACCGTCACCCTCCCGCTTCCTTCCAAATCGTGGTCTATTGGTCGTCGTTGTCCGCATGTGCTGAGCCAATTGTGTTGTCGTACACTCCTCGTCTTAACTTACTTGCTTTCTGGATCCCACGGACTGCCAGCTTTTTCACACATACAACATCTTCAGCCCCACCATATCGCAAGCTTTTCCTGTCGCATACACAATTACTGTTCTCTTTCTCACAGTTGGTACTGGTACTGATCGTCAACCCACCGCACCGGCCCTCTCACATATTGTAGATGGGCCTGCCCGCCAATCCTTTCTTGTTTTTCTATTTTTCTTTCTTTCCCCGTGCTCTCTTCCCACCTTTGTATCACCACACCTCGCAATTGTGACCAATTGACCTCCGTTGTTACCTTACCGACATGTAAAGCACGGCGGAAACTCCCCGCTGTGCGTGTAGGTTGTATCAGAAGCTTGTGCAGCTATCTCAGGGCCCGAGTGAAGATTCATGCCAGTGCGCATGCATAGTCTGCACGAGACAAACCAAGAGATCTTTTCGGCTGAAAGAGGCACGAAAAGAGCTTAACAGCATTTTCTAAAAAGAGCCCGACCCTTTCAGCGGAAAAGATGTGAGAAACTTTCGGCGGAAATGGTACCAAAATGAGGAGCATTATTTTGGAAATGTTTCGTAGTGCAAAAGCCATATATTTATGATGCAAAGAGTAATGACAATATCTGCACTGCTTACAGATGAACCTAGGGCATCTAGCTTCAGCTGGATGGGCGCAAAATTTTCTCTTTGCATTACAAATATATGGCCTTTTCACCAAAGGTATTTCCAAAATAGTGCTCCTTCTTTTGGTACTATTTCCGCTGAAGATTTTTTGCATCTTCTTCACTAAAAGAGCAAAGCCATTTTCGGAAAATGTTGTCAAACTCTTTTCATGCCTCTTTTAGCCAAAAAGACATCCTAATTTGTCTCGTGCTGTGTAAAGAGCGCAAGGAAGGCGGCGAAAAACGGGGAGAAAACAACATGCGTGGAAGCCTTGTGATACAGAGAAGATTACATTGCAGATGCTCTGACAGAAGGTATAAAGATGGCGTGTTATATATAGTGGGCGACGCCTGCGAAGTGTTGAGCTTTAAATGACAACGTTCTGTCACAAGAAGCGGATTGAGTTGGCTGCACCAACATTTTGGGCGAGATACCAAGGAGGAAGATGCTTACACATGTTATCCATCTCATACCCGACTCAGCACTGCCGTACCCACTGTGCGTCGTCTAGCCGTCGCCATCCCGCGCACGCCGCGAGTGGGCCTCCTGGAATGCAGCGTACGCCATGTTTTGCTCGACCGTTGGCGGGCGTGGAGGCTCCTGGGGGACGCTGGCCGCATCGACAAGGATCGTGGACGCCTGCGGACGGTTTGGGCCGGCTGCAGGGGGCGTTGCCGGGCGCGAAGGCGCGACCTCATAATCCATCTCGCTGTCAGAGGAGATGCTGCTCTCAGACTCTGTGCCGACAATGATGTACGTGCCCCCGCTGTGTGTGCGGACAAGGCTCGCGTAATATTCTTGCAGGACCTCACACGTGCACTGATGAGCGGGCGAGGGTGAGTACGACGGGCTTGATTGGTGTCATGCTCATTGACGCACCGTGAGTGACCAGTCTATCATGCGGAGGAACTCCCGTTCGAGCATGTTAAGCTCGCCGACGGGGATGCCGCCGACGCGGGCGTACACGTTATTCGTGCAGAAGGCGTCGCAGAGCGCCTTGGTGGAGACAACAACAGCAGTGATAACGAATCGATGGCAGGTCAGGGATGATAGGGTGAAGGATGGGAAACGTGCGCAGATTTGATCGATATAATGCAGCGTGATTAACAGGCAAGATCTCTGCAGGTAGCGATGCACGTTGAGCTCGAAAGGGGGCGGGACGTAACGCAAAAGTTTGGATACTCACCTCTACTTTAGTAAATCGTACTATACGACGCAGATAGTCTAGGATGGAGATGCCGGGCGCGGTGCGGGAGTGAAAACGAGTGAGTCCTTCACTGTGCAGATTGGAGAGACAGTTTAGCGTGTGAGTAGCGCGAACGCGTGCCATAAAGTTCGTGCGCACGGGGACAACGGTATCCTGTCGTTATGTGCCATGAGACGTTCCATCATGTCGGCTGCAAGAAGAAGTGCACAAATAAACCATCAGGATATCGGGCAAAAGTCGACAGGGAGACTCAGGACGCACCGATGAGTTGCACAAGCACGTCTACGTCAACCTCCTCAAAGCTAGCGGACAAAGTGACCCTCTCTGGCGGGTCCATGCACCCATCGCAGTGACGGCGCACTCGAGACCGACGTCTGTCGGCGAGCAGGTAAAAGTAGACCAGCGGAAACTCCGTTTGAGCGTTTAGTGGTGCGCCCCGGGTGACGCATCAGCGTACGGTGATCTCCGTTCAGGCGCCATCCCAAGCGCACGTGCGAGCTGCATGCCTGTACAGTTCCATCAGCGCACTTTGAACCTTATTCTAGCTCTTGCCTCTCCATTTTGCTGACATAATCAGTATCGAATTCTCGCCGCCTACCGACCCGTCCGCCTTCACTGTTGACCATACTCCTGCCATGGCCCCCAAAGCCGTGCGTATGCTTGCTACCATGCTAATTAATGCTGCAGCTCTCACGCTCTGAACCGAAACTAGGATCCAAGTGAGATTAAGATCATCTACCTGAGGGCGACCGGTGGTGAGGTCGGTGCCTCCTCCGCGCTTGCCCCCAAAATCGGTCCTCTGGGTCTCGTACGTCCTGTGCTACTCGTCTAGCAAAATATAGGCTTACATTGCTCATGCTGTTATCTTGCTCGCACATAGTCACCCAAGAAGGTGGGTGAAGATATCGCAAAGGCAACCGGCGCATGGAAGGGTCTCCGCGTCACTGTCCAACTCACCATTCAAAACCGTCAAGCCAAGGTTGACGTCGTCCCCTCTGCCTCTTCTCTTGTCATCAAGGCCCTGAAGGGTGCGTTTGCTCGCCGTCTACACGACTCATTGCACCCAGCTCACTCTTCTTTGCAGAGCCCCCACGCGACCGCAAGAAGGAGAAGAACATAAAGCACAGTGGCAATATCACTCTTGATGAGGTCTTCGACATTGCGCGTACAATGCGGTCAAAGTCGCTTGCCAAGAACCTCGCCAACGGTGCTAAGGAGATCCTCGGCACAGCACAGTCCATCGGCTGCACAGTCGATGGCCAGCCTCCCCACGACGTTATCGACGCCATCAGTGCTGGCGAGATCGAGGTACCAGATGAGTAAACGGCGGGCGACGGCATTTGGACTGGGCTGCTTTCGTTTGTCGTATCTCATACTCACTCTGCATTACCTTGGCACTATCTACCATGACCATCGTTGCGTTGTAAGACTAGGAAGCTGCGTATCGACTCATTAGCAAGTTACGACGACCGGAGAAGGACTCTGCGCCAACGACTCTACATCGAATCCTGCACCATCCGACAGATGACGAAGAGTATCTGGCGTTCTACTGTTCTTCAGGCTGATATTGGATATCATTATTCTGCTTGCTACATTCAGACGTTCTTGTTCATTGAAAATTCTGTTCCGCGTTCAGTACGATCCACTATTGCATCTAATGCTACTAAACGTGCAACTCTGTGCTAGCCGCCTTCCACAGTTGCCGGTGTGTAGTTTTGCTCACCAGCGTCTCTGGCCCGCTGACCTTCGTATGTGTTAAAAGGCGTATTCATGTCATCTACATATCTGCTCATGAGGTCATCATGCGTCGTCTGCACTTCGCACGTAGCGGCTGGGTATAGCCGTCGCGAGAAGGCATTATGGTGCCGGAGGCTCATGCAACGCAGTGTTGCTTAAAGCCTTCAAATTCACAGACGGCGGCGTTAGACCATCTCAAGCTGTCTGGTGACAATGCACCTTAGGTCGCCGACGCTCGGAGAGGACTTCGCCGAGGTTTGTTAGCAACACGTATGCACGTCCGTCTGTTCACTCCCGGAGTGCGAGCGGACCGTCAGCTTTGCAATGGGGATACGCTTAAGTGCCGCAGTCCTTTGTTGCCATTCATTGTGCGCTCAGTGATGAGTCACGAGAACGGCTGCATGGTGGGTGACTAAGGTGGTCGGCCAGGTATTATGCACGAAGGTCAGTAATCCATACCTGCAGCTCTATCATATCAAGAATAGTGTCTAGGCATGGCAATCCTCGGTAGCCGGTGTTTCACACAGGTGACCACAGAAGGCTACGCACTTACACAATTGCCATGTACGGTAAAAGCGCCTGGCGTCGGCAGTGTCGGCTCCTGCGCCCAACTGACTAAAGTCGTCTTCATTGCAGTTGACAATGTCCACCGGAATTCAAGCGGTACGGTGAGATATTGTACACCACTCCTCAGACATTCAAAGTGTCGTGGTCCAATCATGGTGCAGCCCCAAAAACATATAAAGTACTCGCTTGTTGAATAGCAGTTCAAACATCCACCTCAATCGCGGCGCATCACCCTCAGCACGTTCAGACTCGCGAATATGGTCCTCAAGCTCTACGGTGGTTCGCGTTCAACATGCACCAGGCGCGTCGCCATGGTATTGAAGGAGAAGAATGTCCCGTTCGAGTTTGTGGCCGTCGACTATAAGAAGGGCGAGAGCAAAGTGGCTGCGTACCTCGAGAAGCAGCCCTTCGGCCAGGTCCCGTACATCGACGACGACGGCTTCGTCCTCTTCGAGAGCCGTGCCATTGCGCGCTACATCGCGCTCAAGTACCGCGATCAGGGCACGCCGCTCGTCCCCGACCCCGCGGACCTCAGGGCCGTGGCTCGCTTCGAGCAGGCGGCCAGCATCGAGACCAGCAACTTCGACGAGTTCGCGCACGGGCTCGCGGTGGAGAAGGTCTTCAAGCCGTGAGTGCTTCTATTGTGTGCGTGCCGCGCCCGTGTGGTCGCTGATCCCGTCTATACAGGATGCGCGGCGGCACAACGAACGAGGCGAACGTCGAGTACCTCGCCGCTACGTTCGATGCGAAGCTTAACGGCTACGAGGCCATCCTGTCGAAGCAGAAATACCTCGCTGGTGATGTGAGCGGCCTCTTGTTTCAGCTTGGGGCTGTCTGTGTGCTGAGCGACTGTGCAGGAGTTCACACTCGCCGACCTCTTCCACCTGCCATACGGCGCAATGCTCAAGCAGCTCGATTATGGCTACCTTGAAGATTTCGGAAGGCGGCCCAACCTTGCCAGGTGGGTACAGCCTTGTTACAAGCTTGCGGCCTGCGATGCTAACGCTGATGTGTCATTCCAAGGTGGTGGAAGGATATTGCCTCTCGTCCCTCGTGGCAGGCCGTAAAGGAGAAAGTTGAATAAACGGCTCTGGAGACTCTGGCCTTTTGACCAGTGTATAATTAACTCAATGCATAGAGAATGGAAAGAGACTAAATGATCCAGAACTGGACTTGTGAGCATGGATATTTTGTGTGGGCACCCCAGATCGCCGCACCATGGCCGCCTGCATCCAGTTTCGCGCGGGGCGCGACTGGACGCCATCTCCAGTCACGCATCCAGTCGCGCTGAACCCCTCGACGGTGTCGAGTACCAAGAATAAAAGTGATGCGCCGCCGAGGCGCCCGAGCTCCAACGCCAACGCTGCGGGTGGGCGCTGTCATATCGCACGCAAGAATAATCCAGCTGCTTGAAGCTAGCTAATTAGAAACATTCTGCCTCTGGACTACCTGTGTGGCTTGACATGAATCTCACGGGTCTGGATGCATTATTTACAAATAAATATCTGGGCATCGCAGCATTTCACACCACTTCTATTTTTGGTACTCGACGCCGCCATTCTGGAAGGTTTCAGCCAATCATATGCACTATTGGATGTGTGACTAGGGACAATGTCCGGTCGCGCCCCGCACGAAACTGGGTGCGGGTTTTGGCAGCTAGAGTTTGCTAGATTATCAGATGTACAATATAGACGCCCTAGCTACGGTCACGTGAGGAGCGTTCTGTAGCCTACGGGTCAGCGCGAACAACAGCACGATACTGCCGCAGCATGGATACCACAGGACACCATGGTTGTGAAATTAACGAAGAAGATGGTGGAGGTCCGATCGGAGTGGGTTTGTATGAACGCGTGTCAGACCGTATATGCAATGAGGCGCGCCTGGGCCATCTCGCTCTTTGGTGCCGCTCACCGTTTGACTAGAGTCATGACGATGACAGGGCGATCCGACGCGGCCGTCCAGACCCTGGCCAGTCGTGCCGACTTGCTCATTTCCGCTGTCCGTGTGCATCGAAAGCGTTGACAGCGCCAGGCCTAACTGGCCGAAATTCATCAGCAAACAGCGTTTCGACTCTGTTGGCTAACGGCAAGTGGAAATTCCAATCAACACAAATGACCTGGAGGACTGCGAACTTAGCTAATTGCCGCATACGGACGACGCGTTTCAGCGTTCGCACGTCCAGCTGACAAAACCGATTTACACCACTAAACCCAGTGAGGCAGCACCAGTAGTGCTGCGAGCAGTGTAGCGAGCAGCGCCAAGTAGTCCAATATCATGGCGCAGTCGCGGAGGCATATAAAGCACTCACTCGTCCAGCAGTAGCTACCGCACCCGCTCTCACCACCTCTACCACTACACCACTACACCTCACAACCATGGTCCTCAAGCTCTACGGCAACCCCATGTCGACGTGCACGAAGCGCGTCGCCATGGTATTGAAGGAGAAGAACGTCCCGTTCGAGTTCGTGGTCATTGACTTCGCCAAGTCCGAGCACAAGTCGCCTGCGTACCTCGAGAAGCAGCCGTTCGGCCAGGTACCGTACATCGACGACGACGGCTTCATCCTCTTCGAGAGCCGCGCCATCGCGCGCTACATCGCGATCAAGTATCACGACCAGGGCGCGACGCTCCTCCCCGCATACGGGGACCTCCAGGGCCTCGGTCGCTTTGAGCAGGGCGCCAGCATCGAGGCCGGCACCTTTGATGTCTACGCGGGCGCGATCGCGTTCGAGAAGCTCTTCAAGCCGTGAGTGTGTCCTCTTGTGCATGCGCGCTCCCCCGAGTGTCAGCTGCTGATGCCTGCTGTACAGGATGCGCGGTCTTCAGACGGACGACACGAAACTCGAGTACTTCACCACTACGCTCGACGCGAAGCTGGACGGCTACGAGGCCGTCCTGTCGAAGCAGAAGTACATCGGTGGTGACGTGAGTTTGTCCCTTTGTTCCGTGCCACTGCTGCCCAAAGTGCTGAGCGACTGTGCAGATCTTCACCCTCGCGGACCTCTTCCACCTGCCCTATGGTGCCCTGCTCCCCAAGGCCGGCTACAATTACCTTCAGGACACCGCTAAGAGGCCCCACCTCGCCAGGTATGCTTGATGTGATCTTGTCGTCCGCGATTCTGGTGTTAATGCACTGTTCTCAGGTGGTGGAAGGAGATCAGCTCTCGTCCCACGTGGGAGGCCGTGAAGGATAACGTCGAAGCTTAGAGGAGCCCTGATAAATTATGGACTCTCAGTCATTGTACAATTGTAGCAGGATGCAGTGTAAACAGAAATGAATGCAAGTTTGGTCGTCGGCATGGAGATCGACTGAATCGCAAGCCGCCAACGGCACAAACCGATAGGCCACAGGGGGACGCTTAGAAGATGGCAGAACAATACTTTCATTCATTCGTAAGTTATGTCCCCCACCACCGCAGTGCCCGAATGAACGGATGCATGTACGTAGCCTGCATGGGATGAGCCGCCGACCACCTCCACGAACTTCCAGAAACACTTACACAAGCAACATCTCATGCTAATCGTGAGGTTGAGTGGCCGGCCGCCACGTCTCAGCACATTGTAACATGGTTGTGGACACGAAACCGAGTGGCCTTCACCAGGAGCGCTGGGTAAGGCTGCTGACCTCGAAGTTGAACTCCGCAATCTAGACGCCGGAGACCCGTTTTTGAACCGCGTCGCGTCGCGTCTTTGCATCCTCTACGCTCCCTTTGGTTTATCGACGACATCGTACCATCGCTGTCTCGGACCGCGTTACCAGTGTGACAGCGTTATGACGGGGCTTCCATGCCGGACCAGCCGTATATATGGCTCTGCTCTCCGTCGAGAACTCACCTCGACTTTCTTTCCCTGCTACATCCCGCAGCTAGCGCTTCCTACTCGTAACCCACACACGTGTCGCTCCCGAACGAAAGGGAAAACCATAACAGGCACTTCAGATAAACCGGAACCTGACATATACCCCGGTATCCCTCATGGCGAGACCTCATGGCCCACGAACATCTGTCTCGAGAGGTCTGTCGTACTTATGAGGTAAACATGCACCGACGGCCTTTGTACCCCTTGCATACTGTATACGGCTACCAACAAGGTCCGATTGATGTCTCTCAGGCGAGTCTTCCGGACCCCTTGACATCTCCAGCGATTGAGCCTTCCTATAGCCCTTGGTGCAGCCGCGGATGTATGGCGGTCGTCACTCCCGAGGACATGAAGCGACCCCATTTTGTTCGACGTCCCAATCGTACAATAAGACATGCCCTGGGCATGCTCTTCGGCATTGAAATTTCTTACGTATACCAAGAGCACCAGACCGCACTGGACCTCGACGCTGGGAAGGCACACTGTCAAATCGAGCGCCGGGAAGCTTTGTGGCGCCCTTTCAGCTTCGCGCAGTCGCTTCGCTGCAGGCAAGATTTGATGTAAATGGCTCGAGAATCAGGGCTGTGACTTTCTTGTCTCCACAGCACAGTTTAGCGGGGAGCCAAGTGACGCATCCCTCCACACCCGTCCAAGCTCCGGGCGACGCACAGGACCTCTTCAAGACACGCAGCATCGTCATCGGGCCTGCAGAGCACCGATCGACAGCCGTCAGGGAAGGCGGGGACGGTACATGGCATCTGCATTGCTCCAAGTGCATGTCCGCAACTGGTCCGTTGACAGCCAGCCTCCCTCCCGAAATGAACCCAACGCTCCGCTATCAGACTCTATAAAAGAGCCGTCTTCCCCCCGGCGCAGGGGCATAGTTCACGTCCGGCCTTCTCTTCGCGCACCGGAACACGTGTTTCAATGGACTCTTGTCCGTCCCCCACCATGCTTCTCCCCTCTCCACGCGTCGCCGTCATCGGCGGCGGCATCACCGGCCCTGCGCTCGCCATATTCCTCAAGCTGAAGGGCTACGAGCCAGTCATCTATGAACGCTCGCAGGCGTCCTGCGAAGCGGGGCTCTGCCTCGGGTAAGGCTCTCCGCCCTGTCGCTCCGCGCCCCGCGCAGACTCACCTCTGCCCGTCGTAGTTTGCAGCCGAACGGCCTACGCGTACTATCCAAGGTCCCCGGGCTCGTCGAACACATACGTGGCTGGCCGGTCGACGAGTACGGCTTCTACTCGGTGCTGCCGGAGGACATGGGCGTCCTCGCGGAGCTCGACCAACCGAAGCAGCTGCGGCTGTCGCAGGGCATCGGGCCCGTGGGCATCCGGAGGAGCGACCTGCAGAGGAGGCTGTTCGAGTTTGTGGAGAGCATCGGGGTCAAGGTCCAGTGGGGCTGCAAGCTCGAAGAGCTGGAGCAGACAGAGGACTCTGTCAGATTGAGGTTTGCGAACGGCGTGGAGGAGGAGGCCAGTTTTGTTGTGGGCTGCGACGGCCTGCACAGCAATACTCGAAGTTGTCTCTTTGGCGACCAGCCGGCGGACTTCACTGGGTTGACGCAGGTATTTTTCAGCTTCTTTGCCATTCGGTCTCGGCTTGAAACTGAAAGAATCCTGCAGTGCGGTGGTTTTTCGCCCATCCCTGAACATCTAAGGGGACGATCAATGACGATGAGTCTATACGGGGATGGCGTTCACTTGATTGCCGTCCAAGTCGACGAGGACACCATGGGCTGGGCGTAAGCGTCACGTCTTCCTTGTTTTCGGCTATCGAGTAACATTCTGCAGTGTCACCCAGCGAGAGCCAGAAGCTAAAGAGGCGTGGAGAGCGATGGACGACGTAGCCCTGGCAGAGCTGAAAGAATCCCAGTTCAGCACGTGGGACTTTGGAGGCGGAGAGCTCGTACGGAACGGTACACATGTGACAAAGGTCCGCCGAGCCTGGCTTTTCATTAGGAGACAGCTGACCCCCGTCGTGTACAGTATGGCCTGTATGACCGCCCGAATCTTACAACCTGGTATCAGGGACGCGTAGTTCTCATCGGCGACGCGGCGCATCCCACAAGTCCAGTGCGTAACATGCACATTCTCTGCCGGTGGACCATGCTCACCTGCCACTCTAGCATCTTGGCCAGGGCGCGAACCAAGCGTTCGAAGACGTCGATCTCCTGATCGGTCTGCTGGAGAAGTACAACCCCTGCGCGCAGTCGCCGTCGACGCCGACGCTCGAGACGGTGTTCACCGAGCTCGAGACAGTGCGGATCCCGCGCACGTCCAAGATGGTGCGGCTCGCGCGCGCACAGGGTGAGATACGCGTGACACAGGGCGTCGAGGCCTGCAAGGCGCGCAACGACGCGTACCGCGAGAAGTTCATGAAGAAGCAGCTAGGGAGGGCGCGGCTGGAATCATAGGGCACGTATCTAATTTCTGTACTTTTAATCGGACGGACGATATCGCCTGCTGTGGTTTGTAGCCTGTATCTTACCATCACATGTTGTATTCATTGGTTGTTGATCTTTGTACTTACCTAATCAGGAAGATAGCCATCTTACGGCGCGATTTTCCCACGCTTACCATTCTTTCGAACCGACGACGACGACGACGACGCTGCGAGAGACTGTCCCTCAGACAAATACCTGGCGTGGAGCGTGTATATGCACCTATCAAATACTCACGCTTCTTCAGAAACCTAGCATAAGCTCTACGGAAAGACCTTCGAGGCTGTCAACCATCTCGAGGCATCAAGCCGGCGGAGGCCAGCGGAGATGTGCCTGGAGCTTTTGGGTTCACTACGCCCTTCTTGACCCTCTGGTGGATACTCTATCGCTGACCACAGTCTCTCAAATTAGTGTTATAAGTTCGAGGTCGCCTTGAAACCCCTGATTTGTCCTCGAGGTACCGTCCACGATCATGTTAGGTGTGAACTCTCTCCGCCTTCAATGACATCATTCGCCGTACTGCTGTACTGCGAACACGACGACGAAATTGAAGTGGCTGTGTGCACCCATCGTTGGTATAGTCTTCCGGGCAGGGACGACGCGCACAATGTACAAAACAAGTATATATAGGCCATGGGATGCGGCCGTTCTCTGCAGTTGGAACCCGACTCTTTCACATTTAACATCCAACCATAAACACATTCAGCTGACATGTCTCCAGCTCGCGTAGGCGTTATTGGCGCAGGCGTATCAGGACCCGTCGCGGCCATGCTCCTCAAGCAGAAGGGATACGACCCCATCCTGTACGAGCGTCTCGACGCCCCGTCTGACGCAGGCCTCGGCATAGCGCACGTCCAACTAATCTTGTCCCCTTCGCGAGTACTCACTGATGCCCCTCCAGCCTCCAGCCAAACGGTCAAGCGGTGCTCGCCAGGATCCCGGGCCTGCTCGAGCACATCGATGCCTACCCGGTGGACGCGTTCCACTTCTACTCGGTCCTGCCCGAGGATCCCGGCCTGCTCGGGACGAGCGACCACCCGCGCCGGCTGCGCGAGGCCACGGGGCTCGGGGCGCTCGCCGTGCGGCGGTCGCTGCTGCACCAGCGGCTCGCCGAGTTCGCGCAGAGGCTCGGCGTCACGATTAGGTATGGCCACAGGCTCGAGGCGCTCGCGCAGGAGGACGACGGCGTCGCCGTCACGTTCGCGAACGGCGTGCGGGAGACGTTCAGCTTTGTCGTCGGGTGCGACGGCCTGCATAGCGGCACGCGCGTCTGCCTCTTCGGGGACACCCCTGCGGATTATACGGGGCTGTGTCAGGTATGTAGCTGCGCGTTCTCGCAGCTGTGTGAGTTGCTCATGGGCTTGTTGCTGCAGTGGGGCGGCCTGTCTCCCACGCCTGACTTTTGGAAAGGGAAACATGCGGCCGTCGACCTGTACGGAAACGGCACATATATGCTCGCTGTCTCTATGAGCGACTCCCAAACGGGTTGGGCGTGAGCATTCTTCTTCCTACCTTCCACACGCACTTGTTGACGAGCCGTCGATCTTAGAATCGCCCAACGCGAGCCGGAAACCAAGGAGGAGTGGAGGTCGATTGACGCTGCTGCTGCTGAGAACTTCAAGAACAGCTCGCCGTGCGGCGAGTGGCCCTATGGCGCAAGAGAGCTAGTGAAGAATAGCACGAAGATCGTCAAGGTAAGTTCGTCGCCTTCTCGGATATTCACTCTAACTGGTTACTCCCGGCGGCCAGTACGGTATCTACGACCACCCCGAGCTGAAGACGTGGTACCAGGGACGGGTCGTCCTCGTCGGAGACGCCGCACACCCTGCCAGCCCCGTAAGCATCACCTCGCAGCCCCTTGCTAGCCGGCTCCGGCTGACAGGTCTCGCGCAGTACCTTGGCCAGGGCGCAAACCAGGCCTACGAAGACATCGGTCTCCTGATCGACCTCCTCGATAAACACAACCCCTCGGCGGAGTCGCCGTCGACGGAGACGCTGACGGTCGTCTTTGGAGAGCTCGTGCGAGGGCGCCTGCCGCGCACAGCAGACCTTGTGAAGAAGGCCCGCGCGCAGGGCGAGATGCGCACCGTCTCGGGTGTCGAGGAGTGCATCAAGCGTAACAACTTTTACCGTGATATGTGCTCCGACCCTGCCAAAATGAAGGCGCGCTTCGGTGTGTGAGCTACTGCTGCGGTGATTGCTGTGTGTGTAATGGGTACATACCAAGAATGCTGTCCCAGAATTTTTACTCTTCTGTAGTATCTCACGATGATGTATAGCATTGGCAAGGACAGTGACGGCAGCTAATTGGCTTATCAGATAAAGTAGTATAAGATAAGATAAATTTGGTGACGCTTTTTGGAAGCGCCGGTTATGTTCAGGGCCATTCGTCTCTCCAGCCCGAAGTAACTTTACAAGTCTTGACCAGCAAACTCCTTGCCTCTGAAAGAAACCAGCTTGTCTTGTCGATGACATGGTGTTGATAGCAGGTGACAAATTTTCCCGCCAGAAAACTTTCTCAGGCAGCCCTAGGCTAAGATTGTTGGAATGGAATTTTCCTGCCTTTGTACGTGCCTCTGGCTGACTTTCTGGGGTCTGGTAGGCCTATCAGATGAATTCCAGGTGTCAGACCAACCTCAGCCGATCAGCCGATATGTTCATTGACAGCCAGGCGTCAGACCGTGACCACGGGCTGTTGAATTCTGTCGTGCCACTACGATAGTTCGGTAGCGATTGACTGACGGCTCAGAATTAACCTCTAAATTCTCACCGTAAGCGTGCGTAGGGTACATATCAGAGTCGGTTGCAGCTGCATGTGTCATTTTTGCCTCTCGAGCCGACAGAATGATTACTCACAGCATCGCAAGCGATCTTCGACTGCCATAGCGAGATTGAAGGTCGCGAGATGTCTGCCCGGACATCACAGGTCCTGATGTGTCCTTGGGGTACATTTTCGGCTGCTGATGTAAAGCATATATAGCTCTCCGCCGACTACGAGAACATCACTTCTTGAACGCGAACATGTCAGGGTACGCCAATCAACGCAGCGCCCGCCTACGCATCTTGTCGGCACGGCCTCTGGCACATGGGTATCCCGCACGCGTAGTCTTCCAGGCAAGATAAGGCGAGGATATATAGGCCACAGAATACGAGCATTGTTCGCACCCACAGCCCAAACCTCCCGATCGTACATCTTTTCCAGGCCCTCCGCAATTGCGTATTCGTCCAGCATGTCTCCCACTCGTGTAGCTGTCATCGGCGCAGGCGTCTCCGGCCCTGTGGCAGCCATGCTCTTGAAGCAGAAGGGATACGACCCTGTCGTCTACGAACGCCTCGACGCCATCTCCGAAGCAGGCCTCGGTCTCGGGTGCGCACTTCTCTCCGTCTCTCCTGTTACAAAACATTAACGCGATACAGACTACAGCACAACGGACAGGCAGTGCTCGCCAGGATCCCAGGTCTAATCGAGCACATCGACGGCTTTCAGTTGGATGAGTTCCACTTCTACTCAGTCTTGCCTGAGGACCCCGGTCTGCTCGGGATCAGCGAGAACCGGCGCCGGCAGCGCGAGACGTACGGGCTTGGGTCCATTGCCCTGCGGCGCCCGGCCCTGCACAAACGACTCGTCGAGTACGCGCAGAAACTCGACATTCCTATCAAGTATGGACACAAGCTGGAAGAAATTGAGCAGGCGGAGGATAGCGTCACAATCACGTTTGCTAATGGTGTCCAGGAGACCTTCAGCTTTGTGATTGGGTGCGACGGCCTACACAGCAACACTCGCAGCTGTCTCTTCGGGGAGACGCCTGCAGACTACACGGGTCTTGTCTCGGTATTGACTTATGTTTTCTTGCCTCTGTGGAAGTCGCTCATTGGCTTCTTTTGTAGTGGGGTGGTGTGTCTCCCATTCCCGAATTCTGGAAGGGGAAGCATGCACTGGCCGACTTGTTTGGTAACGGCGCGCACATGATTGTTGTCCCCATGAGCGACTCGTTGATGACCTGGGTGTAAGTATTGCATTCCATCTTCTTTACTCATGTCTATTTATGAGTCAGCGTTCCAGTGTTTCCATACGCGAGCCAGAGGTCAAGGAAGGGTGGAAGTCGATTGATCCCGCAGTGGGAGAGCACTTCAAGAAGAACTCGCCGTTCAGCGAGTGGCCCTTCGGCGCTGGCGAGCTGGTTAGGAGCAGCTTGAACATTGTCCGGGTTAGTGCGATGGACTATAAGAGCTGTTCGATGGCTTACCACTATCAACAGTATGGTATTTATGACCGTCCTGAGCTGAAGACCTGGTTCGAAGGACGGGTAGTCCTCGTCGGAGATGCCGCTCACCCTACCAGTCCTGTGAGCATTTCAACCCTTCAGGTGCCGGCTCCACCGTGACGACCTCTGTACAGCATCTCGGCCAAGGCGCGAGCCAGTCCTACGAGGACGTCGGTCTGCTGATCGACTTGCTCGAACAGCACAACCCCTCGGCGAAATTGCCGTCGACGGAGACGCTGAAGACGGTCTTTGCGGAGCTCGAACGAGTGCGCCTGCCACGCACGGCAGACCTCGTCAAGAGGGCACGGGCGGTAGGCGAGAGGCGTGTCGTCTCGGGCGTCGAGGAGTGCATCAAGCGCAATAACTATTGCCGCGATACATGCAAGGACCCTGCCAAGGTCAGGGATCAGTTTGGCGCATAAGGTGGGATTGTGACCTGAGGGTTCAGTCGTTCTGTATAAGTTATGTCTGACATTGGCGGTTTTGATTATTCAGTACTTTTACTCAGCTGGTAATCAGCGTGTGCGAGGTGCACTGTCCGCTGAGTAGTATGTCAAGTTAACATGCTAGCATGTTTTCTGCCTTGCATATCCCGCAAGGAGTGCATAGAGCCAGGAAAGTTACGGTTCCCACGGTCGTCGGAGTCCTCATGTTTCAGCGTGTTGGTCGACTTATCAGATAAGATAATTGTGCTGATCTTTAGAGTCTGTAGGGCGCCTCCAGGCTCGATACCAGCAATCTACGTAAGATAGATAATCTTTCTGTGGCGTATAGCCTAATATCTGCCTCAAGGGGAGGATAACTTACTATGTGACTGCTCGGAGCGATGGACTCGATCTGCCACAATGTTACAGCGGTGTCCGATCACGACGACAATGAGATTACACCGACATTGGACAGAGATCGTGCATCAACCCTGGTGCCCCGCTATCATAACGGTTAGCAACTGTCAAATTACGACTGGTATGAAGGATTCTTATTCCCAGCTGTTCCAAGAAGCTGCGGTATATATAATCTTTGAGTGAGTGTGCCGTTAGGCCTACACCGGCCAACGTGGGCCTTCCCAGCACATTACAGGAAGCATGGCTCAGTCAAACGAAGGCTCGCAGCGAGAAATTACAGCGTACGGATACTCTCTTTGTTACACAATACTATGCCCCTTACGTGCACTATATACATTTAGGCTACCAGAAAGATATGTGGTGTACTCAGTGCTGTGTATGCTATGGCATTCCAAAGATGCGGGGGCACTAGGCTGAATATGTCCCTTTAGGCCTTGTGATGTACAAATATGCCATAACCCTCAATCAAGAAATTGCGGTGGTATGGAGAAGGAAGTTGACGATCCCCTCGATGCTGCTGCTCGCCACTCGATGGATCATGCTTCTCGGCCTGATTCTACTTGCTACACCCTCGTTAGAACCATTGTGTGAGTCTGCTGGTGCTCATGGATATATTGGTCTTACTGTACTGCTCTACAGGGGTGCACTCTTTTTAGTAGAATTCTCTCTCACAAGTCGCCGCATCCGTCACAAGGTGCAGGCCTGTTTATGTACTGAACCAGCTCGTGTACTTTATGGTCACAGTCCTGGTCTCATGTGAGTACCAGCATACTTCCTGTTGAATCGCAGAAAACTAGAGTTCTTGGACTGATGTTTCGTGTAGTGTTCTCTGCTCTCCGTGTGTACGCACTCTGGCAGGGGTTATGGATACAATTCGCCTGCCTTGCCGCCTCATTCATACTCGGAGTGGTACCAGTTGGAATGAATATCGTCTGCCATTCTTTCAAGCGATATGCAGCTAGTTATACTAATTTGGATTTAGTTCGACTGGGAACGCACTGCAGTTGTATATGAGAATACTCAAATGTTCACTGTATGCAACGAGATCACCAACATCCTGCCGAAGCTCACCATGGAGTATGTGCAGACTTGTTGCACCGCCGCTTGCTGAATTCTGACAGCCTTACTTAGGAGTGAGCCTGCTTTGCTCAATTTCGTGCTCTTATTCATTGTGTACATGCGTGCAGTGCTCTATTTCACGAGATGTAGCTTGATCGCTGCTGACATCATTGTCCTCGTGCTGACGTGGATCAAGTCATTCGAGCACTTCAAGGAGATGCGACAGCTAAACCTTGGCCTGTCTGTTTCAGCTGTTCTGCTCCGAGATGGCAAGCTCATCTCTCTTTCCACGCATGAGCAACATAACTCATGCAGCATTATTCCGAGTCTAGGCACTATTTATTTTCTGTAAGTTACTAGACATCGTGAATCTTCTAAATGACTCCGTCTGATACATGAGCTTTCAGAATCCTCCTAGCTGTGAATATTCTGCAACTCCTCACATTCTCTGAAAGCAGTCTCTCTGGACCTGGGGTGATTAGTACCAGAAAATACTTTCACTCCGCTTAGTTCTGATCTTCTGTTTACAGAGCACCTATGCGTCCATCTTCACTGAATTTATGATGACTATTCCATGAACAAGGATGGCACAAATATCCATTGGCTGAATATTCTTATTCACAGCCCCCTTTGCTAGTGCAGCGCTTCATTTTTAACCTCCGCCAGGTCAACCACACCACTGACGAAAGCGGCAATTCGGATGCCGGCACACAGCACTTCTCCCAGTTCTCCCTCAGCTTTAGAGTGCCCTCAGTTATCCTCAAGAATATTGGAGAACCTCTGAACCACGTCCAGATAGAGGAAGTTGAAGACAGCAGTGATGACAGTAACTAAGTAGCAGAGGAGCCACGGAAGAGACTTTGGGAGGGTTTCACCTGCCAGGTCCATTGTTTGCATGTCGGGATGATCCAATGGAATCTGGTGCCGCTCTGTTGCAGTTTGCCGAACATGCAAGCGAGGGCGACATCGTCGGATCATCCCCTGACTTGGGTGGAATGGTAATGACAGTTGATAGCTGCCCAATTGCTGGGCTGCCTGACACTAGTGCCGAAGAGGACAGTCACCTGTATTCATTATGCCCCGTTTTGCATGTGTATCATCTGGTATTCCAATCTCTCCCATTTCCTGTATGACACCAGCGACTGTATCAATTATTTATTGTTGGGGAAAACACAACGGCACATCTCATTGTACAGATCCCTGATCAGCGTTTGTTCAGCCGCAGCACTGGCACCAGGTCCATCCCGAATGGACTCACTGAGCCTACCCTTTGAACAGTCTTGTAGAGCCCCGCAAAATGCGCAAGCGTGAATGAGTTGTTCAAGGACGAAAACAAGATCTAGTACACGAGTGCTTGGTACCAGTAGCCGTGAAAGTAGTCTGCATAGGCGCCGTGTTACCCGAAGGTACAGTAGAGAGAAAGAATAGCGCGCCCTTGCCTCCGCAGTCGATGTCGTCTTAGTTGAAACGCCTATCTTTGTGATGTTTGACACAGTTGTGGTTCCAGATAGGCTGCCACGAGAGGCCGACAACCGGAATCATGGCCATCTGGTCAGCGATGTTTGCAAGGCTAGGTAGTCACGCTATTATCACTTGGGGTCGAGGACAAAGAAGCTATCCATGAGGGCGCAGACAGCCGCAGGCACGCCCCGAGAGAGGCATTGGGCACACAGGTTGGGGTGCCAAACACACCGGCATCCCAAGGTTAAAAAGCATAGACGGCACGCAGGGCATGCGCATGTCCTTTAGCAGATGGACTACGCTGACATCCTCCCGTGCACTTGCACCCAGTGGAGAGCTTGGCGATCGTGCCATTGTCATGGACAACGGGATGCGGAGTCCGACTCAGCCAGGAATGCTAAGGCCACACTGACAGATATGACGATTAGGATAGCCTAAAAAGTGGCGTCAGCGTGAGAAGATCGAGCGTGGTTTTTGATAGCTACTCACGGTGTAGATGGAGGTAGAGGCGGCGCTGCTCCCCCCCCCCCCCCCGGGCCGGCTGCGAATATTAACGGCAGGAAAAGAAATAGAGCCAACGATAGTGCTTAATTGGCAGGACAGAGGACACGTCGGGTGTTTCTCGTTTGTCCATTTCGTGGGTATGGCTGGTCATGATGGAATTTTGATCCCTGGGCAGACGAGAAAAGCGTTGCCACTCAGGGAACCGAGGAACAAATGGGTACCTTGCATCTGGGAGCTGAGAGGCCAAGACAAAAGCGCGCAGGTAGACCCCACGAATCCGAAGGAGGACATCGAGGACTCGACCGAAGAGGGAAGCTGAGTGCCGGCAACTGGTGGCAAAGCGACATGAAAGCCTTGTTATGCTTGGAAGGGGTCCTCTTCCGGGAATCGAAGTGACTTGGCAGGGTGCGCTTTGTTGTACCGCTAGATTGTCCCACCACGGCATGGTCAGCGGCAAGTGATAATGAATACCCACTCGTGCTTCAAATATTTTGTCGGACCACACTAAGTGTCGCACAAGCATGTTCAGGCCGATTCATGAGGCTGGCAGCGGTGGGACATAGGATATGCCGCTCGTTTGCCAAAGAACGCTCTTAGCCAAGGAGGCTTGGCTACTTTCAACGCGAATGCCGATCTGCCGACAAGCTGGGAGTTGAGTAGTTTGTATCACTCTGTCACGAAGGGAATGGGAGTGCGTCGGTGGGTCAGAAGTGCCAAGGGCTGTGTCGAAGAGGAGCATCTTCGGTTTAGTGACGGGGACGGACCTGAGAAGAGTATCCAGCCTCAGGCCTAACGTCGACACTGAGTACGGGCTAGGCGTTGGACGAGCGCGAGGGCCATGGAGATGAGCACGCTCTAGAACTTCATGGAAAAGTGGCAGAGTGGGTATTCCACAGGACACCCTCTGAGACGGAAGTATTGCACGATACGCGAGGATACGAAGGTGAGGACGACGCGCTTGGCATGTAGCGCGTCCACGTGATATTACACGTGACCTGAACGCGTCAGAGATGTTGCCCTAGACTCTAGAGTCTACTACCATTAGATCGTCGACCGCGATCCTGGCCTTCCACGTCCTCGGTGTCTCGTTACTCTAGCACGACATAATACCTCTTTCGCGCTGTTGCACCGCCGATCACGTGTCGCTCAGTCGGGTGCCAGCCTAGCGCATTTGCTCTTGGGGGTTGGCACGTCCATCCGGTACGTATTCCTCGCTTTGCCAGTCGACGGCTTTTTGTGATGTCGCTGTTCCAATGTTGAATATACCGAAGCGAGTTTATACATTCAGTTTGATTCCTTTGTCGTCATGCCGCCGAAGATCGTCTTCCTCGCCGCACTCCCCAGCTCAAGACTATCGTCACGCCCGTGTTCCTGCTCTGCGCAGGCAACAAGCTGTCGAAAGTTTCCTGGTCGGAAAGGGACCACGTCTCTGTCACGCAGAAGTCGCTACTCTCGAGCGCAAGCTCTGGATGTCCAGCTGTACGACGAGCAAGATGCTTTTGTAGTGCTTTTGTAGTCGGCTCGGTCAAGTGCGCTTTCCCAGCGGCCGAGTCACTGCTCGTCACCGCACCTCCGAGAAACTCGACTCGTCGTTGTCTGTCTACTCTGGCGTTTATTCCGCATCACAGGCCGAGTATTACTCCGGTGATGTGCTGCGCCAGCCCGTCGAGGAGGCGAATCGGAGACTGAGTATGCCAATCAAGGATGGTTTATCCGCTAGGTGCGCTATTCAAAGCACGCGTTTGTAGCCCAGTATAATTTATGGCCTCGAAGCATCGACCGGTGGCGAACGATGATCGATGGCCTCCCGGAGTTCCAGAGAAACGAAGCCCCGGCTACTCAATGCTGCCAATATTCGCACACGGCTTCAAACCGTGTAGTTTTGACGGTCTCAGATACAGGTGCGTTCTGAGCCCACAACGCGTCGAATGCGTCACTGACAGGATGTCAGAACTGGGCTGCTATACTTCGTACCTCGATAGGTCAAACGTGCTCTGCGAAGCTGCCCCAGAAGAACGCCGTGTCTATCGGTCTCTTTGCACCAGACCTCTCCGCCTTCATCTGGCCGCAGTGCAGAACACGGTCACGAAACCCAAAGATCTGACCATCCGACGGCACGCATGCAAGTCGCTGCTCTGTCGAGAATGTTGGTGTCGCTGTCCATACCCACCAATGAGCTCTTCCGACCGTTGATTATGGACCCGAACGTGTTGGAAGCTGCTACGAGGCGAGGGCTTTGCTTTTCAAAGCCATGGATCTTCTAGGCTCGGAGGTCATCCTAATCACTGCGTCGTCCTTCATCGGTCTGGATGGGGCCGCGTGCCCCGCTAAATTCTGCGTGGCTGTGCTCCAGCTCGGCCTTGCAGTCATATCCCGCACCGAGGCCATCACTGGCCTCATCCTGTCCGCATACATCGCCTCGTCGTCCCACCGCAAAACCTGATGGCTGCATCAATCACAGCTGTCCTAGCGAGTATTCAAACTGGCAACATGCGTACTATCGAACGCAAGGAGCTCATGGCGCACGTCCGGACTATCGTCGACGACAGCGGCGTCCGGGACAATAACGGGACCTCAAGCGCGCTGCACGCGCTCAGTAGACGTGTCCTCTTTTGCCTCGCTATCGCCAGCTAAATCTTGTATTGCGCTCGCTCAGCCACCATTTGCACTTGTTGCTGGAGGAGCCGGGTGACGCCGCCTCGCCTGTCACGAAGATCAACAGCATGCTGACCTGTCTTGACAAAGACTTAAACCTGTGCACGCATCTTGCTCTGCAACTAACGCTAGTTCTCCGTTCGCGGCGGGGCAGCAAGGAGAGTTCCACGCCAACGCCGGGCGACTGCTGTGGTTGAACTCGATCAGATTGTTCACTCTCCGCTGCAGCGTGTGCGTGATCGCTGCGCAACCTATCTTTTCGTTGCTAAGGATAATGGGGATTCCACTGGATTAGCTAGGGGATAGTAAAGGCAGACGAGCTTCGCTCATAATTTGTGCGCGGGACACCTTTGATGAACTCGCGGCGTGCCGCATGCTAGCGCACGAGACGGCTGTGGCTGTTGCAGGGGCTGTAAGGCTAAACAAATACCTTCTTCATTCCAAGCACAGCTTTTGTATACTGGATGGCAAGGTCGCAGCTGAGTTTCCTTTAACTCTGTTCCCTTCCCCTTGGCCATATCGCAGACCAGCAGTCATGTCGACAATCGAGAGACTCCTCCCGCACGCGCACCAATATCCAGAAGGAATTATATCGGACGAGGGCCTTCCCAAACCGCCGTTCAGCAAAGGATTACCGGTGTGCTGGGAACGGAAAGCAACCTCCCCCGTAGCTCCCGTATACAATCTCCCGTGGGTAGTTAATACTGATGGACCCACAACCCACATGCAGCTGAACGAGTTCATTTTCGGAGAGAGCGAGCGGTCGGCACTATTCATTGCGGAATGTGGCATTGATCCGTCCTATCCATTCTACTACTACGAAATACGCATCATATTCACGAGACGTCTGCAGAGCGATCCAAGGTGAGTCAAGGAGCAGAACAATCTGTATGACAAGTGACATATCCGCCGTTGTCCAGCATACGCATTAAGTTGGGGTCCGTATTGAGACTATCCTAGCCTCTGTCATATATCGTAACTAAACAACCTTCGAAACTACAGCATGATCATCGAAGAATATCGATCAGGTGCTCTGCAGGACAAATATTCACTGTCGCCATTCCGATGCAACGGCCCCTTCCTACCCGGAGCAAACGTGTCAGGTCCTTTCGAGGGTGAGTTCATGTTGAAATATATCCCACTGGCAGCTAACTTCATACGACCTGAAGACGGTGATACATTTGGGTGCGGAGTGTCAACGCGTCGATAGTCGCATAATCTACACCAAGAATGGCGCTATCCTTGGTATGTGTTGCTCATGGTGATAGATGAGTATCGCGTGTGCTTAACGCTTGGTTACATCCACTACAGGTGGCTCGCGATTCATTGATGAGCTTGAGCTCAAGAAGATACTGCGTCCTGCTGTCAATCTGGTTTGGGACAATGTCAAAAAACCTGCTCCGATTTATACGCGTATCAGTACCAATCTTGGACAGCACAAATTCACCTTCGACTTATCAACCTTCACAGAGAAACCTGAATGGCGGAAATTCCGACACGGTGCGATGTTGCTGCCCATCGAGGTTGTTGCAATAATCGCCACCTTTGCTGCATTGGCCACGACAGAGTGAGTGATCTCTTCTTTGCGTTTCTTGAAGCCAGTTGACACATTCTTCAACTAGTGATACGGCAGGCTTGAGCAGACTTGCCATGGTCTTTCACACATGGGCCAAGATCTGCCGTCCTGTAATGTATGAGCGTATTCAAGTCCGTAGTGTGGTCCAGCTTCACCGCCTGCACACTATATTCCGCTCCCTGAGTGTCTTGCACCTTCCGCATGAGGTGCACATAGGCGGCGAAGTTGCGCGGCCAGTCACGGCCCCCAGTATGGCCTTAGTCCTCTCGTCTCTGGGCCATCACCTTCGACAGTCACAGTGCATCAGCTGGTCTGGGACGCGCATGCCCGGGGACGACGTTGCAGCGCATATACAAGAAGCACCACCACGAGTCGAGACCGGGATCTCAGCTCTTCTTCGTCCACTCCGAAACCTCGATTCCTTGCACTTGTGTAGAATCAAGTTCCAGTCCTTGACGCAACTCTTTCGCGTCTTCCGGGGCCTACCTCGGGTCCGAGAGATTCATCTCAAGGATATAGAGCTTTTGAAGGCTCCGGAACGCTATTACTGGCCGCCATCACTTATTCTGACAGAGCTGCAGGTTCTCAAAATCGTAGATTGCAGTATCCCACCACTTGCGATTCCAGCACTCGTCTCGCTCGGCATCTGGGGCATGCCGGGCTCCAGTGCCCTGCAGCAACGCCGAGAATTGAACGGAATCTCCCCGCACTACCACGACGAGCATGCTGTTCTACAGATAGCTCAAGTCCTGGGTCATTTACATACGCTGCTGGGTGAAAACGCCGGGCAGATGCAATGCATCTTTAATCTCGGTGGCAGGCAACTCGAAGAAGGTCAGACCACTGAGTACATGTCGGGTAAGATTCCCCAGCCGCCTGAACGTGCTGTTAAAATGCTCATCTAAATTCTCGACACTTGCGCAGTCGCATGCAACAGCCTCATAATCGGTGTCGAAGTGGCGCAGATGCAAGAGCCAGACATATGGCATATCAAGGCGGTTACCATCTTGCCTAGTTCCCGCGAGCACGCCTTCGCAAGGAAAAAAGATCAAAAGCTGACGCTTGCATTTTTGGATACCTCACTCGCTGATATATCGAGACAAGCGAGCCCTCCACTCATATTTGAATGCCAGCTCCGACATTGGAAGTTCAATACTTCACTTAGGATGCCGATACTCCATGCGCAAGGGAGAGTACACCTCAGCTGACTACCGCCATCCAAACGCCAGTCATCCTCACATTCTCTCATCCCCTTCGTAAATGTTTCTATCAACAGGCTTGCCACACTGACCCCCTCGGGTTCACCTCCTCGATAATGCCTATACCAGCCTCCCAAACAAGACCCGCTCGCTGCCAGCCGATGTCAAGACGGTGTCCTCGGTTGCCGCAGCCTCCATCCTACCTCTGCCCGCCACACCCGCCTGGTTGCGCTTGCGCTCCCCCAACCGTGGCTGGCGCTCAAGGGCTGTCGACCGTTCCGCGAGCCGACCCCTTACACACCATGTCATCCGCGTCGAGCAGCACGCCAAATGTGCATCCTTGAGGTCGCCATGGCACAGGCCGTTTTTGAAGACCCCACCCGTGCTTGAGCGCGACTCCCGCCGCGCTGTCCAGGTGGCCGCTTTCGTCGTTTGAACCTTGACCTCCGGGCATGCGGTTTGAGGGAAAGCTGCTGGGTCGATCACATGCAAGGATGTCGAGACGGTGAGAGATGAAAGAGGTGCCGAAGGCGTGAGTTGACGTGGGATTCGACGCAGGAGAAGGGAGCCAGGGTAGGCAGATGCGACGGGAGTTGGAACGATGCCGTGGCTTCGGCACGGGACTGCTTTCAGGTGGGACGAATAGGGAGAGCTACAAGGGACGGTCATGTTTTTACTTATGCGTTAGCTTGGGGTGAAAGACAGCATCTAGAGTTTGACTCATTATAGTATATGCAGAGCCCGAGGGCTGCGTTATCCTCCGCTGTTCGTGGTTGGAGCATTTCAGACGAGAATGATACTGCAAGTTTTGACATAGTGCTGAATTGCAAGCCAAAAGGCCAGACACATAGTTTCGGAGATTTGACTGCAATTTCAGTTTCCTTTTATTCTTATTGTCTTTGCGCGACAATATTGCACGAGCTACACAAGTAAAGACTTGCATGCGAAGGGAACAAAATGCTTGATTCGAGGGCGCGCGAGCGCATGCAAGACGAAACTACGTCCGACCATCCATCCAAAGTAAGCTGGCTATAGGCAGCAAGAAACAAACAGCGAAGAGTGGTCACGATCCTCCTCCCCCGCAATGTTGTAGGGCATACTGGCTGATATCGCCAGACAAACCTGACGCGGCTTGTCAGCGAGATGCGTCGCGAGAGCTCCAGGGGACGCACCTACATCCGAGCAAGTCTGTTAGACCAGGACTCCTGTTATATGATGACATTCAGATTGAAAGTATGAGAGCTAGTGCTCATGTCCAGAGAGAAGGGGCCGCTTGCGAGACACACGCTCACCCGTCGACCGGTTGCCGGCCCAAGGTGTAGTGGATGTCAATGGTCTGTCGCGAGAAATAGGATTTGTTACATTGCATGAGAAACGAATCCTTCATCCTGATCCTGGAGAGTCAAGGGACTTGCCGCCGGGGAGCGCCCTCCGCTTCGTGAAACAGATGTGCTTTCAAAGCTTCACTTGAGCATGCGACCTCGAAGCTGGCATTTCTAGCAAGAAAAATGGTCGAGTCTTAGCCGTCAAATGACACACAGGCAACAACAAACGCACTAGTACCAGGCGGTCGCATGAGCTACAGCCTACCAGCGGGGAGCATACACACACGGTGCACAATGCGATAAAAGAGCCCGTGAGCGAACTGAAAGCAATGCATAGGATTATATCCAGCAGAGGTCGAACACTGTAGAGAGGACCCGCGAGCGTGTCGCTGTTATCCTGAAGCACGCAAAGGCGCCTCACGCCTCTATGCCATCATGTCATAATGTAGACAATTGCAGAAGGGATTTGTGATCATTCGTGGGCTATCGTACATGCCGTCGATTTTCGAGAGCAAGAGCGGTCAGGAAGCCATCGAATGGCTCAGACGGGAAGAATTTGAGACGAAATGAACCAAATGTCATCGCAAGCGGTCCAGCCTACGGTGGACCGCCTGCGATGATATTTCGGTTGTGTCGGACGATGGAACATCCGCTGAGCACTGGAGAAGCTAAGCTTGATGCAGAGCTGAGAGAGGCGAACATAACGTCGCTCGACGAGCTCGAGCATTTATACGAACGCGAGCTGCGGGGTGACGTCATCCACGTGACTGCACTGAGTGCCGTGTTTACCGCGACATCACTCCTTGCGCCTTGTTTTCTCATCCAAACGTAGTCTGCAGAGTGCCTCGACACGAACGCTGCTGCGTCCGACCCGGCACCCACCTCTCTCACTAGTCTGGTCTCGACTAGATACTGCTGCAAGTCCGACTTCACACGCCTGCCGTCCGCGACATGGGTGCATGCCCGCGTCGACCTTGACACGCTCTACCCGCGATTCCTCGGGCACTTGAATGTTCCGTCCCCCTGCCGCCTCACATCGCCGAAATATGTGTATTTTTTCATGTCCTTGTGTGTCCTACACCCTAGATTCTGCGCCGTGTTTTGTTCCCAGGCCGCGCCCTACGGCGGATACCAGAAGCTGTTGCGAAGACGGTTATGCGTATGTGGCTGCTGTTGGTGGCTGAGCCCGCTCTGACGAGTTCAGCATCCCCTAAGCAAACACGCGACTAGACATTGAACGTGCGTCTTCCAGCTGGGATGGCGCAGAGGAGATGAGTACGGCAGGGGAAGGTTTCCAGATGCGGGAGTATCTGAAGCAAGGTAGAAGCAGTAGGGGTGCACAAAAGCAGGCGCGGGCGAATTCGGTTAGAGAAATGAGCTGCAGGGCAGCGGGAGATCAATCTTGCTACTGGATATCGTGACTTGTACGTCTCGCACCATCATTAGATGACCGTGACTGACCAGCCACCTAGGTGACATGTAATATCAGACTATACAACCATTCTACGACCATCCACCCTGTATAGTCTCACGGCGTTCGTGCCATCTCGCCTACGTGCTCTCGTCTGGATGCAAGCGCAACTGTCGACATGGATCTCTGGCTGCCGCGACCTGGCTCTCTCAGTCCTCCGCCCGTCCATCTTTCAGCAAGATTTGTTGACACCAGAATGCGGGCATGAAAATAATTCATTGGTGAGTGTTAATACTCTCAGTTCGCTCCTTCGGCCGCTGCCCACGCACTTGACATCACCGTCCTCTCCACCCCCCCTCGTCGTCATTCTCGCACGTAAACCGCATCCTTGGATATTCATCGCCTGGTGGGCTTATGTTTTCCAGCGCAAGATGCTCTGTTTCCTACCCCATTTCCGCGTCCTATCTACTATACTTCGACAGCTGACCTCAAATCGTGATAGGCTCACGTTCATCATCGGCCTCTTTCCTCAGCAGGTGATCACAATGTTCACTTTGAAGTCCGGTTTCTATATCTTCAAGGTGGTTGTGTACCTCGCCTCGGATGTCCTTATCCGGGCCCTCACAGTGCCGCGTTCTTCATTTAGGTGACGGTCGACATACACTAGCTCTTCAAAAGCGCACTCCGGCCCATCGTCTTCCTCATCGCTTTTGTGCAGTGAGTCGTCAAGAGCTTTAACTGAGTCTTCAAGGTCACCAATACCTTGGACGCCGAGTCCGCCGCCATCGTCACGGAGCCCTTCGTCGGACAGAGCGAGTCTACATGTTCTATCGAGCCTTCTGTCAACCTCATGGCTGCGTCCGAACTCTATCTCACGATAGCTTCCGGTTCCTCGACGATCGTCAGCTTCAATGCCGCCCGCATACACTAACCTCTGCGTCGCGCACCGATAGCGGCAAGGACCATTATCTATTCCAGCCAGCATTTCAATCAGCAAGATGCACGTGTACGGTGTGGCCGCGTCGCCGGCGACTGTGGCGACCAGAACAAGAGTAGGCCTGAAAATGCTCTGCGTTTTCAGTCAAGGCGCCGGCTCAGATCGCAACCAGCCGGATCCTGTACGTTGTCCGCTAGCTATCGACTGCTCATTTCTGATCTGCTGATTATTAAGACCATATGTGCCCAATTTTCATTTTGTCCACTGCAACAATCAATGGCCCGCTAACGTAGATCGGCAGAGACTCCAGAATGCACGCACTCGCGCTCGACTCCGGGTGCTGCGCTACTTCTTTCCCCGGCCGCCGTCCCAGCTGTGCCACGTAGCGAAATCTTGACGGCAGCAGAGCTGCACGCGGCGAGCTTCGTCGCGTACGCAGAGCTGGAGGATATCATGGCCGATCAAGACTCCTTGGTCAACCTCTCCGACTGCGACTACGCAAACATATCATATGCGCATCGCTGATTCGTGATGCTTGGCTCGCTTGACACTCAAGTCGGTGTCTTCGGCGCGCTCGCGCTGAGTCGCACGCGCAAGGCCCCCATGTAGCAGTAGTTCTACGGGCCTTTATAAACAAGCGGAAAAAAAAAAGAGTCGCACGCGCACTCTCGCACATTGCTGACATGGTTGCCCAATTCTTGTCCCCGCTATTCCCAATGCACGTTTCCTTGAGATACTCAGCAACGACATCGGTGTATGCTTCCGCTAGTGGACGTGTATCACGACACTATATGTGTATAAGCTAACGAATCCGGTGCGCTGCATGCTATACTCTGCTTGCTTGCTATGCACGTAATAAAATTGGCATAAACTTCAGATGAAGGGTGACGGGTGCCTTGCGGCCGGTGTCTTGTGCCCGCGAAACATTCTGGATACGGTGCTCGTGTAGGCTGTCACTTGCGGTTTCATGACGCTTGTACTCGTTAGAGCGTATCATATTGTGTGCGTAATGTTTCTTCCGATCTGCCTGCTTTCATGGGCAGTGCGCCTCCTCAGCTCAAACTACCATGCTTGTAGCCCTCACGGACTGTGAATCGTGAGACTAATGCTTTGAATTGCATCGCTGCATTGGGCGAATGCGGTGTACATGGGGGGCCTCATGTGTATTGACAATGCCGCTGGAACGCAGCCTCTTGCCCGCGGTTTACACCTGTACGTGGCCGGTGCCCGTATGTGCATGTGAGGCTTGATCAATTGCTGCCGCCTTGCAATCACCTAACGCCGGGTTCTCCGTCCGTGGCGGGGCAGTGAGAAGAGTCCTGTGCGAATGACTGCCTCAGGGCTGCGGCCAAACTTAATCAGATTGCACAGGTCCCGACATGGAGTATGCGGAAATTAGTGCGTGGGCTCTTGCTTATTTCTTCCTAAGCATACTAGAATCTCCTGGAGCTGGCCATGGAGTGTAGTACCAACGCATGCGCCGTGTCTACGCTTTCTCGCGAAAAGCACGAATCGTCTGGGATCCACGACATACTACGTGCCAGTGCGTCGGGTAATCGTGGCTGTTAGAGAGGCTATGAGCGCCTTCTTCGATTACAAGCTGCACATATCGGCGCCGGCTGAGCTTGAAGACCACCGGCTACGGCGAAACCTTTCTCCAACTCAGGCCTTTTCCAGGCTTGCACCCGACCACATTGCAGTTATGCCGTCGCTCGACTATCTTCAACGAACCCTCCCGCATGTACATCAATATCTGAAAGGAGTTAGACTAGACCATGGACTTCCCGATCCGCTGCTCGACTGCGTTGAATTGCCGCACTGCTGGGATCGGACACCAGACTATCTCAGGGGAACGCCAACTCCGCAAACCTCATTCGCTGATAATGATGGACTAATATTCGAGACGTCTTTTGATAGCTTTCAAGCTGAACTGTCGTCGGTATCATACACTGCGGAGCGGGGCATCGACCTCCATTACCCATTTCACTACTATGAAATACAAATCAATGCTCTGACTCTCTTGTGGAGTGCATCGAGGTGAGCCTTGGAATCGACGGTGTTCACCATGGCTTGCATAACTAACGCTTTCATGGTTCCCCAGTATAGCTATCACGATAGGGTCCGTATATAGAGTGCCCGAGTCTTTATTACCTTTTTCTAATAGGTCTCGGAACTGCAGCATAACTGTTGAAGAACACAGCTCAAGCGCTCTGACCGTGCATTCACCCTCAATACTTGGATACAATGCTGTACCGTTCCGCAGCCGGACGTTTGTGGTCGGTACACCCTGGTTGTCCGGATTCGTCGTTTCAGACTCTGTTGCGGGTAAGCTCATATCAGAACATGTTGTGCTGTGAGTTAACTTGAAGACCGAAGCCGGTGATATACTTGGATGTGGAGTCTCGCGCGCCGATGATTCTATATTCTTCACCAAGAACGGCACTTTCCTTGGTAGGTCACTCCTGTCAAAGATGCATAGAGCTCGTACTTAGCGCAAGTGGAATCTGCTGCAGGTTGGCGGTGGTGTGCCAGTGGTCTCAAGGGGATACTGCGCCCTGCCATACAACTGGCTTGCTACAATGGCGTAGCACAGATCGTTCCATCGCACCTACGTATTGGTACAAATTTTGGACAGACCAGATTCATCTTCGACTTTCGCCACTTCACGGAGAACTATTTCATTCAGCGGCGAAGAAAGTTTGAGTATGATGCCTCACTGCTCCCCGATGAAATTACTGCATTGATCGCCGTCTTTGCCGCATTAGTCTCGAAGGAGTGAGTGGTTTCTTGTCTGTACTTCTTGCGTCAATTGACACTGCTTTTCAACCAGTGATGTAGCCGCCTTGAGTAGATGTGCTATGGTCTGTCGTACATGGGCGAAGATCTGCCGTCCCTTGATGTTTGAGCCCCTAAAAATCGAAAGCGTAGTCAAGCTACATCGCTTGGACGCCATATTCCGCTCTTCGAGGGCCTTGCATCTTCCGCGCGAGGTGCGCGTAAGCGGCAGGAGCGATCAACTCGGACACAACTCGGATAAGCCCCCAAGCTTCGCCCTGGTTTTATCATCTTTTGGCATCCATCTCCACCAAGCCGAGCTCATCAGCCTCTTTGAATCTCGGTACTCCAGCTCAGAAATGATTTGCGCGCCACCATGGATTGAGACCAGAATCCAAGCTCTTCTACGTCCGCTCCGAGAACTCGTTTCCCTGAATATGGACGATCTGGAATTTAAATCTTTGACGCAGTTCCTTCGCATTATCCGTGGCCTACCTCGTATCCGAGATATTAGCCTGAAGAAGATAAAGGTCTTGCTGGCTCCTCAACACTTCTTCTGGCCGCCATCGGTCACTCTGACAGAGCTGCAGACTTTCCAAGTACAAGAGTGCCAGGTACCCACATATGCAATTCTGGCATTGACCTCGCTCGGAATCCTAGGCAAGCCGAGCTCGAGCTCTTCACTCGCTGTCGCATTGCAGCATCGTCAACGAGCAAATGGGATCCCATTGCACCACGACGATGAAGATGCCATCTTGCAAATAGCTCAAGCTTTAGGACATCTGCACACGTCGTTTGACAACGATGCTAAGCCTGAGACATCGCGATACAGCCTTACTCTTAATGGTAACCAAGGACAAAAAACCACTCGGTACCTGGAAGGTGAGATTCATTGAGTAACTCCACAAGTCGCTATAAGCCTCATATATATTTCTGGCACTTGCGTAGTCGAATACAACGATATTTCAATCAGCATTGAAGTGACGGAAATACAGGGGCTACGGGAAACTGCTTGGCGTATCAAGACGGTCTATATCTCACATTTCAACTACCCTAAACCAAGGAAAGGTAGTTTCGTTTCTATGCTTACACTTCTGGACATCTCCCTCGCCGAAGTATCCCGACGAGCAAGCCCTCCACTCACATTTCAATGCAGAATATGGGGTTTCGAGATAGACTTCGCACAGACAATGCCAAGACTACATGCGGAGAGGAGAGTACATATCGGTCTGTAAGCGGAGCTATCCACGTCAATAGCCCATTGTCGCATCCCCCGGTTCCTTCCACTCCCTTCCCTGATTTCTCCCGCCTCGACAAACGTACCGCATCGATCCTCCCAAGTTCGTCTTCCAGACGTTGCTTCTACCACAACTATCTAGCTGGCTCCCTGCGCCGCCGGCCGGCGCAAGGGCGTCTCCGCCTCCTGTCCCCGAGCCCGTCCCCACTCGCCTAGCTGCACTCGTGCCCCGCAGCTCGCGCACGAGGGCCGCCAATCTACGGTGCAGGGAGACCCTTCTCGTACCGCCCCGTCCGCGTCGAGCGGCGCGACCAGCTTCTCCTCTTGCAGCTACCCGGCCCCGTCACGACGAAGGCCGCCCCACAAGGCCTCGACCCCGCGCTACCTCGCGTTGCCGAGCCTGAACGCGACGCGCATGCCGAGGACCTCCAGCGTACTCTCTGCGCGACCAGATTGGCGGCTTCCGTTTGCTCGAGCCTTGTCCCTATGGCGCGCGGTCCCGGAAGGACGCAGTGTAGCCAGTCGCTTGAAAGGAGCTCGGAGACGGTAGGGGATGAAGTAGAGGATGGGATGCCAAAGTCGTGGGGCTGGCGGGGCCGGACTCACCATATCATGCTGCGTATGATAACTGTCTACCGCATTCTGTATTAGAATATCCTGGAGGATGAGCAAGATATCAAGGTTGGCAGTCGCCGATGTACCATTGAATTGGAGGTCGAATGAATAGATACGCGTCGCGTCACAGGGGATTAGATAAAAATGGCGTATTTTATTGGGTCTTGCATGACTATACCGCGACAGGGGAACAGTAACTGAAGAACTCGAGTACGAAAGGTACGAGGAATCTGAACGCGTACCTACAAGTGTACGCTTAATGCCATCCGGGACCATGCGTCGGCGGCCGGTAGCAGAGCGTAAATATACTAGGAAGTAGTCTTCTCCCGAGAATCGAGGTGATTTGAGTGATTTGTCGCATCACTACGTGGACCTGCATGTCATGGTCAGCGAGACGTCAAACTCCCCTAGATCCCAGACGCTCCATCGAACCAAATTCAGTGGCGCGCGAGCATCTCCAGGTCGACGGGCAAGATCGATAGCAGGTGATACAAGCTGAGTAGGAGGTGCATCCGCAATTGACGTCAGGACGTATATAGCCAAGGAGGGGCAGCTGCTTGCGATATGAGCATAGATGTGCGCTGGGATTGGTGACGAGGCTGCTTACGTTGCACACAGTGGGAACGGAAGTTCCACGTCAGACTAGGGCCAGAAAGAGTCGCTGAAAAGCTTAATTAGCTCCGTGCTGACGATGATGTTGAATAGAGCACACCGACCTGGCCCTGGGATACCCCTTGCACTGAAACGAAAACCTGAGCCCCCAGCTATGAACACGCAAACAGAAGATGCACCAGCTGAATGTGTAAACTATTCGCCACCACAGCATACACCCATAGTACACGTCTGTCCAAAAGAGTCCCCTAAGCCTGTTGAGGCCGACGCGGCGGTGCTATGTCCGGTAGAGGACCAAGTGCTGTACAATATTGAGCGTAGCGGGCGGCATAAGACCCGCGAGTGCGTCGTCGCCGTACGGGGGGATGGTATTGTACTTCATGGTAAACGCTTTCAATGTAGACTGTGCAAAGAAGCTTACACGTCGTCATCGTCGTCGGCAGGTGGACATGTGACGACCAACCGCTGGACGAGCGCGAGGATGCATCGTCAGCGAGGCACACGGTGGGAAATGGCACATCGAACATCAAAAGAGGCGTGTATCGCGCACAGCGCAGAGTCCGGCATCGGTCGACGGGGTCGGGCGGTGAGCGTTGACGTTGAGTACGAGCTAGGCGTTGGATGAGCGCGAGGGCGACGGAGGTGAGCACACTCTAGGACTCCATAGAAAAGTGGTAGGGTAAGTGCTCTATGCAAAGGACGATGCACGAGGACACGAAGGTGGGGGCAACGCGCTTGGGAAAGGTCGAGGGGAGAGACATACAGGTGAGAGCTGTAACTGGCCCTGGGATGTTGCACTGGGTACCACATTTGGAAGGCATGGTCGTTTGATGCAGCGCTTGGCGTATACCGTGCGGACGTACGCACGACGCGTCTTCCACAACATCTCAGACTTGCAGGTTTCTCGCTCCACTACTTTCTCGACGCGACCTGGGCATGAACAGACTCAAGCGCAATGAGGCTCGATAGCTCCATGGCTAATGCTGCTGCAACGCTCGACTCGACACACCGCAAGGCGCTGCATCAAGTTCTCTCCAGCTCATCGACCGCAATTATGACTGCGATCTTCCACATTCCCAGCATTCCGTAGTCCTTGCGCGACATAACACCTCTCTCGTGCCACTACGCCGCCTACCCCTTGATTATACTTTTTGTTGGACATCGTCTTCTTGCGCTTGCTGCACCGGCTCCATAGTTGATCTCGATGAGACGCACGTCTGACAGGCTGAGGACCTGCGCGTTCATCCAGTACGTTGCACCCTGCCAGCAGACAGCTAATATCGTCGCTTCACGGTCAGATATTCCAAAGCAGCACATACACTTGGTTTGAGCCCCCTGTTGCTCCGCCACTGAAGTCCTTAAGACCATCATTATGCTCTCGTTCCTGCTGAGATTGCGGAATAGCCACCAAGTCGCCCAGCGTTGTCAGAGCACAGTCAAGAAGGCACTAGCTCTTCTTGTTCAGGCGGGAATGCTGCTTTTGGACGCGAGCTCTGAACAGCCAGCCGTACGACGAGGAAAGAGCCTTTTGTGGTTGGGCCGGCCAAGCACGGTTTTCTGACGGCCAACTCACCGTTTGTCATCGCGCTTCGGACAAACGTCAAATGTCTGCTCTATGTCGTTCGTTTTGCCTTACAAGCCGAGTATGACACCGGCGATGCCCTGCATCAGGCTGTCGTAGGAGCGACGTTGAGAGTTGGGTATACGAATGCAGGATGGTTCTACCCTTAGGTGCGCTGTTCAGGCTACGCATATACTGTTTCGCACGATTTCTGACCATTTAGTTCATCAGAATTGCTGTGGCTGAACCATGGTTTTGCCGCAACCCTCTTCGGCCTAGGCACTCCATCTACGAGACGCTCAGCATCGAGAACTCCAAGCAGCAAACACGAAAATTCAGCCTATCTGCCCTGTCCTATTGTGTACGATGTTTAGTGCAGGTTTTTGGGCGGTGCAGCGGCGGACGCCGCCGGGACGCGGTAACCTTGAATTGTCAACTAGCGGCGAACAATGTCTCCCGGCGTCCCAGTCAGACGAAGCTCAGGCTGCACATCGAATACGGGTGTCCGTGCCGTCTTACGGATGCCTCGGCGCTCGTCGACTTTGAACTGTGTTGATCCGGCAGTCTCACATGCACGTATGTCTCGAACCCACGACGCATTGAACGCACCACTGACAAGGCTGTGCAACTAGGCTACTGTACCTCCATGGTGTGGTCAAGCGCGCTCTGCGGAGCTGCTCCAGAAGGCCATTATACCACCCAGCCCCTTCGAATCGGACATCTCTACGCCCTATCTCGTCGCAACATGGAACACGGTCGCAGAATCTGGCGATTCGACCGTTTGACCGCGGACATGCAAGTCGCCGTCCTCTCGAAGACATTGGCATCACCGTCCATACACACCGACAAATTCTTCCCGTTGTTGGACGTGAGCACGAATGCACTGGAAGTTGTAGCGGCGAACTGGACCTTCTGAGTGCCGCGCAGATGGTTGCGATTCTAGCTGTCGCTCACTCGACTTTTGTTCGCTTTTGCTCTGCCCTCGGTCTTCTGTCGCCGCAGCTGGCAAGACTGGTCGCACGGAGGCTTCAAGTCGGTGCCAGCGACTCGTTGGGCACCGTAGTCAGTGCCTGCAGGATTAGGTGTCCGCCCCGCGCTATAAGCACAATCTGAATGCCGCCTAGGTGCTCCTCTACTCCTACGCTATCGCTATTTCAGGGTGTCCAGGACAAGAGCACGACCTCAAACCCGGCACTTACGCTCTACAGAAGCGTCCTCTTTGACCTCATTGTCGCCGGTCAGGTCCTGTACGTCGCTAGTCCAGCCAGTATCTTCACTTCTCAACTCATTGTTGTCGGATGAGCCAAGCTGGCGGTAGTCTCCCTTGTCACGAACACCAACGTTCTACTGTCTCGGCAAAGGCCGGTACCTGTACACGCCTCCTGCTCTGCTGGGGGGGACTCTCTGCTGCGGTCAAATTCAAATCAAACTGCTCGGTCCCTGCCGTAGCGTGTGTTGAGATTGATGTGTGGCCCGGGCTTGTCATTCTTTCTTCCCGAGGGTACTGGGGATCCCGCGGCATACCCCATGTTAGCGCACTGAATGAATGGCTGTGACTGTTGATACGGCTACGAAGCACGAATGAGTATCTTTCTCATTTCTTAGCACAGCTTTTGCGCGCCGGATAGCAGTATAAGTGCCGGATGTGAAGATTGCAGTGGAACTTACTCTAACTCTGGCCCCCTCCACTTGACCACATCGCAGACTAGCAGTCATGTCGACACTGGAGAGTCTCCTTCCGCATGCACGCCGATATCTCGAAGGAATGATATTAGACGAAGGCCTCCCCAGGCCGCTGTTCAGAGGACGATTACCAGAGTGCTGGGAGCGGAAAGCAACCTCGACCACGGCTTCAGTGTTCTCGTTGGTCAATGCTGACGGACTGGCAATCGACGTGGGACTGAACGTGTTCAAGTTTCAGGATGGAGAGTCGTCGGCACTATACATTACGGAGGGTGGAATTGACTCGTCCTATCCATTCTACTACTACGAAGTACGTATCACTGTGGTCATGAATCACCTGCAGAGCAATTCGAAGTGAGTCATGCAGCCCAATGACCTGTGCAATTGACATATCCGCGACTACCAAGCATATGCATTAAGACGGGGTTTGTGTCTGAATTACCTTGACCTTTGCCTCGTATTTTAACAAGTTTCGAGATTGCAGCTTAATTGCTGAAGAAGATCGATTTGAGACTGAGAACAAACACTCACCATCGCCATTTTGGTATAATGACCCATTCCTACCTGGAGCAGGCATGTCAGGTCCTTTTGAGGGTGAGCGGTTCATGTCAAGATATGTTTTACTGTCAGCTGACTCCGTGCGAATCAAAGCCGGCGATACATTTGGATGTGGGGTATCACGCGTCGATAGTTGCATATTCTACACCAGGAACGGCGTAATCCTTGGTATGTTACGCTCACAGTGATAGATGAGCATCGCCTGTGCTCAGCGTTGGTTATATCCGCTACAGGTGGCCCGCGATACGTTGATGAACTTGAAATCAAGAAGACACTACGTCCTGCTGTGCATCTTCGTTGCGACAATGGCAAACAAACCGTTCCACTTCACATGTGCATCAGTGCCAACTTTGGGCAGCATGAATTCACCCTCGACTATTGCCACTTCACGGAGAACTATTTCAGTCAGCGGCGAAGGAAATTTTGCCATGACGCCACGTCACTGCCCATGGAGATCGTTACGATGATTGCCACTTTTGCTGCGCCGGCTGCGAAGAAGTGAGTGATCTCTTTTTGCGCTGTCAAAATTAGCTGACGCTCTCTTCAACTAGCGATACCAAAATCTTGGGCAAGTATGCCATGGTCTGCAGCACCTGGGAGAAGGTCTGCCGCCCTTCGATGTATGAGCGTATCCACATCTGGAGCGTGGTCCAACTTCACCGTTTGCACACCATATTCCGCTCCCCGAGTGTCCAGCATCTTCCACGTGAGGTATGCGTAGGCGGCGAAGTCACTCGATCAGTCACAGCTCCCAGTCTGGCCTTAGTCCTTTCGTCTTTGGGTCACTGCCTCCAGCGGTCTCGATACATCGACTGGTCTAAGACCCGCGCCGGGACAAATGTTGCAGTGCACATACGAGAGGCGCCGCCACGGATCGAGGCCGCAATCTCAGCTCTCCTTCGCCCACTCCGAAACCTTGGTTCTCTGCACTTGGATAGGATCGAATTCCAGACCTTGACGCAGCTCTTTCGCATCATTCGGGGCTTACCCCGTGTCCGGGATGTCCAGCTCGAGCACGTGGAGGTTCAGAAGGCTCCGGGACGCTCTTACTGGCCGCCGTCACTTATTCTGACAGAGCTGCAGGTCCTCAGAATCATAGATTGCAGTATACCGGCACCTGCGATTCCAGCACTTGTCTCACTTGGAATCCGAGGCACACCAAGCTCCAATAGTATTTTGCAACGTCGCCGGACATTGAATGGTATCTCATTGCGCGATGACGACGAACATGCCATGCTGCAAATAGCTCAAGCTCTGGGTCATTTACACACGCTGCCGGGCGACTACGCCGGGCACGGCCGGGTGCGATGTATATTTGATCTTGGTGGTGGGGGAGAAGATCAGGTCGCTGAGTACATGTCGGGTAAGACTTCCCTACCACCCGAACGAGCTGCTATGATTCTCATCTAGATTCCGGACACTTGCACAGTTTCATGCAACCGCCTCTCAATCGGTGTTGAAGTGACACAAATGCAAGAGTCAAATATTTCGCGTATCAAGGCGGTCACCATCTCGCCCAGCCTCCGCGAGCACGCTTTCGCAAGAAAAAAGGATCAAAAGCTGACTCTCGCATTTCTGGATACTTCGCTTGCCGACATATCGAGACAAGTGAACCCTCCGCTCACATTTCAATGCCAGCTCCGGGGCTGGAAGATCAATATTTCCAACAGAATGCCGTTACTCTATGCGCAGGGGAGGGTAACAGACGTTCTAGTAGCAGATAACCGCCATGCACACTTCGATCCACTTCAATACTCGCTCACCTTCTTTCCCGATCTTTCCTACCAACATGCCTTCCACAGCGACTCCTCCGAGCTCGTCTCCTGGATGGCAACGCTTCTACCAGCCTCCCACACAAGCACCGCGCTGCCAGACGATGTCACGACGGTGTCCCCAACTCCCACAGTCTCTGCCCCAGCTCCGCATTTCGCATCCGCCTAGTCACGCTCGGGCACTCGCAACCACTACTGGCGTTCGAGAAGCATTAACCGTCTCGCGAGCTGGCCCCTGTCGTGCCACGCCGTCCGCATCGAGCAGCACGCCAGAGGCGCCAGATGCGCCATCTCGCGGCCGCCCCGCCTACCATACCTCGCTCGCACTGCCACGCCCGAGCGCGACTCACATGGCGAGGACATCGGTTGCATTCGCCACTTCGCCACGCCAGCACGCCGGCCGTTTGCACCGTTTTGAACCTTGGTCTTTGTAGCGCGCGGATCCTGGAGGCTGTGCGAATTGGAGGGGTATAGAGACGGCGAGGGATGGAAGGAGACGTGTGGCCGGAGACGCAGCTTGGCGTGGAGACCAGTGTGCGAGTAGACGCGAGAGTCAGCGTGGATGCTACGGCGTGGTCGTGGACGCAACGGGAGTCGGAACGTTGCTGCATCGTCGGCGCAGGATCGCCATTGTGAGAAAAATGTGAGGGGCAGGTCGCAAGGGATGAACGAGTTCCTGCTCACGTATTGTTTCGGATTAATGGGTGATTTCGAGGGTTCGGCTCACCGTGTTATGCTAAGCGCAACGGATTTGTTCGCGGCTCATGCGTGATAAGAGCGTCACAGGGGGTGGGGTTGTTTCTGCGCGGCGTGGTCTCGGCGCACCACTCGATTGGACGCTGGATGGTCAGATGCGTGTCGATTACGAGGGGAAAGAGTTGTTATTCATTCGGTCTGGCATCATAATCATACACTAGGGCAACAGTAAATGAAGACATCGAGCACGAAGGGGACGAAATGCTCGACATGCGAACAAACGCGGGTGTATCGTCAGCGAGGTCGATGCAGGAAAATAGCGACGTTGCAACATCAGTCACGTGATCGTACCAAGTGCCGCATTTGGGAGGCGCACTCATCTTTCCTCATGCGGGACTCGGATGCTCGGCGTTTTCCGAAGCTCATCCCAGGTGCACCGGCCGCGATTTCGCCCTCGTCCCCGGAATGCAGTCTCCAGAGCGCTGTTGCGAAGACAGTTATGCGGTTGCTGTTGGAAACTGGACCCGTTCTGACAAGTTCAACATCCTCTAAGCAAGCACACGGCTAGAAATCAAACGTGTATCGTCTAGCCAGACGAGATAGGTACGGCGGCAGACGCGTGAAGATCTGGAGCAAGGCAGAAGCCGCAGGTCAGTGCAGCCATGGATGCACAGGGGGCTAGCGGAAGCGAACTTGAGCAGAAGAACGAGTAATAGGGCGGCAGGAGAGTAATCTTCCTAGTGGGTATCGTGAATTGTGCGTCTCGCGTCGTCATTACATGACCATAATTGACCATATTAACCAGCCACCTATGTAAGATGTAGTATCAGACCATTTGCAACTGGTCCACAGCCATTCAGTCTGTAAAATCCCACGTCATTCGCGCCGTCTCACTTGCACGCCTGGTCTGGATGCAAGTGCAACTGCCGACGCGGAACTCTGGCGACCTTGCTATCTCGATCTTCTCCCTGTTCGTCTTTCCGTGCAATTACTGGCTCGAGCGTGCAAGTAGGAAAAGATCAGTAAGTGTCCGTTCTGCTCAGTTTATTTGTTAAACCACCGTCCACGCATTCGACACCGCCACCCTCTCTAACTCGTCTATCTCCATTCTTGCACGTAAATCGCATCCTGGGATGTTCATCGCCCTGGCGGACTGACGTTTCCAGCGTATACCCGCACCCACACGCACGACATGACAGGCCATTTTCCCTTAAATTTAATACTCCGTTTTCCCCCCATTCCCCCGTCCTATCCATTATTTGGACCTCTAGCCTTAGATTGTGACAGTTCCACGTTCATCTCGACTCTTTCCTTCAGCATGACGACCACAATGTTAACTTTGAAGTTTAATGCTAGTTTCTAGACCTTCAAGGTGACTGCGTACCTCACCTTGACTTCCTTACCCAGGCCCCGCGGTGCTGCGTTCCTCGACCAGGCGACGGTCGACAGACACCAGTTCTCTGCCAACACGTTCTGGCACATCGCCTTCAGTATCGCCTTCGTACAGATGGTGCGCAATATTGGCAGCGTACAGTGGCTCGTTAAGAGCTTTGCTCGTGTCTTTAAGGCTCGGATGCCGAGGCCGTTGCTACTCCCGCGTCGCCCTTCACCGAACGGAGCGATTTTATGTGTTCTGTCAAGCTGTATGGCGGCTTCATGACTGCGTCCGAACCCCATCTCACGATAGCCTCTGGTTTCTCGCCGATTGTTAGCAAGGTGCCGTCTGCGTACGCCAACCCCGGCATCCCGCACCTGATGGCGGCCTCGGTGGGGCTTATACTCCACAAACATTTGGGTCAGCAAGATGCACATGCTCTAGCAAGCGGTATCTGAGATGTGCCGCCGGAGACTGTGGCGACCAAAGCAAGAGCAGGCCTGTAAATGCGTTTGCAGGCATTCGGCCAAGGTACCCTCTCGGGTCTTATTGTTGCTAGCCTGATCTTGTACGTCGTCCGCCTGCTATCGACTGTCCATTTCTGATCTACTTACCACCAAGACGAACGCGCTGATCTTGTCATATATCGTCCATCGTGATAACCAACGGCCAGCTGACGTAGAGCCTTCAAGATGCTCGTGCTCGCGACCACCTCGTGCTGGGCCATGTCCCCGGCCGCCTTCCTAGCCGTACCCCGGCACAAGACCCCAACGGCGGCAGAGCTGCTCACCGCGAGCTTCGTCGCAGACGTGGGCTGCAGGGTATCATGGCCAACCAGGACTCCTTGACCGACCTGCCCGACTGCGACTACGCGAACATGTTATATGCGCCTTGCTGGTTTGCGAACCGGGATTCGCTTGCCATTCGAGTCGGTACCTTAAACGTGCTCGCGCCGAGCCGTGCGCGTATTCTCGCATCATGGGTTTGTGTAATCCTTGCCTTCTCTCGCTATTCTCAACGGGCACTTTCTTGTTATACCCGGCAACAGCAGCGATGTATGCTCCTGCTGAGCCTGTATCACAGCACTATGTGTGCATGAGCTAACGGCGCTGGTTTGCTGCATGTCGTACTCTGTTTGTTTGCTGCACAAGTAATGCGATTGACGTGGATTCAGGTGAGTATCATGTTGTGTGTGGCGTGTTTCTTTAATCATAACAAGTAGTCTGCAGCCGACTGGCTAATTAGGTGAACTATGATCTCGGACAGCTCATAATCCACGGAACTCTGTAGTTCAAAGCTCAACGTTCATGCATCATGATGTATGATGTCTCGTCCAATCGGTCTGTTTCAAGTGCAATGTGCCACCTTATCCCAGCCTACCACATTTGTAGCTTCGAGTTTCTGTGTATCGTGAGACCGATGTCTTATGGTGCACCGTTTGTCCATTGCATTGGGCGGATACCATGTATGGGGGCAAGGCGCATGGGCTGTTCAGGTTAGGTTCCCACGCGCATTGACGATGCCAATGGAACGCATGCTTGCTCGAGGTGTTGCGGCGCCAGGCTGACTCGAATGTCGACTGTACGTGCTTGATCGCTCGCTGCCTCGCGATTAACACCGGATTCTCCGTCCGAGGTGGGGCAGCAAGAAGAGTCCCACGCCATTGCCGGACGATGACTGTTTACTGTAGCCGAACTTAATCAGATTGCACAGGTCTTGACATGAGCTGTGCGGAAATCTGTGTGTGCTTCCTTCTTTCTGAGCATACTGAAAACCTCACAGAACCGTTCATAGGGTTGATACTAGTACCAAGGGACGGGTCATGACGACGCTGTATTGCGAAAAGGGCACAAATTATGAATGGCGACCCCACGGCATGTTACGTGCCAGTGCGCGGGACGGCTGTGGCTGTGAGTGTCTTCATTTGCGACAATATATAAGGTGTGGGCTGGGCTTACGACTACGGTGAAAGCTTTCCCCCAGCAAAGGCCCCTTCCAAGCTCCCGCCCGACCGTATTGCAGTCATGCCATCGCTCGTGCATCTCACACGGAACCTTCCATATGCATATAAATACCTGAAGGGGATCAAATTGGATCATAAACTTCCCGAGCCGCTGCTCAACCGCGATAAATTACCTCAGTGCTTGGACTGGATATCATATCTCGATGGGGCTCCGGCTCTGCGAGCCTCGTTCATCGGTCTTGGCAAATTGACTATCGACGCGTCATTTGATAGCTTTCAAGGTGGAGAGCTGTCGGTGTTATACATGGCAAATTGCGGTATCGACCTCCCCTACCCGGTTTACTACTACGAAGTATATATCGAAGCTCTGGATCTCTTGTGGAGTGATTCGAGGTGGGCCGTGGAATTGTATTGTATTCATCGTGACCTGCACGACTGACACTTACACGGTTTCCCAGCATGTCCATCACGATAGGGTCTGTATAGAAACCATTTAGGCCCTTGTCATCTATCTTAACAAGGCTTGGGACTGCAGCATGATTGTTGAGAAGCACAAATCAAGCGCTATGACTGAACATTCGCCGCCAACACCTAAGCACAGTGGTCTCCCGTACTACAGCGGGGAATTTGTGGCTGGCGAACCCTTCCCAATCCTACCTGGAGCAGATGTCCTGGGCCCTGTCGCGGGTAAGCTCATGTCAAGATGTACAGTACTGCGAACTAAATCTAGAAAACTGAAGCCGGTGATACACTTGGATGTGGAGTCTCGCGCGTCGATGGCTCCATATTCTCCACGAAGAACGGCACTTTCCTTGGTATGCTATTCTTGTCGAAGACGCACAGAGATCGTACTTATTGCTAGTCGAATTCGTTACAGGTCGGTGGCGAGGTGTTGGTGTTCTCAAGAAGACACTACGCCCTGCCATACATGTTATTTGCCGCAATGGCATAGTACAAGTCGTCCCACCTTACCTGCGTGCTTATGCCAATTTTGGGCAAGCCAGATTCATCTTCGACATTCACCACTTTACGGAAAACCACTTTAGTCAGCAGCAAAGAAGGTTTGAGTGCGATGCCCCACTGCTACCTGAAGAAATTACTACAATGATCGCCGTCTTTGTCGCATTAGCCACAAGAGAGTGAGTGATCGGTTTCTTTTCTGGGTTCCTTTTGTCAATTAATACTACTCCTCGACTAGTGATGTCGCCACCCTAAGCAGATGTGCCATGGTATGTCGCACATGGGCAAAGATCTGCCGTCCTTTGATGTTTGAACGTCTCAGCATCAATGGTGTAGCCCAGCTGCATCGCTTGCACGCTATATTTGGCTTTCCTAATGCCTTGTATTTTCCGCGTGAGGTGCGTATAAGCGGGAAGACCCGTCAACCCGAATATGTCGAAGCTCCTGCCCCAAGTTTCGCCCCTAGTCCTTTCATCTCTTGGACGCCATCTCCGCCAAGCCGAACTCATCAGCTTCCCAGAATCTGTGTACGGCGAATCAAAAATCGTGTGTGCACCACCATGGATCGAATCTAGAATTCCAGCTCTTCTACGTCCGCTCCGCAAACTCGTTTCCCTGACTATGATCTATGTGCAGTTCAAATCTTTGACACAGCTCCTTAACATTATTCGTAGCCTACCTCAGATCCGAGATCTCCACCTCAAGCGAGTGGAGATCCTGCAGGCCCCTCGACACTTCTTCTGGCCACCATCGGTCGTTCTGACAGAGCTGCAGATATTCCGATTAGAAGAGTGCCGGGTACCCACACATGTAATTCCGGCATTAATCTCGCTCGGAATCCAAGGCAAGCCAAGCTTCATCTCTTCGCCCGCTACCCCCTCGCGACACCTTCGACAATTGAACGGAATCTTATTGCACTACGACGATGAGGACGCCATCTTGCAAATAGCTTACGCTCTAGAATATCTGCCCACATTTTTTGGTGATAATACGAGGCCAACGCTATGGAACCTGACTCTTGATGGCAAGCAGGAGGAATCAGTCACCCAGTACCTGAAAGGTATGGTCCATCGAGTACCTCCACAATCGCTGTGACCCTCATACATTTCTGGCACTTGCGCAGCTGAGTACGGCAATGCTCGGATTGAAGTCGAAGTGAAGAGACTACAGGGGTCAAGGGAGATCACTTGGCGTATCGAGACAGTCAATATTTCGCTGATATTCAAGTTCGAGCGAGCGGAACTAGATCTAGCTCGCATGCTTACATTTATGGACACCTCCCTCGCTGAGATATCCAGAAGAGCAAGCCCTCCGCTCACATTCCAATGCAAGATACAATATTGTGAGATAGACATTGCAAGCATAATGCCACGACTCTATGCGGAGGGAAGAGTGCACATCATACCGAAACTTGAAGCGGAGGATTGACCGTCATCCACGTCATCAGCTAATCCTCACACTCTTCGGTCCCTTCTATCCCCTTCGGTCCCTTCCACCCACTTCCCTAATTTCTCCCACTTCTGTGACCGTACCACATCGGTCCTCCCAGTTCACCTTCTGGACGCTGCGTATACCGTGCCTCTCGAGCGAGCCCCGTCTCCACATGCCGCGCCCGCCTAGCCTCACAGCTCGGAAACGAAGGCCGCCGGTCTATGGCGCAAACTAGCTCCTCCCGTGCCGCGCTGTCCGCATCGAGCGGCACGACCAGCTCCTCTTCTTGCAGCTACCCGGTGCCGGCGCTGTCCTGGCAAAGGCCGCCCCATAAGGTCTCAACCTTACGTCGCCGGGCTTGGGCCACGGTGTACTTCTTTCTCCGTGCGGCCAGGTTGGCTACTTCTTTCGCCCGAGCTGCGCCCTTCGAGCGCGGTCTCGGAAAAACGCGGTTCAATAAATCGCTTGAGAGGATTTCGGAGACGGTAGGGGACGAAGCAGGAGATGAGATGAGAGGCCGAAGGTACAAGCTGGCGGGGATCGATGCGGAGATAGACGCGAGGGTAGGCGTGGAGGTCGCAGCGTGACGGGAGATGCGACGGGAGTTGGGATGATTTCGTGTCTTCGGCGCAGGATCGCCGTCGAGTGGGATGAACATGGAGAGCCGCGAGGGTGATTACGTTCCTGATTATGTGTTATTTTACATGAATAGATGATACCAAGGGCCTAACTCCCCAAGCCATGCTGAATGCTGCGCGACTACACCGCACTGGGGAACAATAAGTGAGGTGCTCAAGTGAGAAAAATACGAGACATTCAAAGCGTGAGCATGATAATGCATGCCTAAAGCTGACATCTTGGACTAAGCGTTAGCGGCTAGCAGAAGCGTGTATATGGGGAACGATTTTCTTTTGGGGACTGGGTGACGTAGAAGTGCATGCTTTGTTGTACCACTACGTTGACCTGTACGACACAGTCAGCGGCGGGTGTCGGCGGATGCAAAACTATCCTACGTCTCAGACGACTTGTCGAGCCATATTCGGTGATGTGGAAGTAGTTCTAGGCCGACAAGATCGATGGTAGACAACACAAGGAGCGCTGGGGTTGTATCCGGCAGGGCCGCATGCAGTGGAAATGCAAGTTCCGCGCCGGACGAGGGAGCCACTAAGGGCAACATCGTTAGCATGTTCAAATTTGCAGGAAGTAGCACACTGAACATTGAGGAAGGCGTATGTTGCGCACAGAGCAGTACCTGACCAATGTCCAGCGTCTGTCTACGGGGGTGCACTGTAAGTAGGAGAGGGCGAGAGATACAGGAGGAGACGTGATGCTGAAGGCGCGAGTTGCCGCCTCATTCGACACAGGAGAAGGGTGCAAGGGTGAGGGTCGCAGCGTGGTGGGTAGATGCGACGGGAGTTGGAACGATACCGTGGCTTCGGCACAGGGCCGCTTTCAGATGCGATGAATAGGGAAGGCTACAAGGGATGGACGTATTCCTACTTATTGATTAGCTTGGTGTGAAAGACGACATAAAAAGTTTGACTTGCCATAGCATGCTGAGCTGAGTTCGAGCGCTGCATTATCCCCCGCAGTTCATAGTTAGAGCATCCCGGAGGAGAATGAGAAACATACCGTGAATTTTGACATAGACTTGAATTGCAAGCCGGAAAGTCAGACACGTGTTGGCTTCAAAAACTGGACTAAATTTATGTATTTGTCTTTGCGGGTAGTGATGTGCGGGCCGGGCCTCAAAGCCTCCAAGCCCGCCAAGCCCGGCCCAAAAAGCCTGGCCCGAGTCAAGCCTGGCAGCGGGCTCAAGGCCGGGCTCGGAGCGTAGTCAAGCCCAAGCCCGGCCCGGAAGCCCAGGCTTGGGTGTGCTGGCTCCGTTACCGTTCCCTGAGTTCAGAATGAGGAGAGAGCGACCTAATATGCACATAGAAGACAAAATGTAGATATTCTAGATGTAACGGCTCCCGCCGAGCACGATTGTGCGTCACCATCTGGTGCCTGCCGTAGGCGCACGCTCGTGGACTTCGCTGCGACTCGACTTGTTCCGCAGATGTAGATCTTCTGGAGGTTATAATTTAGTGAGTACATGCAGTATTAATCTACTACACCCAAATACATTCCCTTTTGATAGCACCGGAACACTCGTTGTATTGTGAGCAAGCCCGGGCTTAAGCCCAAGGCTTGGGCCGGGCTCGGGCTCGGCTCGGGCTCAGGGCTCGGTTCGACGTCGCCACAAGCCCAAGCCCGGGCTTTGAGCCCAAGCTGGGCCCGCACATCACTATGTGTAGTTCGTCAAATGCACACTTTCGTGCACTTTCGTGCACGAAGGTGCACAAACGTGAGCTTTCGTGCACGTTAGCGCACGTTAGTGACCAAACGCGCATCATCGTGCACGAATACGCACGAAAGTGCACGAATATGCACGAAAGTGCACGAATACGCATGCATAACCTTAGACGCACATCAAAAACAAAAATTTGCGGCCGGTGTGAATGTGAGAATTTGTTTTTGTCCAATAACACCCTTGATACGCGGGTCTGACACCATCAGCAATGCCCACAATTGGCTCAGGAGCTCCTCTGTGGAATCGCGCACTATATGTGTATGTGCCCCGCTGGTAGGTTGCGGTTCATGCAGCCGCCTGGCACCAGTGCGTCTTCCATTGCCTGTGTTGTCATTCGACAGCGAAATTTGATTACTTGCTAGAAATGCCAGCTTTGAGAGCACACGATTAAATGAAGCTTTGAAGGCCCATCCTTGCCACTAAGCTGAAGATGCTCTCTGGTAGCGAGTATCTTGACTCTCCAGGATCAACATGAAGCGTTCGTTCCTCATGCAACGTAACAATGACATTGCCCGCGACAAACCATCAACCTCTACTAAGCCTTGGGTCGGCAACCAGGAGCAAGCGGCCCCTCCTCCCTAGATATAAGCACTTTAACGAGGGCTTCAGACAAAAGCTTGATGCCTCTTATATATGCCCGCCAGTTCTCGCGCTCGTCAGTCTGAATGTCGCTCTTATAACAGGAAGTCCAGTCCAAGAAGGCTGCTCAGACGTAGGTGCGTTTCCTGGGGCTCTCTCGACACATTTCGCTGACAAATCAGTCAGGTTGGTCTAGTAGTATCAGCCCGTACACCCCTCTACGTTGTGGCGGAAGAGGACCATACCGCCCGTAGCCAGCTTACTTGGCTGGTTGATCAGGCATGAGTTTGTCTTACATGTCTTCACGCCCTCATATCAAACATTCTATTTGCATCGCACGCAAGTCTTTCACTTCCTGTGGCTCGTGCAATATTGTCCCGCAAATAGTGATGTGCGGGCCCGGCTTGAGCTCAAAGCCCGGGCTTGGGCTTGTGGCAATGCCAAGCCGAGCCCTGAGCCTGAGCCGAGCCTGAGCCCGGCCCAAGCCGTGGGCTTAAGCCCGGGCTTGCCAAGCTTAGGACAAGTATTTATATGCTACGAAAGTGAGCATATTTGTATGTGATAGGCTGCTACTGCATGTACCCACCGTACTGCAGCCTCCAGAGGGCATGCAATCGTGCTACAAGCCATGTTAGGACAAGGTTCGCGAAGGGGCGCCTACGGCGAATGCCAGGTGGTGGCGCACAATCGCGCCTAGCCACACTAGCAGGGACCGCCCAGTCTGGAAAGTCAACATTTTGTCTCATATATGTATATAAAGTCGTTCTTACCATGTTTTGAATCCAGGGAACAGCAACACATTTGGTGCAACCCAAGCCTGGGCTTTCGGGCCCAGGCTTGGGCTTGACTACGCTCCGAGCCTGGCCTTGAGCCCGCTGCCAGACTTGGCTTGGGTCAGGCTTTTTGGGCCGGGCTTGGCGGGCTCGCGGGCTTTGAGGCCCGACCTGCACATCACTATGCACTGCAGCCAGTTTCTAGAGCAACTTTTGCACACATAATGCAGGTTTGGATGTAAGATCTGTACCACAAACTATTCGGCTCTCTGGCAGCTATATTTGGAGTCTGACTTGCTCAAGAAAATTTTTGAGACCCTTTCAGGTATTTTACATGGAAGCAATCGTGCTCTGGAAATTTGAGGAGTGGAGGTGTTACATATTCTCCCAGAAGTCCATGTGCATTCCCTGCCACTCAGATGGCCATGATATGACTTGGAATAGCATAGGATGGAGTTGCCATCCAATACAGCTCATTGGAAAGCATGTATTTGGTTGAGAGAAGGCAATTACCTGTGGAACTGACAAACCAGAGAGCACCAGTCAAGTATATTGCATCCTGGCATTGTAAATCCCCACAATTATATTTCAAACCTTTGCCAATCTCTTGTATATTATCCTAAAAAGTAACATAGTTCCCTAAGTTGTGCTCAACTCTGTGTAGAAGAATGTTCTGGAGCACACTTTAGAGGGAACATGCAAGCAGTCCACCAAGGAAGGTGTGTATGCTTTGCCTTCTTTCTCCTGAGGTCCTGATCACAACTCTGCTAAACAATTGCAAGGTTGTTTGACTCACTGAGTGGAAAAGAGGGACCTTCAGTCTCTAGCCAAGAGTCAGTAGTGAAAGGCAATGTGAGAGGAAGAATACTGCCAAGATCCATTATTAGCTGGAAAGCTCTGAGGAGCACCCCCTTATGAATAGCCCTGATTACTAGGAGCAAGGGGTGAAGCATCCTACAAAAAATTTGGGCACATAGGCCATGGTATTTTGGCAGAGCGTGGCCAAACTTCCATCAAAAGTGCCAGCTTGAGTGTGAGTTGAGATGTCATCCTTTCATAACATTCTTGAAATCTGCTTAAAGCTTTCAAATTTTTATATTTAGCATTCTTATGTATGATATATCTCGCACAAATATTTCTGGCATTTAAAACTCAGGGGTCGCGGAGAACGAGAGTGTCGAGTGGGTGTTCGTTTACTTTCGACGCTCAGTGTATGTTCTACTATTAGCTCACTACACGACCTGAAGGCGTTGATACAATTGGATGTGGGGTTTCGCGCGTCGATGGTCGAATATTTTACACCAAAAATGGCGCTATTCTTGGTATGTTTCGTTCATGGTGATGTTGGTCGGAGTTTCGCTTGCGGTGCTCAGCGCTTGGTTATATCCACTGCAGGTCACTCGCGATACGTCGATGAACTTGAAATTAAGAAGACACTACGTCCTGCTGTCTTTCTGGATTGGAGCAATTGCAGCCGATACATTCCGCTTAGCATGCACATCGGCACCAACTTTGGGCAGCGTGGTTTCACCTTCGACCTACGTCACTTCATAGAAAAAAGTTACTGGCGGAAATTTCGACACGGCGCGATGTCGCTGCCCGTTGAAATTGTGACAATAATCGCCACCTTCGCTGCGTCGGCCATCAGAAAGTCAGTAACCTCCGTTCGCGTTCAAGTTGAGGTCCGCTGACGCACACTTCCACAAATGTCCAGCACCTCCCACACAAGGTGCGCATAGGCGGCGAAGTCACTCGACCGGTCACGGCACCCAGTCTGGCTTTAGTCCTCTCGTCTCTGGGCCATCGTCTCCAGCAGTCCCGGTATATCAGCTGGTCTAAAACTCACGAGAAGAACATTGCGGTGCATATGCAAGAAGCACCACCACGAGTCGAGACCGGAATCTCAGCTCTCCTTCGTCCACTCCGAAACCTTGGATCCCTGCACTTGCATCAGATAGAATTCCAGTCCTTGACACAGCTCTTTCGCGTCATTCGGGGCCTACCCCGGGTGCGAGAAATTCATCTCGAGGATGTGGAAGTCCTGAAGGCCCCGGAGCGCTTTTACTGGCCACCGTCGCTTATTCTTACAGAGCTGCAGGTTCTCAGAATAGTGGATTGCAGCGTACCGGCACTTGCAATTCCAGCCCTTGCCTCGCTTGGAATTCGAGGCAAGCCAGGCCCCCATCTCTTGCACCGTCGCCGATCATCCAACGGCATCTCATTGCACCACGACGATGAACATGCCATCCTGGAAATAGCTCAAGCTCTAAGTCATTTGCGTACGCTGCTAGGCGATAATGCCAGACAGATGCAGTATAACCTCATTCTTGGTGGCGAGCAAGAAGATCAAGCCATTGAGTATATGCTGGGTAAGATCTCTTGGACACCTGAACGAGTTGCTACGATTCTCATCTGTATTTCTGAAACTTGTGCAGTTTCATGCAATAGCTTCACAATCAGCATCGAGGTCGCGCAAACGCAAGAGTCGGACTTTTGGCGTATCGAGGCGGTCACCATCTTGCCTGGTCCCAGCGAGCCCCTTTCCGCAAGAAAAAAGGATCAGAAGTTGACACTTGCATTTTTGGATGCTTCACTCGCCGATATATCAAGACAAGTTAGCCCTCCGCTCACATTTCCATGCCAGCTCCGGTATTGGAGGTTCAATATTTCCCTTAAAATGCCGCTACTTTTCATGCGCAGGAAAGAGTACGCTTCAGCTAATTATCACCGTCCAAAACACCAGTCATCTTCACATTCCCTCACCTCCTTCCTCAATCTTACCCATCGACAAGTTTGTCACAGTAACTTTCTCGAGCTCGTCTCCCAGACAATGCCCCCACCAACCTCCTGAACAACTTGAAGCCTCGCTCGCCACCGACCCATGCCAAGACAATGTCCCCAGCTCCCGTAGCCTCTATGCCACCTCTGCGTCTCGCACCCGCCTAGTCGCGCTCCTCCCCCCCGCCCGCGCTGCTGGCGTTCGAGGACCAGTCGACCACTCCGCGAGCTGGCCTCTCCCACACCGCCACGTCGTCCGTATAGAATAGCACGCCAGAAGCGCCTTCTTGCGGCCATCCCGGCCGGGCCCGATATGAGCCATCTTAGGAGCTCCTGCCTCGCCTCGCCGCGCTCGAGCACGACTCGCATGATGAGGACACCGGTGCACTCGCCGCGCTGCCCAGCCGGCCGCTCGTGCTGTCTAGCCCTTGCTCTTCGAGCTCGCAGTCTCAAGAGCGCCCTGGTACACCTTGCGAATTAAGGAGCTCAGCGATGGCGAGGGACCAGGTTGGAGATATGAGGTTGGAAGCGCAGGTTGTTACGGGGGCCCCGGGTGTGGGAGCGCACGCCAGAGTCGGCGCGAAGGTCACAGCGTGATCGTGGACGCAATGGGAGCTGGAACGGTGCTGCCTCGTCTGCGCGGGATCGCAATCAGGAGGAATATATAGCGCGGGTCGCAAGGGATGGACGAGTTCCTGCTTATATATTATTCTGAGTTGATGGAAAATATAAAGGTTCGACGAGCCATGTCATGCTGAGTGCAACACCGCACGTCTCTGATCATAGCACCGAAGAGGACAAAACTATGACCACGCGCCATAATCGCCAACAAGCCACCGGACTGGAAGCCGGACGCTCAGATACGCGCTGATTACGAGAGCTAAGAGACGTTCATTCGGTCTGGCATTAGAATACTACAACAGGGCCGCAGTAGGTGAGGACATTGATTGAGCGCAAAGGGGGTGAGATACTCGACATGCGAACAAATGTATCCATGTCTATACCCAACATCCGGAGGTAAGTGGCGGCAGGTGGCAGCAGAGCGACACAAAGAATTTCTTATACTGTGAAGCAGCCCTTCTCCGAGAATCGAAGTGACTTGGCGTGGCGCGCTTTGTTTCACCGGTAGATCGACCTGTTACGGCATGTTCAGCAGCAGATAATAACGAGTACGAAACTCACGCACGCACCGGAAGGTACCAGATGCTTTGTTAGACCATACCAAATGCCGCACGAGCATGTCCAGGCCGACAAATGAAAATGGTAGTGGTGCACATACGATACACTGCAGCTCCAACCATCTACCTAGACGCTCCTGGCTAAGGAGGTACGTCTGCTCACAGAGCGCATGGCGATGTGCCAATAAGCTAGGAGTCGAGCAACATGCGTGATGCCGCAATGGCAGAGATGAAAGTTGCATGTCGTTGGGCTGAGAGTGCCAAGGGTTTCGTCGCAGAGGAGCATCTTCGATTTCGTGACGAGGATAAATCTGGGGCTGAGACACATGAGTACACTCCTCGCCAGATATGCCAGGCTTGAGGCCGAAGGCACCGCTCAGACCGATACACGCAATGGAGGACGCACCAGTTGAATGCATTATCACTGACTACCCATCAGCGGGGTGCGTACACACAGCCCTAAGGAGCCTCCTGGGCCAGTTGCTGCGATGCGGCGGTGCGATGTCTGGCAGGAGCAAAGGCCTAGCGCGATAGCATAGGGTGCAAAAAGGGCAGCGTCAAACGCGCGAGTGCAATGTAGCTGTTACGAGCGATGGCGAGATTCTGTACTTGAACAAGTCATGGTGAGCCTCCGCAGGATGGATGGTGCAGAAGAAGCTTGAACGCGTGCAACCGTCCGAGGGTGCTGGATGAACGCAAGGCCCATGGAAGGTATGCGTCCTGCGGAGCAGTGTTGTCAAATGGACTGATGACACCGGAGCGGCAACTCCTTCAGATTTCCGCCCCTCTCTCTGAGGATTTCAGGCATTGTAGAAAGGTCGAAAGTCAGAAGCAAGACCACAGAAACAGAGACAAACACTATGGGTACTCGCTGACTTGCTTCGGGGTCCGAGGTCAATGAGAACACCAGTGAATATCGAGCGGTGTCCGGGGGAAACGATCGCGGCGGTATGTTTCGTTCCCGGATCACGTGACTGTACCACACGTTGTATTTGGAACTTTGGAAGGCTTCAAGTTCTTGACATGCCATCGCAGCCCATAAAAATGCGCCGTAGGCTATACACGGGACAACGTATATCTATATTGTTTAGCGCAGGCTAACATCAACCTGACTGGCCACTGTAGCATTTACAGCGCCGCACAGGCACAGGCAACTTGACACCGCAGCAACAGCCGCTCCCTCTCCTATCGAACGACTCCCCCAGGAGCTGATAGACCAAGTAATTGACGAGCTCCGCGAAGAGAAGCAGTCTTTGAAGAGCTGCTCGCTGACTTGTCGACGCTGGCTGTCACGCAGTTTCACGCATCTCTTTGCGTCCTGCACCATTGTGCACCGGCAGGAAGATGTCGACCTCATCCTCGCGATACAATCTGTGGAGCGCATAAGTAGCAGCATAGCCACGCTGACTTTAACCTTTCAATCCTTTGACCATTTTGGACTAATCAAAGCCCTGCCGAGACTCCTCCAGCTCGTCGTGCGCGGCCTGGGATCCAACCGTGTTGACATACTTGCCCAGGCATACACTTGCATGCCTAGGCTGAAATCCACCGGACGCAGCCTTGCCCAGCTGGACGTATGTAATGCGCCAGAATTCCTGGTGGAGTGGCTACTGCAGCTATTCGATGCGGTCGACGTGCTCCGGCTGCGGCACATCACGAACACGAAGGCCGCGGCTCTCCGTCGCGACATCCACGTTGTCAAGCATCTCGAGACCGCACGCGTCGACATAGACGTCTTTCCTCACCTTTCTGAAATCCTCGAATGCACAACGCTTGGAGAGCTAGCGATAGATGTCAACGGCCTCGACAAGGACAGTTCGGAGGCCGTTCTGAACAATTTCGTACGAAAGTTCGGACATAATCTTCGAGCCTTCCGTTACATCAATTGCTCAAAAGGATTGTATCGCCTTATCACCCGTAAGCACTACTGATTGGTCCGCATGCTCTCCCGCGCCGACAACTATATTTCCAGCTAATCCACCCGTGTTGCATGCCTACAAAACTATCGCGTCGGTTACGCTTACGACCAATGCGTTCACCCCTGGTCGAGGTTCTGCTCGATGTGAACGGGTCCCCGTCTTCTTGGAGTCGCTGCCAGCATGCATTCCCCATGTCAGACTTACATGGGACAACGACGCGGATTTGAGGGAAAACGTGGGGCAGGTCGATTGGCGTGCGATCGGCCGGAAGCTTGACGCATATGCGAGCCTCAGTTCCGTAGAGATTGGCTGCATACAACCTGTGCCGGACCATGCACTCTTTGTGAATCATGCTTCTGCACGGGCTACGGTACTCGAGAGGTTCCCAGAGCGGCTGAGATCCATCACTGTGTTTGTTTGAGAACGGCTTTACAGGCTCATCATAGCCGACATTTTTGGCACTATACATTATAATCATTACAGTATCTCGATGCAATATTTGACTTTCACTATATAGCATGCGCTTATCTACGATGCCTACGTAAATTTAGCAGATATTTGTATTTGAGGCGTCGTAGCCCACGGTCAGTGTATGGCGGCCTCGCAAGTGGGCGGGTAGCGCGGGCTTCACCCGGTTCCGCCAGGTGCACACCATGCCACGGCTCGCGGGTAGCTGTACGAGAAGCGTGAACTGTACACTTCGCAGCGTGCCCATCAGCTGCGGGAAGTGCGCGATGGGAGAAGGCTCAAAGAAAACTTCGAAATCAATGGGTTCAAGGCGCAGATGCAGGTGGCGCAGTGTCTCGGGTGCATGCGCGAGCACTTTGTCGAACGATTTGAACACAGAGCCAACTTTCGAAGGGAACTCCAGCTCGAGGGTCTCGAGACGGACCAGCGAGCGTAGCGCAGTGAGAGCGCTGCCCCCTATGAGACGGCTCGTCAGTAGTGAAAAAAAAATCAAGACTGATGGATATGAGCTGACTGCGGTCGAGGTATCCAGTGTTCAGGGACAGATGAGTTATATTCTTGCATGTTGTTTCCAAAAAGACATTGAATGACGCAAGAAAGCTCTCGCCATCCCTGTACCAGGTCCAACTTCTCTCTCCAAGCAACGTGACTTTCTTCAGCGTCGTGGGCTCGACGAAGGCTTGCAGGACCGCCAGGGTGTCGCTCTTGACCTCTCGTAGCGTTATCTCTTCAATACCGTATATTCGGCTGCCAGACCGCTGAGCTTTGGACACTGCATCACCTCGGCGATCGTTCTCCGGTGTGTGCATCACACAGAGATGGAGGATGCTAGTGAACACCGAAAGAATGCCCACCAACGAACCGATGCCTTGCCAGGACAGCTTCAGCGTCCCTCCAAACGCAGTACGCTCCTCGATATGCAGAACGGGCAAGCCCCCCTCCAGATGCAGCACCTCGAGTTGCGGGAGACGGCGGCACATGCAGAGCACCGCGCTGGGCAGGCCCTCCCACGAGAACTCGATGCGGAGCTCGCGGACGTGTCGACGGAGGCGCTCTGAGCGGGCGACGAGATCGTGGAAGATTGTGTAGTCGTACCACATCGGTCTGTGGCCGTGGGGCGTGGCGTGCGAGTCGCATTGGGACGTACGGTTCACGACGACACGCCGCAGAAGGCGCCCGGACGCGTAGGACATCCAGGCGCGGCAGACGAGGCTCGCCTGACACAGGCTCGCGGTATCGAGTAGGTCGATGATGGGCCAAAAGAGGTCTTGCGGTAGCTCTGCCCATATCTCAGACATCTTTGCGTCCCGAGAGTGTGGTCGTGTCATTGTGGTTTCTGCAGCGTGCAGCTTGGGAACGAGGAAGCCGGTGGTCGGGGTCTGTGCGCTTCTCGTCGGGCTCCTGCAGACCCTGAGCACCGCTGACCGTCTGAGGCGGCCATTGCCAATGCACTCATGCTCCCAACATTGCGACTTTTCGATGGGCTGCAAATATTCATCGTGGCTTGGTGAAACAATTTTATCAGAATTTGTACTACTTTTTATTCATACAAATCTGGTTCAGCCGTCAACATAGTCTCATGGTAACTCGCCGCACGGAAGTGGACATTGGATGCATACCGTACTGCGAGACGATAGGGAACTTAGCAAAGCTCGACGCCACTATGGCCAGCGGCGTAAGCATGAGGTAGTACGAGAATCACATAATCTCTCGAGGTTTAAGTACACCTTAAAGACACTGATGCTTGTGTCAGACCACCATATGCTGGTATCTAGAAGAGTAGAAAACCGAGTGTCATATACGAGCGCTGATTCCGTGCGACCGTATTATTTAGAGGCTATTTAAGAGTACATTTATGGTACATAACAGCTCCAGATTATAGTGAAGGTCTGTCCACTAACCAATTTTTTTCTCCCTTCTAGCTATTGATAGTATTTCCACAAAAAAGTGAGACAATTACATAGCGCAAGAAAGACAGCGTTCGTCAGAGGATACCCACCGTGCCAGTGGCGGCGTTCCGCATTGATCGTAAGCCCTTTGCTTACTGCGATTATGATATGGGAGTATGCAATATATCTAGAAAGCTTTGTGGCGTTCAATAGGCGTTTTTTGGGATATAATACGGCGTCCCCAGATACTGACTTTGACCTATATTCTGTCTGTAGGTGGCGGGAAGCCTGGAACATGCACTTTCCCCGCAATCACGTGCACTACCCTGTCGGGAGACGCCGAAAGCTGTCCATGTGCTCTTGATGCTTTGTTCGTAGAACGCTGCTATTGTACTAGATTGTACTGTACGTTTGCATACCGACAGCGGCGCGTACTAGTGCATCAGCAACAGTGTGATCTCTATCACGAGATATATCTATACCGGTGTAAGCGGATAAGCGGCATCCGCTTACGTCGTTCACAGATGTCCTCTTCGCTCCCGCATCTTGAAGGAAGATTTGACCCAATCGATATATAAGACGCGTCTCTTCCGTTCTAGGACTGCACCCAGTCACTTCTTGCGTCTTATCACCTACGGTCCATATACAAGCACAATGGCCCCGGCTAGAGTCGGCATCATCGGCGGCGGAATCGCAGGCCCTGTTGTTGCTGCTCTGCTGAAGCTTAAAGGCTATGAGCCCGCCATCTTCGAGCGCCTTGATACCATCTCTGAAGGTGGAATCGGTATAGGGTAAGTTGTCTTGCTCTGCCGCAGGTGCCCCATATCCCAACACTTAATACCGTACAGCGTACAACGCAATGGTCTCGCAGTTCTCCACCGCATCCCTGGTCTCGCCGAGTCTCTTGGGGGCAAGGCACTCGACTATTTTCACTTCTACAGCGTCCTCCCCGAGGACAAGGGCGTTCTTGCCGAGCTCGACAGCCCGAAGCGCAGTAGAGAAGCTGCCGGCTACGGTACAATCGGCCTCCGTCGCAGCGAGCTCCAGCGCGGGCTCGTCCGGGGCGCAGAGAGCACTGGCGTCGAAATCAAGTGGAACCATCATCTCGATAGCCTAGAGCAGACCGAGGATGGTGTTCTGCTCAAGTTCACAAACGGCGCAGAGGAGACCGTGAGCTTCGTCGTCGGATGCGACGGCCTGCACAGCGACACGCGGAGATCCCTGTTTGGCGAGCAGCCGGCGGACTTCACTGGCTTGTCTCAAGTACGTCTAATCACGATGCTCATGCATTGTTCTGACCGCTACTGTAGACTGGTGGATATGCTCCGATGCCGGAAAGTTTCCGGGGCAAGTCTATGGCAATAAACGTGTATGGCGATGGGGCGCACTTGATTGCCATCCCTATTGACGATGAATCAATGGGCTGGGCGTGAGCATTTTCCACGAACCTTTTACCAGTCACATATCTCACTGTCTAAGCTTTTCGCAGAATTACTGAACGCGAGCCGGAAGCAAAGGAGACGTGGCGTGCCATGGACGCCGCTGCGGCTGAAGAGTTCAAGAAGAACTCGCCAGTCGCCCAGTGGGACTATGGTGCGGGAGAAATAGTCAGGAATGCTACAACCGTCACGAAGGTCTGTGTACACCGCGCCTTGTGCCCAATTATGTTTCTAAAAACAGTATCAGTATGGCCTATACGACCGCCCCGAGCTCCAGACATGGCACCAAGGACGAGTAGTCCTCATCGGCGATGCCGCCCATCCGACGAGTCCTGTAAGCTTCTAGAAACCGCTGTGTGAACTTTCGCTCACCCATCGCGACCAGCACCTCGGCCAGGGCGCGAACCAGTCCATGGAAGACGCTGGAATGCTCGTCGATCTGCTCGAGAAGCACAGTCCCGGTGGCGAGCCGCCGCTGACGTCTGTGCTCGATACGGTCTTCACGGAGCTCGAGGCGGCGCGCATCCCTCGCACGTCCCAGCTGGTCAAGCGGGCGCGAGAGCAGGGCGAGACGCGCGTCGTGCACGGCGTGCAGGCGTGCATCGACCGCAACAATTGGTACCGCAAGCTGCTTTCTGATGAAACTTTGCTCAGGCAGAGATTTGGAGCGTGAGGCGACTGCCATGCTCGCTGACTCGGATGTTGTGGAAACATCCCCTTGTGCACAAGCTCTTGATCACAAATACAATTGTATGAGATAGTGCTGTAACATGAAGATGAACATGAAGCCCAAAGCAGACGATAACGCATCGAAGTTTGCCACACCCACGAGCCGGGGACCACGCACCTATGTGACGAGAGTGCGTCTCGAGCGGCGAGTTCGAACTCAGGCTGCCTAGAAGTCTCGCTTTTACAGCAATTCGCGACAATACAGGCGTCTGGACGACATGAAGTACTGCTGAAACACTGTACAGACATATCGAGCTCGGCTTGATGAATCTAATGCTACCGTAAACGTGATCAATTCTCGAGTTCAGAATACATCGCCGCAACGCAGGCCGCTGAGAGATTCGTCGGCTCAGGCTCTATCACGTGAAGGCACAGGAGAGGTACCCACACCGTCTCAGAGAGTGCAACCTCGCAATTCATGCGCAGCTGTATTTCCTTCTTTGCTTGACGCTCGTGAATCTTGAAGCCGTCGCGCGCCCTCGGAAAGACAGCAAGGGTGAACCCAGCCACACGAGCCCACCCAAGCTGGGTGCGAATGCGGGAGCACGCCAAGTCAAGCTCCTGCAAGTTGTGATGTACGGCTGGTGTCTCGTCGTAGGAGAGAGGCTTGGGCGTGTCGATGGAGTCGGCGATGGAGATGGAGAGCCTGCGTAGGGACAAGCAATGTTGCGCAAACGGATAGAGATCATCAATGTAGATGTATGGATCGGAATACGCTTGTCCCCCATAGCTAAGGTTATATCCCAAGACCAGTTGCTCCAGCCTAGGCCAGGCGATAGCCATCTGTATAATGTCCTCTGGAAGGGGATGAATGCGCGGGTGTTGAATATCTAGGAGTACAAGATTGGATAGCGCAGTCAATGGCAGCAGAGCTGTGCCTGAGAGAACGTCAGAAGTCTGCAGCGCGGCGAGATCGTAGGAGCGTATATCTAGCGCTTGAAGGCGGGTGAACTTAGTAGGTATGCCTGCCGCGTCGGCTATATGATACGTGTAGAGACTAGGTGCCGGATTCGTGTTGGGGATGTGTCGCAGGTTTGCATGGTCACGCACTCTGTCGATGAGGATATCAATGCGCTCGATTGATGGCAGCAAAGCGATGCGCAAAAATTCTACAAGGTGTTCACCGCGGCAGTTTAAGAGAAGTCTCCGGACGACTGGGAAGTGGAGGGTCCTCAAAGCCGATATAGCCTCCGACCCGGTGCACAGAAACAATGTCCACAGCTCCAGGCGCTTTAGACCTGGGAACGTGGTCAGATGAGCAAGTGTAGACGGTGAGACAGGGATAGAGGTCTCCAGGCAGTCAAGCCTCTTGCACAAGGCTAACAGAGCAGCTTGCTCGGTGTGGAGGAGGATTCTACGTACGGGTCGGCGCTCGATATATGCGGGGCTTTACGTGTGGGGAGGGAACGGCCGATGACTAAACTCGATATCTAAACGCGTAACTAAGCTCGATGAACGATCTAATAAAACTCTTACTTAAATGCTCGTGCCCGCGCTCGTCGCGGGCGAACCTCGTCTCGCGCTCTCGCGAGTGTATTCTCGATGCTCTTAGGATGTGCCCGAAGCTCGGAGGGGCAGACTTTAGAGGTGAAGGTGGGGGAAAGGGGAGCTTGCTCCATTCGACGGCGGGAGGTCGCCTTTAATATACATGCGAGCGCTGCTCCGCTGCCGTGCTCTCGGCCGGAGGTCTATGTGTACGGAAAGTGAAGGTAAACGTTAACGAAAGGGTCTCTATTGGGGAAGAACCTGCGAATGCGATGGAAAACGAAGTAGTGGCGTCAGGCTTCGGGAATGGCGCGCCGCTCCGACAGGCGATGACTCGGCACGCTCGCGCACAGCGGGCCCCTATTTACATGCGCGTTCCTGCCGCCCTCAGGTCGCGGGGTACTCCGTCACTTGCGGCGTCACTTACGTCCTGTCTTCCTGGTCATGCCACCGTCCACCATCTGTGTACATGCGGAAAGAAGGTAAATGTAAGTTCTTGGTGTTGGCGCTGAAAACCCTTCTACATCGGCTGCTGGAATTGCCGGGTCTCCGTCTATCAATCGCATGATGCACAAGGCGTTCAGCCGCTGGGCGCATAGATGTAATTTCGGGAGTGCTTTTACAAGGGCTGCAGTGGTCCATCCCCAGCTATCATAGCTGGTGATATCTGGGTGAAGAAACAAGTCCACGTGTGGTGCAAAAAGGGAGTGCACGGCAAGCTCCTGAAGATTGGGTAGTACAGGTCTCCCGTTGAAGTTGCAGCGTAGGGCCTCTGCAAGTCCTGCGGTGGCGGATTCGACTTCCTGAGTTGGTGCGTACTCGGAGCAAATGGTACACAGGTAAACATGTTTCACAAGCTTTGCATGGTGGATAAACCTACTCCATTCGGGAGGAGAGGGTATCCTCAGGACCCCATCGAAACGAGACAGCGACTACACTCACAATTACAATCTTGAGTGAATCATCAATATACCTCGCTACTTCCTTAGCTTCCACGGTATCTGCTGGCAAACAGAAAAGCAGTTTCTCCAGTGCGTATGGTGTGCGTGCCCACAGCACGTCCATGGCCGGCCCGTAGAATGCACGACAGGTCAGGGCGAGGTGGAGCAGATTGGCGTCTTCTCCGAGAAAACAAAGGGCTAATGATTCAACAATCTCGTCGATATGTAGACAGGGATACATGCTGAGCGCGGAGGAGGCTGGCGATTGTACGCGGCGGGATGAGTCCAACGGCTCCGACGGTCGCCCGCGTTTGGAAGTGTCATCAGTCGTTCGGGGCCCGTTCGGGGTCCCGACTTGGGTCTCTGACGTGACCTCTGATTACGTCATTGCTCGCGACCACGTGGCCGCAGGTGGGGGCAAGGCCCGCGGCGAGCAGCTTTCAACGCACCATCTCCTATCGGGTGCGACGGTGAGTGCATATCAAAGTAACTACTAACTCTCGTACTTATAGTCTCGTTAGATATGTCAGGATTTCCCAAGAAGACGCTGGCAGCTCTTTCAGCCATAGTGCTGTTTGGTACGGCCTACTCGTTCGTGTACGGCACATACATGGACACGTCGGATCCACTGCTCACTCATCTTCCACACCTGCTGCACAAGACACATTACTTTGCGACAAAATCGAACATTCTAAACGTCCTCTTCGTCAAAAAACTCTGGGCCTGGACGTCTGCAGCGTTCGTCGCTTTGTACGTGACCAGCCCGGTGAGTCTCCAGACACGAGACCGGATCTACAAGTACCTTGCCGAAACCGCAACGTGGCTCCTCTTTACTGGCTGGTTTTTTGGACCGTCTCTCTTTCAGCGTTTCACCGCCTCAACTGGCGGAGAGTGTATCATGCACTTACCGTCAGGCGCGGTCGTGACCGTCCCGCACGAATTCTGCTATCAAAGGTCGGCACTCTCCACCACGACGCACCCCGAGCTGTTTCAAGCCTCTATATCTCCACCTGACAAGACTTGGTCGCAAGTTCCGCGACTCCGCAGAGGACACGACGTCTCGGGACACCTGTTCCTCCTCACGATGACTATCCTTTTCCTGACCGAGCAAGTATCGTACTCGTTTCGCCGGATGCAGGCGGCCGGTGGACACCCAGAGGCAGCATGGTCGACACTACACAAGTGGGCAGTAGCATCTGCCGTTGCTGTGATTGCCCTCAGCTTCTTCGCGACCTACACTACGAGCGTGTACTTCCATACCCCCTTGGAGAAATTGTCCGGGTTCTGTGAGTGTAGCCCATCCGCTCGTCTCTTGTCAGGGCTCTGAGCTTTTTTTCAGTGCTCGGCGTTGCTGGCTATGCAGTCACGCGCACTGATTTCTTCGTACAATCGCTTCTGTAGGGGCTCGCCCCGTGCAGTCATAAATTTGAGTATATCTTGGTACGTGCCGCAGAAACCCCACCCACCGAAAAGCACTAACTGTTTACTAAGTGACGACTAGTTATTATCTGCCTTGTAGTGCACATGATGCGAGCAGTTACGAGATAAGCAGCACCCGGGCTTTGAGAGATGCTGAAACATCGATGTGCCCAGACGCTTCTTGAGGCCACTGTGAGGGTGCGATCTGGTCTTCTTCGGAGATCCGACATATCCGACCTCGCGCCTTTGAACAATCATCAGACACAGATCAAAGGGTGGATGGACACTTGCAATGCAAAATCTGCTTTTGATCCAGCTTGATGTAGGTCGTAAAGAGACAGCTCAAGATAATGCCTGTATTTCCTTGTTTTACTTGATGAAGACTGAGCGGGTTTGTGATGATTGATAGCTTGAGCTGGCATAACTTACGCCGGCCCTGTTCCTTCGCTGAATCCACCAGATGCTTCAAGACACCTATCACCTGTTGCATTTTGAGATCTAAAAGTCAATCAAGATACATCGTCCCATCCCTTGGTCCATGGTGCTGTTACCCGCCTCTGGACCGGGTACTCGGCACCGATGGGCTTTCCCTACTGAGTATGGGGTGCGAATGGCGTCGACGAGAACGTGGCATGGTGAGCAGATGCAGAAAATATTATTCAGAACATGAGAGAGTAACATATCGTTGTGGGACGCGATCCGACTGCGACACAGAAGTACTAACTTACCGAGATGTGCGCCCAAACCTACCTCGTTTCCCTCACACTCAATCACCGTCTGCGCCGATACTTATTGTGGTGGCACCCTTGAGATAAGGCCACTGGTGGTCGAGGGGTCATATTCCGGCCCCTCTCTGACGAGACGTTCACTATTATTTTACCTGTGAACCTCGTCAGCCGGAACAAGCGCCAGCTTCGTGGCGTCATTCAATGACGCTCACTTACCACAGCCAATAGCTCTTGTTCAGTTCGTCACCGCCATATTCGTTGCTATAAACAGACGTCGGATAAGAGGGTATGTCGAGATCCGCAAAATAAGGGGATGCTCCTTTGTGAGTTAGGAAGCTGTGCAGACAGACGCGTTGCCGGTGGACCTTTCCTTATTCGGTTGTTCAAGTTTGCCACGACCACGACCAACGACAACATTCCATTGTTCTCGCATTTGTCATCCAGCCACGATCAAAACGTGACATGCAACATGATCGTGCTTTTTGGCCACTCTCAGAGCCCACATATAGATCAGGCTCAGGCTGGGACGTGTTCCACCCGTTCCGCCCAGTATGCTGCCCTCCCGTTATTCTACTACTAGAAACCGAACTAAACTTCGAGATCACACACGCCAGAGGTCGCAACCTTCATCGTACACACCCACAAACGCGCCCTTATCAGAGCTTCGGAACGCTCTCCTCCAGGACCTCGATGAAGCGGTCCCTCTCGTCAGCGTCGAATTCTTTCAAGATAGTCTGCTTCCAGATCTTCCATTGAACGTCGATGTAGACGCAGTCATCAATAGACTGGCAAGGAGGGAGACATACAGCAAGGGGCGCTGGAAGTACTGGCCCCAAGACCCTGCAGTTTCGGACAAAACGCCTGAGGGTGTGGTAACCAATGAAGACGTTGTGTTCGCGCATATCGCCACCCTGTCGAACGACGTCAAGGAAGCTTGCGTTATTACTACTCACGGCCTGACAGATCGGGACGTCAAATCTGTGCTCAAGTGTAACCCGTCGTGTATTCCACATGCAAGCAGCAGGCAACATCGCAAGAACACACGACCGGACGCTTACGCGCTACTCAAAAGCTACGACTCTGATATTCACTGGTGCGACGTGGCTATACCTGGAGAATTCAAGAAGAAGTCTGGACAGCCACAGAAGCAGGATGTATGTGTTGCTCTTAATTCATCCTTATACTTTCGATATCCTTACTCTGCGTTTACAGAACTACGAGAAAGTCCTCTGGTCGATGCACTGGATCATGCAAGAAGATGCACGGCGTAGATTCGTTTTTGGTTTTACAATTGCCAACACTTCGATGCGCATGTGGTTTTGTAGTCGCTCCGAAGTGCTCGTCTCCGAGGAGTTTGACATCATGGCTGTGAGTTACTCTCCCATGTTATGCCGTCTGATATTTACCCTCGAATTAGAATCGCCGCGCATTGGTCGACTTCCTCATACGAATCACGTTTGCAACACGCTTGCAGCTGGGATACGATGAGACCATCGTTAGGTGCCCCGGACTGACGGGTATGGATGTGTCCGTGGTCTACGAAATTGCTGTCAGATCGGACAACAAGCAGAAGCCCCCGATTAAGTGGTACCGTACGGTCCGGCTTATTTCTGAATTAGGCGCAAGTACTATCAGGGGGCGTGGCACCCGCGTGTGGGAGGTCGTCGAGCTTGACAAGCCCAGTGGACAAGCTGTCGGGCTGAGGACGTATGTCGTGAAGGACATCTGGCTCGACAAGGGTCGCAGGTCCGAGGGTATTGCCCTAGAGGAGCTCTACAAGAAAGTTTCCGGCACCGACGCCGAAGACATTTTCAAGAAGAGCTTCATGACTACTCGACGTTACGGCGATGTGTATGTCCACGGAAGGCGCCCCGACATCACGGATTGTTTCAAATTATCTCGGCTCCAGTCCGCCCCACTGCCTTCGTGTCCCGAATTTTTGCGCATTCCTATTGGTCCGGAGCCCCTGAAAGTTGTCACAACGCGTCAAGGGACAGTCACAGTTGCGAACCAGGCTGGCAACTTCCCCAGACAGTACACTCGATACTCTGATAAGGTTCATCATCGTGTCGTTTTCAATGAAGTCGGGAAGCCAATATTTCAAGTGAAGTCGCTGCACAAGGCTTTCAGTCATATTGGTCAGGTGTTTCTTGGTGCGTGGTTCGCTCCGTTTGCTGCTCCCGTGCTGACGTGCCTCAGGTTTGATTGTCTTGCATAAGCTAGGCTGAGTACATCGAGACATCAGTTACGGCAACGTCCTCATTGTCGGTGATCAGGCGAAGATAACCGATCTCGAATACGCCAAAGAAGAAAACGACAACTCCGAGCCCCACGATATACGGACGGTGCGCCTTTTGTAGTAGCTGTAGCGTAAACCGTGTGCTAACGTCTCTCAGGGCACTTTATACTTCATGTCCACCGAGGTGTACCGACATCGCTACCAGCACCGATCTTTCGTTGCTGGTCCTGGTCCTGGACCTGCACCGCCCGCACCTATCGACTTAAACACAGACTTCACTGCCCTGTCTGACGCGGAAGAGGATATTGAAGCACCCATACAAGCATCCGATGCAGTCGATTCTCTATCGACAGTCGCCTTCCGCTATAATCCACTGCATGATCTGGAATCCCTGTTTTGGCTTTGTTTATTCCTGCTGCTCGGAGCGACCTTCAAGAACGACAAACACCATAGTCCCTCTCAGATCGCCGGATTTGGTGCGAAACAAGAAGCGCTCTACCACCGTGTCTTCAATGACTTCTCCGAGAGGATTGAGATTATGGTGGAGGGTACAGCCTTTTCGGGGTTATATTCCGACCTGCATCCAACGGTCTCCGCCATCATGACACACCTGGAAAGCATGCGCATCGTCCTTGTCGATGCCTTTGTGACTATGAACGCTGATCGTCCAGTCCCTTTTTCTGTCGGTCCAGAGACAGCTGGCAAGATGGGCGCGTACGTCAAGCCTATCATAAAAAGACTCCGCGAGCATGATTTGGAGATCCTTGTTGAGGAAGACTTCAGGCCACGAGTACCGGGATGACAAGCTGACCGCGGCGGACCTGCGGTGGGCGCGAAATCGGAGCATATCGCCGTCCCCCAGGGAACCGGCGAGGTTGAAAACGGTGGCGATACAGGCGTTGATTCACAAGCTCTGCAGGGTAGTGTCGAGGTCGATCCCTGCAGCAATGTCGTTCAATCCTCTGAGAGAGTTACGCGCTCGGGGACCAAGAAGCAGTTTAGATCTCAGGCGAACACCGCGACAAGCAGCCAGGAAACTAGTGCCGACGGCGTTGCACCCTCTCGCACGCGCGAAGGTCAGCTCGTACACAAGCCGCAAAAGCTGCGGGGCAGGAGCTTGCTGTTCCGTCCTCGTCTCGCATGTCCACGCGCTCGCAGACGGCTAATAACGCAACGGGATCTCAGTCGACGGCTGCTGCTATCAAGAAGACGACTACTCGTGGCGGAAAATCATCCACTGGGAAGACCACTCGACCTTCGCGTCGCGGTAAAGGGCTGTGAAGGCCTAGGCACCGTTGATGAACCGATGAACCGCCATATCCTATGTGTTCTTCTCTACACTACGAGAATTTCATGTTGTTTATCCTCCATGACACGCATGTCCGCAATACAATTACATGTCATCGCGCAAACTCGAGAGATCAGCCACCACTGAATACGAATTTCGAGACGAAATTCCGTGGTTTTTGTTGTATAAACGAGGGTAAGTATAGCGTATAACGGGGCCCAAGGGTTAGACAAGGTACAATCACTCCAACGAAAGCATGTGCTACGATTCTCAGGGAGTGAAAACCGATAGAAAATACCTTACCACCGTCGGTCAAGAGGGCTCATCTGACCCCCGTAGATTGTGTGACTAATTTTGAACGCCTGCGGCATCTCATTGCCGCCCGAGTGAGCACTTTTACAGAGCAGAGAACATACCAGGTACAGTAGTGTTAAATTCACGAGTATCGTACATTATGCACTTTCTTTCTTTTTGTCATAGCTGAAGCCGCTTATTCGTCGAGCCAGTCGAGAAACTGGGGCGTAAAGTAGGTGAGGATGAGCGTGCAGCCTGCGCGGAGCATGCTCTCGCACGTCTCGAAGGCCATCGTACGAAGGTCGTACACGCCCGCCCGCGCACCAGCCACGACCATTGCGTATTCGCCAGAAACCTGGTAGCAAGCGAGGGGGTGGTCCGAAGCAAGCTGCGCTGCATCCTGGATGATGTCGAGGTACGGCAGCGCGGGCTTGACCATGATAATGTCTGCACCCTCTGCAACATCGCGTTGCTGGCGAGCATGTCAGCTTTATCGAAGTGAGGACTTAGGAAGACCACTCACGATGGCGCGCCGCGCTAAGCCCTTGCCCTGCGGCGGGAGCTGATAGCACTTGCGGTCGCCAAACGAGGGTGCACTGCCCGCAGCGTCGCGGAAGGGGCCATAAAGTGCGCTGGCGAACTTCGCGGAGTAGCTCATGAGCGTGCAGCGATTCCCGAAGCCGGCATCGATAAGTGCACGCTTGATGGCTTTGATGCGGCCGTCCATCATGTCGCTCGGCGCGACGCAGTGTGCGCCTGCGCGGGCGTATGCGAGCGCGACCTCAGCAATGCGGGTTGCAGATGGCGCAGGGTTGATGCTTCCGTCCTCGTTCAGGATGCCACAATGTCCATGCGAAGTGTACTCGCACAGGCAGACGTCGGTAGCGATGTAGAGAGATGGATAGAGAGCACGGAGCTTCTTAATCGCAAGGATAACGGGGCCTTCTGCATCATCTGCGGGGGTACCACTTTCGTCCTGCACACATAACAAAAGGTCGGGGTCGCTTCAATAACGGAATGACACGCATATACGTACCTTAGGGACCTTAAGCGGTACACCAAAGATGATGACGCTCTTCAGACCTTTTTGCACCAACGGACCAATGAACTCTTCGAGCTTATTCACGCCCCATCTGCACTGGCCGGGAAGTGAGGAGATCTCGACGTGTGCGTCGGGGTCGTCTGTTATGAAGATCGGGTACATGAGCATCGCCTTGGTCAGGGTGCGCTTTGCCTGCCAGGTGCGAGAGAGTGGATGCTGGTAGCCTCCCTGGAGTACAGAACTGTATCGTCCGGGTCGTCAGCATCGCCAACCGTAAAGGAAGAGCAAGAAACATACGAGATATCGAGCGAAGCCATGGCAGACGAGAGAAGGGCGTTCGGAACGGAATAACTAAGTTAGTTCTAATTCGAGGGCGTGAGCCTTATATATAACAGCAAAAACTTTTTTCGGGGATCTAGGTAATGGCGCGAGCGGTGGGAAAAGTGAAAGAGGTGGGAGAGGTATGTTGACGGTGAGAGTTGCGGTCAAGGCGAATGTGAAGTAGCCGACGATTTCCGCGCCACCTTTTCCAGCCCAGCTTTATGTCTCCGCGTATCTGAGCGGTGTTGCAACGGAAACCTCGTGGAAAAGGCAAGTGAACAGGAACAGGAACACGTGGGTGAGAGAGACATATGGAGGAGAAGGAGCAGGAGGAAGACGTATCTAACGTCACAAATTCATTTCTCAGACTTCTTTCGCACTATCAGAAAACCGCAACAAACGCTATGATACCGTGCGTGATTCCGTGATTACTCGGATAGAACTATGTGGTGAGAAGCTTATACGCTTTGATATATCTCAATGCTGGGTATCTTAACGAGAAACCTCAATCCCAGCCACCTCGACTTCGGAGGTCTCAAGACTCAGCACCTCTTGTGAACGACGCAAGATGGTTCGGAGGAGACTTTATCTTTGTGTCAATAGTAAAAAGCGCCATGCGCCCCGTTAACTTGACTCGTGTGCTGGCTATATGCACTTGACAAATGGGACAGTCCGTCGTGCTGCTGAGAGTGTGCACAAGAGGGCCGGGCCTCAGCTGAATTACACTTGCTTACTTTTACTTATGCGTTAGACGCCATTATAAGGTAAGGCTAGCTAAACTAACTTGCACTACTTACTTATCATCTTATGGTCATTTCTTACTTGCAACTTCGGTTAATTAGCGGCCGGCAAATTCTCCCAGCCGACTAGTCATACCGACTTCGCCACTTGCGAGTCATCTCGTCCGCAGGGCGGCCTGTTGTTTACCTATATAAGCTCTAGAGGCCTACAGTCCTCCGGTATTCCTAAAATCGGCAGAGATGTCTTTCCCCTCGCACGATCGTACGCCATCGCCCGCTTTCTAGCCCAAGTTTCGACTCGTCTGACCACTTCTCATCTAGTCACTGCTCCCTTCAACTTCCCTAGAGAGGAGGAAAAGGTCATCGCCTACTGGAGAGAGATCGACGCCTTCCAGACAAGCTTAAAGCTCTCTGAGGGCCGCCCCGAGTACACTTTTTACGATGGTCCGCCGTTTGCGACGGGATTGCCACATTATGGCCATTTGCTTGCTGGGACCATTAAGGTGCGCGATTCGATTCTGTCACAACAACGCAGTGCTAATTGTATAGGCTGCAGGATATCGTAACAAGGCACGCGCACGTCAGCGGACACCACGTTACAAGACGTTTTGGCTGGGACACGCATGGTCTGCCCGTCGAACACGAAATTGATAAAAAACTCGGCATCACTGGACGCGAAGACGTTACGAAGATGGGAATCGACAAGTACAACGCCGAATGCCGCGCCATCGTCATGCGCTACTCGTCTGAATGGCGGGCAACCGTTGAGCGCATGGGCCGCTGGATCGATTTTGACAACGATTACAAGACGCTCAATATCTCCTTCATGGAGAGCGTGTGGTGGGCATTCAGCGAGCTGTTCAAGAAGGGCTTCGTCTACCGTGGTCAGAAGGTCATGCCCTATTCGACTGGTTGCTTGACTCCGCTGTCGAACTTTGAAGCTGGTCTTGCTTACAAGGACGTCAGCGACCCTGCCGTCACTGTCTCTTTCCCTCTTGTTGACGATCGCAAGACATCGCTTTTGGCTTGGACAACCACCCCGTGGACACTGCCCTCCAATCTCGCGCTTTGTGTCCACCCAGACTACACTTACATCAAGATCCACGACGAGCAGCACGACCAGAACTTCATTTTACATGAGAATTTGCTCAAGACGCTCTACAAGGATCCGAAAAAGGCCAAATTCAAGAAGCTCGCTACCTTCAAGGGCGCTGACATGAAGGGTTGGCGCTACGTCCCACTTTTCGAATACTTCACCGAGCAGTTCGAGGATCGTGCGTTCCGCGTCGTCTGCGATACATACGTTACCGCCGAGGATGGTACCGGTGTCGTTCACCAGGCGCCCGCGTTTGGTGAGGACGATCACCGCGTCTCCCTCGAAAACGGTGTACTCCGCGCGGACGAGATGCCACCGTGCCCCATAGATGACGCAGGCCGCTTTACCAAGGAGGTCTCCGACTTCGCCGGCCAGTATGTCAAGACTGCGGACAAAGACATCCAGAAGGTGCTCAAGGTCAAAGGCCGCCTCATTGTCCAGTCGACACTCAACCACTCGTACCCGTTCTGCTGGCGGTAAGCCGCATATACACGTTGAACTTGTGCTTTTAATAACCGTAGAGCAGGTCTGGCACTCCGCTCATCTATCGCGCCATCCCGGCCTGGTTCGTGCGCGTAACGCCGTTTGTGGACCAGCTCGTGGAGAACAACAAGCAGACGCGCTGGGTGCCGCAGAACGTGGGCGACAACCGATTTGGAAATTGGCTCGCGAACGCGCGCGACTGGAACATATCCCGAAATCGATATTGGGGCACGCCGATCCCTCTCTGGGCGAGCAAAGACCTCGAGGAGATCGTTTGCGTAGGCTCTGTCGAGGAGCTTGAGCGGCTCTCGGGCGTAACTGGTATCACGGACCTCCACCGTGACAAAATTGACCACATCACGATCCCATCGCAGAAGGGCAAGGGTGTCCTCCGTCGCGTGGAAGAGGTCTTCGACTGCTGGTTCGAGTCCGGGAGGTATGTTTGCGGTTTATGGGCATCTCAACCAACTGGCCCTGACCAATCTACTAGCATGCCATACGCTCAACAACACTATCCCTTCGAGAACAAGGACAAGTTTGAGAATGGTTTCCCAGCAGACTTCGTATCTGAGGGCATTGACCAAACCCGTGGTTGGTTCTACACCCTGCTCGTTCTTTCGACACTCTTATTCGACAAGGCGCCGTGGAAGAATCTTATTGTCACCGGTCTTGTCCTCGCCGCGGACGGCAAAAAGATGAGCAAGAGTCTGAAGAACTACCCGGACCCAAATCTCATCATAAATGAGTACGGTGCGGACGCGACGCGCATGTTCCTTGTCAATTCCCCCATCGTGCGCGGCGACAACCTCCGTTTCCGCGAGGAAGGCGTCCGGGAGGTTATCTCGCGCGTGCTCCTACCATGGCTGAACGCATTCCGATTCTTCCTTGGGCAAGTGCAGCTGCACCGCAAGACGGGCTCGTTTGACTTCCAGTACAACGCGCACGCGCCGGTGTCGAATAATGTCATGGATCGGTGGATTCTCGCGCGCTGCCAGTCGCTCATCAAGCTCGTGCGCCAGGAGATGGCCGCGTACCGGCTGTACACAATCATCCCGCGACTGCTCGACCTCGTCGACGAGCTCACGAACTGGTACATCCGCTTCAACCGCCAGCGTCTAAAGGGCGAGGACGGCCGCGAGGACACGATTGCGGCGATGAACACGCTCTTTGAGACACTCTTCACGCTTTGCCGCACCATGTCCTCATACACACCTTTCCTAACCGAGAACATCTACCAGTCCCTTCGGTCATTCATCCCTGAGGACCCCGCCGCTGGTGACGCCCGCTCGGTTCACTTCCTGCTTTTCCCCGCGGTCAAGGAAGAGTACTTTGACGAGGTCATCGAACGCCAAGTTAAACGCATGCAGACTGTCATCGAGCTCACGCGTGTACTCCGTGAGAGGCACAACCTCTCGCTCAAGGTTGGTCTGGGAGACTTTCGTATATTGAACGCTCGTCGCTAACCAATCCCCGCGCAGACGCCGCTCAAAGAGCTGCTCGTGTTCCACCCCGACCAAGAATGGTTAGACGACGCGCGCTCGCTGCAGCGTTATATCCAGTCTCAGCTCAATGTGCGCGACGTCATCTTCACCTCGGACGAGGCGCAATCGGGCGTGCGCTACCGCGCAGTGGCGGATTGGCCCGTGCTGGGGCGCAAGCTGCGAAAGGACATCGGGCGCGTGAAGAACGCATTGCCGAACGTCCCGAGCGAGGCTATTAAGCGCTACCGCGAGACAGGCACGCTTGTCGTCGACGGCATCGAGCTCGTCGAGGGCGACCTCGCCGTGCAGCGCTACATTGAGCTCCCCGCAGGCGCGGAGGCGCAGTTCGCGACGAACACGGACAACGACGTCGTCGTCCGGCTCGACATCCAGATCCACCTCGAGCTCGTCGGCGAGTGGCTCGCGCGCGAACTCGTCAATCGCGTGCAGAAGCTCCGCAAGTCCGCCGGTCTGCAGGCGACAGACGACGTCGACGTGTTCTACGTCTTCGAGAATGAAGACGCCGCGGCAGACATCGCCCAGGCGATGCAGGAGCACGGGGATAGGATCCACCGCACCGTGCGTAGCGTGCTCAAGCCCGCCGGGGAACGCCATGCGCGCCAGGAGTTGCTCATCGAGGAGGAAGTCGAAATCGCGGATACAAAGCTCACGCTATCGCTCGCGCGCCTGCTGATCGTTGACAATGCGTAGATTACAAAGTAACAAAAATGTACTATACTATATGTGCTCATAGAATACAAGTTTCTGGAGGCTCAGGTGCTAGTAATACATGGAGATTCGAGAGCACGGCCTTACTTTTTTGTCGTGCCGAAGCCGCTAAACCCCATCGCGACCATCATGTCGTTCTCGCCCTGCTGCCCCGCCGAGTCCTTGACGAGCTCGACGCGAGCCTGCTCGCGTGCAGCCTTCTTCGCGGCCTTTTTCTCTGCACGCGCCTTCGCCTCGCGGTCTCTGATTTCGGTGAGCCGCTGCTCAAAGTCGAAAGACTTGGCACTTGACGCCTCTTTCGTCTTCTCACGTAAGTAAGCTATCCGTGCGCGCACCTGCTCGACAGTGGAGCGTTCAATTCGTGTTGTCTGGCCAAGCGCTCGGAGATCTGTAACCACAGCGTTAGCGCAACCTTCGACATAAAGGTGCGAGGGAGAACGTACGGGACCGGCCGTTGATGTGGTCGAGGTAGCCCGTGCTGTCTTTGTATGTCCGGTTGCAGACCTCGCAATAGAAGCCGGGCACACCTGGTCCCCGCCCACTGGTGTTCTGCACAACCATTGTCTTACCGAGGTTCTTGTCAAGGTCGAGCGAGCCCTCGCGCTGCTTCATGAGCTCTGTGGGCTTGGGCAGGTCTTCTTTCTTGCCTCTGCGCGGCTTCTTTCCTGTGCGTCACCTTGTTCAGCCTAGCCTTCAGCAGGTACACGGCACACGACGCACCCTGCTTCACGCGCTCCTCGTTCTCTTTCATACGCTCCCGCTCCTCCTCGTCCTTCTGCTTCGCGCGTTCGGCATACTCCTCCTTATCCCATTTCTTCCTAAAGTCGGTGTCCGAGGCCTTCGTGCCGTACGCCCCGCCTGAAGACATCGTGGGCGACTGGAGAAGATCAGGACGGAACGTCAGCGCGTCTGCGTGCGAATAATCACGTGACTCTGAACCTTCTACCGCCTGTCCTCTCGCCGCGTCGTTGCGGTACAAGATTTCCCTTGACTCGAATCTGGTATAGATGTTTACTATGGGCACTTCTGACCAGCTGTAGTATTACTAAGGACCCCGACTATTCGGCCTATCTTCATTAGCACGGTTTATAAAAGTGGTTTGATCTTGGTTAGATCCTTGCCAGTGCATCCTCATCTGCTCTAGGTTCAGGCTGTCGAGCTTCGTCTATTTTCGCCCTGCGATGCTTTAAATGACATGCAATGATTGCCATATCCAAAGAGCAGAGGATACAGAGCACCTTCCACCAGCAGCACTGACGTCTTCACAGACCCCTGCCGCGACGTGACGGACGAGTAGCCTTCCACCGCGAACGACCGTCTCCCTGGAGGCGATGGACGTTGTTGGCGCTTTTTCGACACCATTGGCCGTCGGCGAGCGAGTCGTCTCGCGAGGCACTTTGCCTTTGCTCTTCGTGGTCGGTTGCAGGTCCTGGCTCGAAGGCGAGGGCGCCGCGCTCCTGGTAACACTCGTCGTCCGCGCGCTCTGGATCTTTTCGGTCTGTGAGCGAGTGACTCTTGGAGAGGCGGATGATGCGTGAGAACGTTCGGCCGTGCCATCGCCGCCCTCCTTTGCAGGTGCAGGTGTTTCATCGAGAATTTCCACAGTGGCTACCGTAACTGCGCTCCAGTCTCGGCTGGGAGCTGGTGCGCCCGTTGATGGAGAGAGGGATCTACGGCCGTCCTTGGAAACGCTCGAGATCCGCTTCCATAATGGTTGGCGTGCTCCGAAGCCGCCTTCGGTTAGGATCTCGAAGTCATTGTCGATAAGCACCTGCGCGATGACTTCGTAGACCTGCTCGGCTATGACTCCAGTCGCTAGAAGTCCAGTGGTAAACGGTATATGGTTGTCTGAAGTCATCGCCGCTTCAGCTGCCGCGAAAGCCCCTGTCAGAGCCATACATACGATGTCCATATAGTTCGCAATGTCGCATATTGTCGAGTGAAGTCCCGAAAACATGCTGATCATGTCCGAACTGCCGAAAAAGATGGACAGTCGTGTGTCGCGCTGAGTAAACAGCTTGTGAAATGATGCTTCCTGATTGGAGGCAAAAGAAGCGACTTGTGCAGGCGTGTAATGGCTCTTTAAGTAGACTTTACATCGTGCTAAAAGGTGTGAATGCACGTTGGACAATGCGCATAAGCGAACATCGTGCAACGCCGACGCCACAACATTCGCGCTTGAGATGACCTGGTCACTGGGTCGTAGATATTTGAAATCATCGTGAAAATGCGCTTTCATACGCCTAAATTTGATTTAGTTTGCATAGAATCACCTAGTTCTTTCAATGTACTAGTCATGAACGAGCAGGCAATGAACAATATTGGATCCAGGTTGAAACATTAATTGAAACGTTGGCCCGCGGGCCGGCGTTCCTCATGTGCGCCAATGGCCCTTTCCCTTATTTGGATGTTCCAGATCGCCACGACCACGACCACAAACCGCATCGCATTGTTGTTCCACTGGCCACTCGGGCAATATTTTTATCACTACTGATACAATGGTAATTCCATTTCTGGTTATGTCGGAGCCCATACATAACGGGCCTCCAACTTGGGACTTGCTCCCAACATCCCTTCCAGTATGGCCACCGCTGTCTCTCTCGATCCATCGTATCTCGCTAATCCGCGACCATCCTCCCCTATCAAGAGAAATGCTTGCTCGACAACTGCCGCGAATGCGCCTCTCCACGACCGCCGCCAAGCCTTACTCGTGGACCTAGATCAAGTCGTCCCCATCGTCGGCATCCAATACTTCCAAGACTTCATTCTTCCCCCGCTGCCTTGCAATTCGCGTGCCATAAAACGCACGATCTCTAGCCTTCGAAGGAAGGAAGTCATAACAGGTGGTCGCTGGAAGTACTGGGACAAGGACCCACGCGACCTCAACGGCGTTGACCCGGCGCATGGTGGCCGGCTGTTGGAAGACGCAGTTTTCTCTGCGTTCGAGACTCTGTCCGACGACGTCAAGGAGTCATTTATTGCTATTGGTGGCCCACAAGCCTCTCAAGATGGCCAAGTTGAATTCCGTTGCAATCCGTCCTGCGTGCCCGTGTCACAAAACAGACGCGAGTCATCCTTGTCCAGACCGGACGCATACGCGCTGCTCAGCGACTATATCAGCCCAATTCAGTGGTCGGATGTCGTCATACCCGGCGAATTTAAGAAAAACGACATAGCTACCGACAAGCTCGACGTAAGTTCTTCTCCGCTCTTCTCTACTACACCATTGGCCTCTTCCCTAATGACATCTCGCAGAACTACGAGAAAATTATATGGTCGATGAGCTACATTATGCAAGAAGATGCGCGACGCAGATTCGTATTTGGGTTCACGATCGAGAATGTCTCCATGCGGCTCTGGTTCTGCAGCCGTTCGGAAGTGCTGGTCACCGAGGAGTTCAACTTCGTCAAGGTAAGCACATAACCATTGCCATCTCCAATGCAATGACGCAGTGCTTATACTTTCTCAGGACCATGAAATCGTCGTCGATTTCTTTTTGAGAGTGACATTTTCGAAGCGGAGTGATTTGGGATACGACGAGACCATGGTCAGGCTTCCCGCCTTGTCGCCACTGGACAAGTCGGTGGTGTACGAAATCGAGGTCCGAGACCCTACGCAGACACCGGTGGTGAAGAAGTATCGGACCCGGCGGCTGATCTCTGAGCTCGGCGCAATCTCTCCTCGGGGTCGCGGCACGCGTGTCTGGGAGGTAGACGAGCTGGACGCGGGCGGCAATGCGGTGGGGACGACGACCAAGGTGGTGAAGGACACGTGGGGCGATGAGGATCGTCCAATTGAGGGCGAAATTGTCGCGAAGATTCGCGATAAGGCCATCGCTGCCGGTCAAGGAGAGGACTTCAAGAAATACTTCATGTCCACAAGCCGGTATGGCCACGTGTATGTCGGAGAGGGCGACGACGCACGCCCCGATTCCACGGCGAGCTTCAGACTATCCAGGTTAGATTCTCCCAAAATACCGATAAACGTTCCCACTCTCCGGATCGCCGTCAACCCTGGACACCGCGCACATGTGATGACTCGACAAGGCCCAGTCGCCACCGACGCTGATGTGCAAGCACAGATTCCCGTGGAATACTCGCGATACTCTGCCAAGGTGCACCATCGTATCGTTTATGACGAAGTGGGGACGCCCATCTTCCGGGCTCAGTCGTTGCGCAGGGCGTTTCAGTGTATTGGCCACGTGCTGCGGGGTACGTGGCTACATAGGACATCCCATGAGCTCGCGTGCTGATTTATTTAGGACTCGATTTGATGCATCGACTTGGTTGGGTCCACCGAGACATTAGCTACGGCAACATTTTGATCGTCGGGAAAAGAGGGAAGATCACCGATCTAGAATACGCCAAAGAAGATACGGACATGTCTACTCACGGAATTCGCACGGTATTCGATCTAGTTTCATACCAGCTTGCGACCATACTGATAATCTGGGCAGGGTACCGTCTATTTCATGTCCCGGGAGGTCGATTCGCACAGGTACCTGCACCTGGCGTATAAGGCCGCGACAAATGGACAAGTTTTCGCACTGGAGCAAGTCGATAACGATATCGAGTACAACAGCGAGTCAGATTGCGACAGTGACGCAGAAGATGACGAGCCTACAGAAGCCGAACATCCTCCTACCCCCGTAGCAAAGCCTACGGTCGACTCTCCAGCGGCTGCTATTCCATTTCGACACAACCCCCTGCACGACCTTGAGTCGGTTGTCTGGCTGTGCTTTTATCTCCTGCTCGCTGCTACCTTCAAAAAGGAAAAGGTAGTTGGATATACACATAAAGCGGTTGCTGCTTTCGCCGCCCACCAGGATGAGGTTTTCCGCCACGTGTTCACTCGCCAGGAGATGCGCCTCCACATCATGAATCTGAACGCGAAGGTGGACGACATATTTTCCGGACTACATCCAACAGTCAAGGAAGTAGCCGGTCACCTGCTAGCGATGCGTGCACCTCTGGTGGAAGGCTTCATCGCTGCCGAGGCGACGATGTCAGCAGAAAATCCAATTCCCTTCACTGCAGGATCCCGAGCCGTTGCCGAGATGGGTAGACATGTTTTCGATATCGTCAATCAGTTGCTTTCCCGGAAGGACCTAAAGATTCTCACCGAGGATGACTTTAGGCCGCAGAGACCAGTGTGGAAGCAGATCACTCCCAAAGCTAAGCCACGGCTTCTTCCGTCACCAACAGCAGATGCGTCGACCCCTCAAGGCGCGAACGCAGATCCTACGGCCGTCAATGAGGTCCAAGATCATGGACTCGCGTCGGTGCATGATCAGGCCGGCGCAATTGCTCGTCCCAACACTCGTAGCGCCTCGTCAACTCTTCGCAGGACCACTCGCTCGCAGAGCAAGAAGGCGCAGAGTTCGCAAGCAACGGCCACCGGTGACGACGCAGGAATCTCGTCTTCCATACAAGAGTCGCAGCCGAACACGAAGGGTAAGGGCAAGGCTCCTCACAGGACGACTCGCTCGCAGACGGCCAACAACGCCGACGGCAACAAGACTACGGAGACTGCTGTCAAGAAGGCAAAGTTCCGTGGTGGTGCGTCGCCTGTCGAAAAAGCCACTCGATCGTCGCGTCGTGGCAGGAATTTGTGAAGGCTCTTCTTTATGATGTTACGAGAATGTTGTATGTCATATCTTGTACAGTATCAAATATAATATTTGCACTGTACTTGTTAGACTAAGTATGCCGGGGAATAATATAAGACTCGGATGACTCCTTGAAGTCGACTGGGGTGTCCACGGCGGCCCACGAAGACAGTGCATGAAGCGGCCAGCTGATGTAAAGGCAGTGACTACCGTTGGCGTGACGGCCACGGAGCGGCACGAGGCTACTTATACTACCACTTTGAACTCGGCATGAGCCAGATCCTCAGAAGGGCCAATCCACTCACCGCCGTGACAGACGAAAATTTGCTTGACGTGCGGGTGCGAGTTGCGTTGCTGTTGACCTGTCAGCCGTGGAACTGGTTCACTACCTGCTCCTAATGCTTAGACTGTGAGTCGCTGTATTGCCATTTCCCCAACTCTTCTTGCTGCTGATCTACATGGATCTGGAGTGTACAAGTGCTATACTAGTAGTCCCCACCACTTATCGAGACGATACGCGCAGGGCCGGCTGTTTTGCCGGCGTAATAGTTCAATGCTTAACTTAAGGAAATTGGCAGTTGGCAGTCGCAAACTTCGTCGAAGAAACAGAACAACATCAATAGTTATCAAGGGTGTTCAAGGAGCTGAAGCGCTAGGTCTAGCCAGGCGCACGAGACCAGCTAGGACAGTGACCAAGCCGTCCTAGCTAGGTGTCGCTCAAGATAGAACGAGATGATATTGTCACACATGAGGAAACCACTGCAGAGATGCCAGGCGCGTAAGAGGGCAGCTTGTCCATAAATAAAGATCATCATGACCGGGACTGTCCATTAAATGGCAGCTGTCAAATATATATATATATATAAATCAAAATCGGGCCACGCTGCGAAGATTTTATTCTATCGGTACGATTACTACAACACAAAGGGGTGAGACGTGAAGGCGTAGAGGGGGAAAGTACAAACGCACCGTAGGCAACGTTCGCACAGACAGGCCGCCCAATTGTACTTCTCCCTTCTTTAACTGTGCACCAGACGACTGGGGCTATGAAGAAAGCTTATCCAGCTGACCCAGCGTGTCCGCCGCAGGCTCAAAGGCGTGTTGCCCAGCCCAGACTTCCGCAAGATGGATCAGGAGCGCCGTGCGGACGTCAGCCGACAAACGATTTCCCTCCACCAGCTTGACGACAGACTCTGAGATCGACTTTGCCGCCCTCAGCGTGACAATTAGTAGCTCCGCAGGGCGGATGATGGCGAGCTTGCCCACGAACTGGATACCCTTCAGTTCTGCATCCATGAAACGGTTGACGGCCCGGAGGAAGTTCAGGGCCTTGGTGCTTGCGTCGTCAGAGTCCCAGGCGCTCTCATCAGCAAAAAAATAGGTTGTAGGTCAACGGCGGGTTGTCATGCAAGCGCCTAGCAGCCTGATGGATGCTGGCAATGCAAGAGCAAGCAATACCTTACTGGTATCGCATGGCCATTGATTGCCATCTCATCTCATGCTGGTACGTCATTAAAATTCGAGTTCCATACTGATAAAACTCGATATGCTATGACCTGGTCGCCCAGATTCCGGTTGTGACGTGACGTCACCCACGCCGCGGCCGAAACGTGTTGCCGCTTGTCTTTCGCCTCTAGTCCCCTCTGCGACAGCTGCACAAGGTTCCTTTGACCTCCCCTAAAGTCACATTTCCTTTTACGTCATGATACTTATGGAGGGCCCTTGTCGCCTCTCCGTTCCCCACGTCTCTTACTTCCTCTCCACCACTGTGCTCGAGTCTGAGCCTCGAGCCAGCCTGGTGAACACCTGCGGACACTCCCGCACTCCATTGCATCGTTGTGGTGACAACACTGTATGGATGTTTGCACCGGGTGCTTGCCAGGTGGGGCGTGCGCCGAGGTGCATGTAGATTGTCGTTGCAAGTACCCTGCTGACACCTCGCATAACTGACCATAAACACAGTAGCCGCGGCACATCCTCCCGCAGCTTATGTATGAAGCTGTAACGTGAGCGCAAGGTGGCATTATAAGCATATAAGTCCGCATATATACCTATCTATGTAGTATCCCAATGCATATAGTGTCTTTAATGTGCATATATGCGCTTGACTAATCATAACTCTCACCTGTAGGCTCGCGCAGAATATCGCTGCTCACCCAACAAACAACACCACACCTGCACATAATTGCCACAACCATGTCCACTTTACCATGGACTTCTCCCTCCACACTGCCCACAACACAATGTGCAATGCTCTCGGGAGTGTGGTGCTGGCAAGAGGACTGCAAGATCAGTGTAGGGTGCGCCACACACCACACGCTGTTGCACCAGCACCAGTAAGCAATCTGTTCTTTCTGCATATCACATGCTGATGCAATTCTTGCTGATCTTCAACGTTTCCTAGTGCATCCTGGCATATTAAGTGCTTAGCACAATGTGCTCATGGTACATCTCACGATACACAGGTTTTTGCACTCATGAGCACTCACATTCGCGACTCCTCTAGATACATTTATGTGTGGCGATGTCATGCTCTTGCATGCTATATGGACTGTGTAAGTGCCCTCTGTTACCGCTTGTGCCATCTACGGCCTTTGTACCTTATGTAGCTTCGTGAATATACTGTGTTCTCATTTTCCATTTTCCGTGTGCGAGCTGGCCCCAAATATTTTTGAATATTGAATAAACTAATTCGAGTGCTCTGGTAAACACTTCCCAGACCAGCGCTCGCTGGCAATGCCTTGCCATGGTTGGCAAACCTCTTCAGAATGGCAATGCTACCCAGACTGGTAAGCCCTACAAAGCATACAGGTGCTCTATCTATTATGGCAATGGCAATCCCAGGATGGGTTGACTTATATTCATGGGTGCCTTTATCTAGCCTGGTCATCCTAGATATTTAGGTAATTTTTTTGCTGATGCTGGCTCTGCTGTGCGAGCGCCGCAAGCATGAGTACGACAGAGGGCAGGACATATTCGAGCATGTGAATAGTGAAGCGTTGCAAGAATTTCTTGTTAATTTTGCCAAGAAGAGATATGCGAGCAAGCGTCTGGATCGCCAGATCTGATATATCTGCAGGGTGGAGTATTGGCAGTGGTTGCAGAGCAGTTAGACAGATTCACGTACCTTCAGGCCAGAACTCATAGCTGCTATTGATGCAACAGTTAAAAAGACAGACGATGGGGTATTGAAACGTGTCATAACTTCCTAGAGAAGTGGCAACCTCCGGCCGCTAATTCTTGTATACCTCGAGCAGGATAGACACCATAGTCGAATGCAGCTCAGGCCCATCCGAGCCAGTACTGACGATCCGCACAAGAAGAACAAGCACGGAAGCGACGCTCTCACAGTGCTCGACCCAATTGCACGATGTCCACTCCTTTGGGAGTGCATCAAGCAGAAACTGCTGATACTGCCGCGCAAATGCCTGGTCTACGCTGCGCAGGATTCCAACATTGATTGGCAACCATTCGTTCACCTGATCAAAGTCTGTCTCATCAATGCTCCCGGAATAGAGCGTGATCCAGCAGAGGACAACGTTCAAGCGCTGCTTCATGGAGAGCGAGCGCAGACATGCTTGTAGGCGGGCGAGCTCATGCCGCGGGACAGAACGTGGGGCAATCACAAGAGCGCCTCTGAACTCATCCTGCGCATCCTCTTCGCTCTTGTGCAATGTGTCGCAGCTCGCACACAGTCCAGAAGTCTTGGTCCTGGGTGAAAATGGAGAACATCAGCCGCTTGAGGCCCTGGGTCAGCTTTATGAACCAGTCTGCTGCCCGCCGAACGTACAAGCTGTGGGCATAGTAGTACTCGCAGTTATCCGTGAGTTTAATGGCCCAAAGTGAGAAGAGACCTATGGCAAGGATGAAAGGGAGAAGAATGAGAACGATGTCAATGGTACCAAGAATCATCATGGCCCAATTCAGCGCAAACACCGCAACAGGAACAATAGGTGACTTGAGAGGGCTGCTGGGTATCAAGAGAGGCCTGTACAGGGATAAACTGTAGAAGAAGAAGGGTATGCCTGCTACAATTGCAAATGCAGTGGTGATCGGGTGGTTCAGAGTTTTAAGCAGATAATACAAGCTGACCAAGAGAGTATTACCACGACCTGCAGAAGTACAGGCAGCATGATAATGATATTAGGCACCTGGAAGCCAATGAGACTGGTTCGACTGCTGTCCCAGAGTCGGACTGAGTCCTTTATAGGGAGGTGGTGGGGGATAAGAAGGGCACGTAGCCACTGTTGTGCAGCAATAGCGAAGAAGACAGCAATGAGACTGAAGGTGAGGCTGAGGATCCAAAGCATGTTGATTAGCACATCTGTGGGATCTTGTACAAATGGCTTCCTCAGGGCCACGACTGGGGCAGTTGAGTTGGTGAATCCAGGAGATATAGCGAATGATGCAAGCTGTGCTGATATTTGAAGGAGCAGCTGGTTTGTGATGTCTTCCAAATCTGGTGATAGCCATTGGTACGACTCAAGAGTAAATGACGTGACTGTCCCCAAGAACAGACCGGCCTGAGAAACAGAACTTAGTAGATGATTTGCACATATTACTGGCCTTCTATGAGCTTACAAAGACGAGGAGGTTGTCTAGTTCAGATTTCCACTTATTGATCTTTTCCTGGTCATAGTCTTGACCTGACAAGAGCAGATATGACCGGCCTGCGGAAATATCAGTCTCCTGAGAAGTCAGGTTAGAGTGGAGGCCCCAGAAAAGAAAGATGGTAATTTACTGAGATTGTCTTTTTAGAATCTATCTCATTTTGTACAGATATCTTGGCAGCTGCCCCTGGTATCTCCCCTGGTGTCTGCGTAGGTACGTCATCGTTATTCTGCTGCTCCAACAAAGTTAGCTATGCTTTTACGCTCGATAATCAACAAGACATGCTTATGCAAATGGCTGCTCTATCAGCAAAACCTGTTTCCTTGTCGGCGTCAATGGTGACAATCTGATCTAATGAGCTTGAGGGCTTTCTGCTCGACATGTGGCACGCCTTTGCCACGTTGTAAATGATGTACTCTGCAACAGACTCTTAGATGGGCCCTAAAAGCTAAGGAACAGCTGGGATCAGTGTAGAGAAGTTTTCCAGAGGCACTCCTAGCATGGTGCATTATATATTGACTATGCGGATGCCTGGACCGTTTGTGGGGAACAAGGCCACGTTGACAGATGATTATTGATAGATACGCTGAGAAACTATCAGTGTCTTGAGAAAAGATCTGATGCGCCGAGCAGGATGCAGTGCCTTACATATCAAGGGTGTTATTGGACAAAAATAAATTCTCACTTTCACACTGGCTGCAAATTTTTGTTTTCAATGTGCATCTAAGGTTATACGTGCGTATTCGTGCACTTTCGTGCATATTCATGCACAATGATGCGCGTTTGGTCACTAACATGTGCTAATGTGCACGAAAGCTCATGTTTGTGCACCTTCGTGCACTTTCGCACACGAAAGTGTGCATTTGACGAACTACATATTCATGTTATCACAAATCCATTTTTGCTAGGCATTTACTTTTGCACACTTTCATGCACTCGAAGATTCAAATGAGATGCATAATCACAAAAATGAAACCCAATTGTCAGCTTACATGAAACTGAATAATAAGTTGAGTGCACAAACGCACACACATTAGCACTATCACCAATCTCAAATCAGGGCGTAACTAAAACCAAAGCTCAGCGGCATGCACGATCGTGTGCGTTCATGCGCTTTTGTGTGCTTTTGTGTGCTTTTGTGTACGTTCATCTACTTTTGTGCATGATCATGTATGTTTGCCCACTTTCGTGAGCTTTCATGCATGTTCATGCGCGTTCATTCACATTTGTGCACCATTGTCTGTCAAACTGTGAGTACAGTCTGCACCAATTCCAAACTCATTTTTTTGTCCAATAGCAACCTTCATATCTACTACTCTCATTGCTGCATCACTGTGATACAAAATTTCCTTTGACTTGAATCATGCACAGATGCTTACTTATGGGTACTTCTGACCAACTGCAGTATTAGAACTCTGGCTATCCAGCCTATGCTTATTGGCACAATCTATACAAGTGGTTTGAGCTTGGTTAGATCCTTGTGTTCTCATCTGCTTTAGGTTGTTGAACTTTGTCTATTTTCACCCTACAATATATTCTAAATGGTCTGTGAGCGAGTGACTCTTGGAGAGGCAGACAATGCGTGAGAACATTTGGCTGTGCCATTGCCACCTTCCTTTGCAGGTCCAGGTGTTTCATCGAGAACTTCCACAGTGGCTACCATAGCTGCACTCCAGTCTCGGCCGAGAGCTGGTGTGCCCATTGATGGAGAGAGGGATCCATGACCATCTTTGGAAGCACTCAAGATTCGCTTCCATAATGGTCAGCATGGTCTGAAGCTGCCTTTGGTTAGGACCTTAAAGTCATTGTCAACGAGCATCTGCGTAATGACCTTGTAGGCCTGTTTGGCTCAGGCTATGACTCCAGTTGCTAGAAGTTCAGCAGTAAAAATTATAGGGTTGCCCACAGTCATTGCCACTTTAGCTGCTGCAAAAGCCTCTGTCAGAGCCATATGTATGATGTCTATATAGTTTGCAATGTTGCATATTGTTGAGTGAAAACCTGAAGACATGCCGATCATGTTTGAACTGCTGGAAAAGATGGACAGTGGTGTGTTGCGCTGAGTAAACAGCTTGTGAAATGGTGTTTCTTGAATGGAGGCAAAGAAAGCAACTTGTACAGGCATGTAATGGCTCTTTAAGTAGGCTTTACATTGTGCTAAAAGGTGTGGATGCACGTTGGGCAATGCACATAAGCAAACATTGTGCAATGCCACAATACTGGCACTTGAGATGACCTGGTCATGAGCTTCTCTTTATCTGACACAATACTGTTCCTTCACACACACACTTGGCACAGAGCATAGCCTTCAAAGTTGTAACATGTCTTTTAAAATGATTAAAAGTAGTCTGAGGAATAGGCTGTGCAGCTGCACCAGTGCATCAACATGTTCCTGCCTCATAAGGATGCAGACACAGTCATTGGTCATAGTGGAAGCACTTTGATGGAGGCAGATTTTGCATAGCTAGTGGTTGAGGGTCTGGTCCTAAGAACTAGTCGGGACTGGGACTTGAACTGAGACTGGACTGATCAGGACTGGGTATGGTCCAGTCCTACATCAGTCCAGTCTTGGTCACAGTTCTTGGTCCTAGATGGCATTGGGTGCTTTTAGGACTGATCATGACTGGTTAGAACCAGTCACAGACTGATATAAAGTAACAAAAATGCAGCACCCAGAAAGCAGCTTGGCTACTGGTACATGTATATCTTAGTAATTTCTGAACTGCAACTATGCCCTTATAAGCTTGTCCAAGTACACAGCCAGCTTAAGCACAGATTGATACATTTTTAAAAACTCTTTTTATGATTTATTCAAGTTTGGATGCAGTTACTGCACATAATCAGCTAAAGCCATGACTATGGGAAGATGGAGCCTGAATTTAGAGATTACAAGGCTCTCAAGGATATGGAGGTTTTATACAGAAATGCTGAGAATGATGAAAATGGTGCATGATACCCTTCTTCTTAATTTAGAATTCAGCTGCGTGAGCAGAGCATTGTTTTCTTTGCTAAATATAGTAATGTGCAGGCTTGGCTCAAAGCTTGCAAGTCCAGCCCAAAAAAGCCTGACCTGAGCCTGGCCTAGCAGTGGGCTCAAGGCCAGGCTTGGATCAGTGGACGGTCCCTGCTAGTGCAAACTTATCCTAAGCTTGGCAACTTGGGCCGGGCTCAGGCTCAGGCTCAGGACTCAGCGCAACATTGCCACGAGCCCAATCCTGGGCTTTAAGCTCAAGCTAAACCAGCATATCACTAGCTGAATATTTGTTTTAATTTTTAAGTGTACAGTGTTCACCGGCGCCTTGTGCGCACATTGTTTACCTATATTTGCCCATATACAATATTACCTTTCATTTATATGTATGACATAACATGAAGTAGCTGTCTACCTGCCAAATACATCTCTTGAACCTTAACAACACAGACCACAGCTGTGGCAATTTTTTTGAGCCCCTGCCTTTGAGTTCATCAAATTTTCAGCCATGTCAAACACTCCCTCAATATCAGACTCTATGCAACAGTATTTCTGTGATGCCTTACAGTACATAAAGACAGTCTGGCAATGCATGAATGATATATAGCACTTCTGAGACAGACATCTGGTATACTCTTCTGGCCTTCTTGAGACTCACACACTGTCTCCTCTTTGACTCATTAGGCTGAGTAATGTGGTCTCAAAACTGATTTGTCCAGAAATTAGCTTAGTATACTGCTAGTCTACCTGTACATGCAGTTCAAAATTAAAATTTGTTTATTTGTGCCATATTTATCAGGGCAGGACTGGTCTGAGCTGGTCTGAATCAGTCTGGGACCGCATTTGGTCTTAGACTAGTCATGACCAGTCCAGAACTGCACAGAGGACTGTACAGGACCAGGACCCAGTCTTGGTCTGGTCCTGCACAAACAGATGCTGGTCTTTGACCAGTCTGAGTCCTGGTCCCACCCAATTTTTTAAAAAGACTAGACTGGACTGGACTCTCAACCACTATGCATAGCCAGGTCTGGTTGCTGTGCTCTGTGGGGACCACACACATCTTTATTGCATCTCAAAAACTGACAAGCCTAGATTTTGCAAAGTCCTGGACACAGGGCTAGGTTTCAGTCTCTCAGATGTTAGGATCTGGCTATTATGTTTTGTGATATTCTGCAGTTTGTGAATAGAACCATGTTGGAGCCTACATTGCACAATTTATTTTCAAGTATAATATAAACATTTTGAGTCATTAACATATAGTTTACCCCTCCTAGTTATTAATCAGGTTGGTAACTCTCAGTTAGTAACATGGTAGTTTCTCCTGAAACAGTATCTCTAACCAGCTGATCAAAGCATGAGAAGAAACCAAACGCATGCACATTGCTTTGATCATCACATGATTTTGCCATTTTGAACTGATAACCTGATGCCAGAAAAGTGTGTAGTGCAGTTTCCTTGTGTCCTTGAGATTTATGATTCCAACATGAGAAATTATGGTTCCAGGGGCTTGCCTGTGCTCTTCCACCTTGTCTGATGCCTCTGCCTCACTTGACACCTCTTTGACATACTCTGGCCTCTGGATCTGGTGGCACAGCACACTGAACCAGTATAGAACCTATATGTAACAAAAATTTGATTCTTTTTAGCTAATGCCTTGCACACCATGTGCCTTTCCCTTCTTAATGCAGATATCTTCAGTACAGGTCATGTCACAATGTACCTTCTGGAACAATATAAATCATGAGAATATTGTCACACATTAATAACAGCTCTATTTGTATGTCTACAAATTTTTGTGATCTCCTGATACTTAAGGCTTTCTTGACATCATTCTCAGACCTTTCTCTAGCTTGCTTCCACCTTTTGAATGCCTACTGATGCTTACATTATCTAGTGCTAGACTATAAATTTGGCAGGGTTCAGCTCTGCTTTGTTTGCAAGCAGTGAGAAAAGAAGGTCTCAAAAAGAGTGGGAGACAAACACAGCCAAATATCTGATGCCCAAAATCAATCATCCCTCTCAGCTTGTCTTCCTTTCTCTAAGTCTTTTGAAACACAATATTTATTACCAATATGTTTCCTTTGCATTATTTCACTATCTTCTCATACTAGCATTTATGTACTCTTTTTTGGTGGACTCTATCAAGCTTACCACTGCCTTCCAGCTCACGAGTGAGGACAAAGTGCTGCAGATCCCCCTCTCTCCTACAATCACTGCTTCTTCCAGCAGGGGTACTTTCAGCGACTCTCTGTCTGCTACTGAACTTTTTGCTATGTCAGACCTCATTCTATTTGTGGTGACTGAAGGCCTCTTGAAGATCAACTATAAGAGCTTGCCCTTCCAGCCATGCCTCACTGCTACTACCAAACCCAACCCCTATAAAGAACCCAGTGGCCCCGAGGTTTACTCTGCCCCCAAAGAGCTTAGGCAGCTGGATGGACATCTCCTTGCTAGTGTTTGGGACCACAGTTTATTTGAGGGCCTTTGCCATGTCCTAAACACAACAGGTGTCAATTGGACCAGTTTTGATGCACTCTGCATTGCCAAAGTTGAAGAGCCCTCTGACTAGTGTTGCCACGGCTTATAGCGGCTATGGCTCTTAAGTGACTTGAGCTGGCTACCCATTCCAAAACGGAAGGTAGTCCATGTGGGTACCACAAAATATGCAGTCCATTGGCCATTTCACTTCAATATTGCTATATATGAGTATATCTCCTCCTTTCCAAGGCTTTCCAAGTCAAAGATCTCTTCATCCATGCCCAATCCCTGTGTGAAAGATAGAGAGTGGCTTGTTTGAACTGAAACTTCAGCATTTGCAGCTTTTCCACTAGATCTCTGCCCATTCTGTTGTGCCGATCTGTGGCTGTCATCTTCCCAAATGAGAAGACATGTTTGCAAGAGACAGCAGAGCTTTGGATGGGCAAGATGTCAATTGCTATGTTATAAATAGTGGGAAATCTGGCTTTTGAGGCCTAATTTTTTGAAGAAAAAAAAGCCTCAGAATTCAGTGTAAAATAGAGAAAAAATTTGCAATGCAAGGTTTGATAAAGCTGTACTCACCTGCCAATACACAAGGACATCAACACTTGGATATGTTGGTTCTGCAATGTATGAAATCCACTCTTGTTCCACTGTTTGTGCTGCTGAGGTCTTTGCTTTGGTTTTGAACAAAAAGTTGTGGGCTTTTTGCTGTTGAGTCTCAAACTCTGAAACAGATGACAGTGTGGTGGTGGAGGCCATCTGTGACTTGTATTTTTGCATCTGGAATATTTATACAGTAAGCAGAATATTCCAACAAAAAATTAAACAAAAAGTGCAATACCTGCTAAGAATAACTTCTTTGCATTATGCACCTTCTCTTGTGAATTATTCTGCTCAAACCATTCTGGCTTGTGAGCTGGATTGATAACTAACTGGTGTAAGTATTATAGGTGACAGTAATAAAATTGCCCTTCTTTGTAGCCAGAATATATGCATCACTTGCCTAGTTGCAATCACAATAATCAGCAAGTTTGTCCAAACCTTGCTGAATTATATCTGCAGCATGCAATAGCTGAGTCTGCCTGTCTTCCCAGCATTGCTTCATTGCCTCAAACACAAGCAAGACATTGATGAGTGTTAGAGTCAACTGAGATGATAAAATTTGCTGGAATGCATGTGGAATCTGTTTTTAACATTAGTTAACACATTTCTTTATCTGGAAAAATGTGACTTACCTGAAGGATTTTATGAAATATCTGCAATGCCTTCCACTTTTCACTGTTAAGACTGTACTTATGCAGATCTGCAAACTCAGTCCCATAGAGAAATTTCTCAATTGCCTATAAATAACTTATTGCATAGATTTTTCATGGTTGGTGCAAAAAAATACCTTGCAAAAAAGAATGGCTCTGTCAATCATGAGATACGTTGAAGACCAGCAAGTCTCAACATCTTGGAGAAGCTAAAGAGCACTTCTTTTTATCAATTCCAAAATATCTGCAAAGTGTTGTCTGCGCAAAGAAGATGCATGTATTTAAGAGTTCTAAGTTAGACAATGATGCTGTAAAATTATATAAGACCTACCACTCGTATAAGACAATGCAGCATCACGATTGGATTACAATGAATGGCATCAAGAAAATTGTTTGGAGAAAAAGCCTCAGACTCAAAGTTTTGCAATGATTACTTTGCAAATTCAAGCTTGGTCATGGCACTGAGAACCATTTAACATGCAAAGTTGACAATGTGCAGGAAGCACTTGAAAACAATTGAGAAATAATAATGAATCTTTCAAAAAATTACTTGCAAATATGTTGCTGAAGTTTGTCAAATATAATCTAATACCTCTTCAGCTCCTTCTCAAGAGCTTCCACACAGGTGTTATTGTTGCTAGCATTGTCCATGGTGATCTAGCCAATCTGATTATTTTTTATTAAAATAAAACATTTGTGCAAATAAGTGAATGTACTTTATAAGTGATCTTGATACAATCCAGAACATGAAGAAATGCAGCTGTGAGATGTTCACTGGTGTGTCTGGTAGGGACACAATGAAAGCCAATAAGATCTGCACAAAGCTTCAGCTGCAGACAGGGACCATTGCCAGTGTTCTTGATAATTAGATGCAGCCAATGTGCTGTGACTGCCATGTATGAAAACAGATGAGAATCTGTCCACATGTCCATGGTGAAGGAGATTTTCCTAGCTGCATTCTGAATAAAAAACTGAATTTAAACTATTTGTTTTGGAATTTTTTGCCACTTACCTGCATATTCTGACTGAGCTCATCCAGATATTCTTCAAAAACCTCACCAACTTAAGCCCAAATAGTTGTGCAGTGAGAGATATCTTTGTCGTGTAGCTCAGAATGCAACAATAAAAAGATGTTGTGTAGTCTTGAGTTGTCAACAATACTCAGTGACTGCAAATATTTAATCAGATCTAAAGTGTGAAAAAAACTGCAATCAAATTCTTACCTAATCATCAGCGACAATCCACTCTACAATATAGTCAACAAAAAGCTCTTTACTAAACTGAGGTTGGAGGTGTTAGTCCAGGTTTGAAGCTTGATATATGAGTAATTACTACAAGCCGTGAAACATGATTTAGTAGTAACCCAAGTAGCAACTGTGTTAGACCGCAATAGTCCAAATAAAGGTGTCTGAGCTTGAAATTAGACTACATATGGTATATACCACTTTCTGAAAAGATGACTAAGCTCAAACATTGTCCCAGTATGGTAAAGCACTTTGAAACATACCATATGTTTTGAACATACCATATATTGAATGTTTTACATCATGTCATGGAGAACATATGTACAAACAAGTTCTCCATCAGTAGGCAGCCCAGCAAATCAGTATTTGGGCTGCTATTCACAAAAAACTCGCCGGGAGCCAGTGAGTTTTTGGATATATATGGTAGCACTCCCGGATTTGAAATAAGCGCCAGAGCGCGGGAAACCAGCTTCTGCAGGCTAGCGCACTTGCTCCCCTTCCTTTCCCCCTCATATAACTATCAGAGCAATTACTAGAATAAGTTTTAGTATAGTTGTATGGTGTATAAATCAACCCTCATGTCTTCCTGTAATGTATACATTATAATAGATAATAAATAATCTTTAAAGCAAAAAAGGCACTAGAAACAGATGGTCCTGTACCTTGTATAGAGCTTGGAAGAAGTTGGATGACTATAGACACATCTATACATGTTCTGCAAGCATGGGGAGGCAATTTCGAGGCCAGAATAACATGCAGAGATGCAGGCAGGAGGTCAGAACCCTTATTGCACTCATGATGGCTTGCCCACTGTTCTCAGCCTTTAGTACTGAATATAGCTAGGTACAGATGGTTGTGCAGGTGCCCTAACACTATTAAATGATATATACAGCTCTGTAGAGCTCTAGCATATTGGAAAAGGGCTGAACTACACTCAACAACATGGGTATGCAAACAGGGCTGAAAAACACCACATATGCAAATGTACAGGAGCCAACAGGCAGAGATAAGCTAAATGCAGCTACATACACAGTATTCATACATATTATAACCCTCCCAGGTGGTGATCCTCTTTCCACCTATGCTGTAGGAGCCAGGCACACACCTGTGCACAGATGGTGCTGTTGAACTGGTCAGAACTTCATTAAGGTGTCATTCTAGGGTTGACTAATGCACTACTCTACCAATAAATGTCCCCTAGACCTAGAAAGTTGTACACCCCCATTTTCATAGGCTAGAAATCGATTGGAAATAGTCTGCTCATCCAATTCTAAGTGGTTGAGCCAGTAGGGGGTGTTTCAATGAGATCAACGAATAGGTGCCCATAGAAAATACCAATATCTGCTCAATCGGACAGCTTCCAGAGCCTGAAATCAAAATCAAACTATAACCGGTCTATTCTAGGCTATGAGCGACCCCTCCCAGCATATCAAAACCTTTGATATGTCCCATTTTCTTTGCCAAGCCTCGCAGGCTCTACAGAGAGTTTGTGGATGCCTCAGGCTCCCCAAACTCTTGGGAAGGGTTCTAGTGCTATCTATCATGAGTGTATAACATTAGAAGAGCTGTAGCAGCTTTGGAAAGGGTTTCATGCTACTCCCAGGTCAAAAAAAGCGACTTTTAATAGAAATAAAAGCTCAGTGTATTATACAGCAGTTATATTCGCTCTAAATGGCACATAACTACTCTATATAGATATAGGTACATATTCTAGAAGGTTTAGAGCCCATTAGACAAAGGGGAGGGGAGGAATTGAGCCAGAAATGGCCCCCAAAAGCGAAATTGATGCTGTGACCTCATTGGGTGCTCAGGAGCCGGAAACTCGGTTAGTGGCAGCTTTGTAGCACCGGCAGGCTGATTGCGAGTTGATGGCGGGCTGGCAGAGATTAAGACCGCTTTAAGACTGCAAAAATTCAGTTCCCGGCGAGTATTTTGTGAATAGCAGGCCCAGTTTCGCTTTCTGACATATGTTTTCCACCTTCCCATGTCATAAAACAAAATAAGCGCCCAAAACGGTATGTTATAACATTTCTCCCAAATGAGGTGTATGTTTTAATTGCTGCTATGTCAGAGAGTAATAGATATGTCTTAAAAGCTAGATTGTGTGGGAATTGACTGCCAGATAGCTATAACAGGCTCAGGATAGCCTAAAACAGTTACTACCTGGGTTACTACTAAGTCATATTTCATGGCTAGTAGCAATTACTCACATATCAAGCTTGAGAATAGCACCAAAAGATGTGAGCTGTACTCAACCTTCTCACACTTGTAGTCTGCCCAGCAGCTGAACACATGTACAAGACTGGGATTATCATCAAGAGGCAGTCCAAGCTCTGAAACGGCTTACTTGCCTGGTGCATGGCAGTACACAACATTGTCTCACAGCACAAAATCTCCATGGACGTTTAGGGTATCATGGACAATTGTATAGTTTTACTTTTCTTAATTTTCCACTACTACTCTATGTTTTGGTCTATGCGTATTGTGTCATCTTCGCTGTGCTTTGGCTTGATGGGGCAGATGTAAGGGCAGCACTCGGACAGGCCCACCTCGGATCACTGAGGAGGCATAGTCCCGATGGTGTTCCGATTACGCAGAAGCATGTCTTCTAAGCGCTCAGTTTGTTAGATAAGTGTTTCAGACTCTTGAGCTCATAAAGCTCGAGGTATTGGCCTAAGTAGTTTTTTCCCAACTCTCACTTGTACACTGTATATCTAGAACACAAATATAGCCAGTTCAGATTTGTGGTACAAGTGAGAGGCCAACCCATATGACAACCTTACAGCATCTGAACCTGTCTCTCCATGTTGGCGACAGCGCTATGCCTCGATGTAAGTGGTAGTGCTTTTTGCTGTGATTTTGATGCCCGCTTTGTCACATGCAGTAACCCAGGCATCAATGTAGTTGTCACAGAAATGTTGCCAAGGATTGTCTGTACCTGCTATGGTCCAGTCTGCCGCCTGGTGCTTTGAGTCTTGTTGCTTTGCAAGTCTAATTAATATATTTAGCAAATTGTGCAAAATTCAATAAATAAACAGAGTTGCACAGGCAGAACTTGCACAGCTTTCACCCACTTTCTTCTGTGTAGAAAAAGGGCCATATGTCATGTGCCGGTGACTTCCGGTGTTGACCAGTGACAGGCAAAGTCAGAGGACTTGCTGGCTGACATAGAGTTGCAAAGATGAGAAATGGAGCTTGTCCTTGCGAAGGACCAGCATGGGACGTAGGACTGGTAGGCGAGCTGCCACCATTAGCAATAGCAGACAAGTCAAATGACTCACAATCT